AATCTTTTCTTTTTACATGAACTCTTCCATATTCTCCTTATTTTCTTGTTGGAAACTCATATAATAGGGCAACCAATTTTTCAGAATTGCTATTACTTGTTGGTTTGAGGTATCAAAGATACCACTCGAAACATAATCTATCAAAACTGCAGCTAAGAAAAACCCAGATCCCAACAATTTTGAACCATCACCCCAATGAAGAAATTTTACCTTCAAATCCCCTTCTTTTGTTAAAAATCCATCCAAATCGTAAATTTTAAGTAACAATTCACCAAACACTGATCTAATGTCTCTAATGAGAGAATAATTTCCCTTTTCATCTTGAAATAAATCTCCAACATATGTCAAATCTTTATCTACCAATGCTCTAATATCTGAATCGCTTAAATGTAAGCCATACACTAATGCATCATGGACTTTTTTGTTTTTTTTTTGTTGAGTTGTGTTATGTATTGACACTCCTACAGAACTCTTCTTATATGCCCTTTTTTTTCTATCTTTAAATAGAGTTTTCAAATCAAATTGTTTCTCATCTCCATATACAATTGAAACAAAATATCCTCCTTTAGTTGACAACAGACATTTCTTGATTTTAGGATCATCAATTTTTTGAGAAACAGAGCGAGCTATTTCAGACTTATTCAATTTTAGAAATTCAGTTTCTCCACTTTCTAATTTTTCATCAATTGTTTCAACAATTAACTTTTTCAATTCAGTGGTAAAATAATTGGGAACTCGTTTGAATTCAGGTTTTTCGTGTAGTTTTCGTTCCTTGTATTGCTCTACTGTTTCCAACTCAATACCTTTCCGTAACTTTTCTTGCCCATTTTGAGGAAGATATAATCCTCTATTCCTTTTAGAATAACCTAAAGTTTCATCTTTTAAATATTGTTGTTGAGATTTTGCACCTTCCATTCTTGAATTATTTAATTGCTTATTCCATTCCTCTACGGATAGAACAACATAATTTTCATCAGATTTTAAAATTGAAATCATCTGATCACGAAGTCCTTTTTCCTCAATGAATTTCCAAAGTTTTTCACAAATAGCCAATTTACCATTTACTGAATATTCCGAAAGCTTTGATGTTCCATTACATAATTTCACATGATTTTTAATTGGCCATCCTTCAATAATATACACAGAATTTTCATTCTTGCTAAAAGTGATGTTGTGATTGTCATATCTTTCATGTATCATGGTTAAATGATGTGAATTATTTAAATTATTATTGTTCAGTTCCGAAACACACTTTCCGTGTGTGCTGGCAAAATTGGCTGATGATACATATACATCATGTAAAGAACAATGTCTCAACAAGCTTTTTCCACAGTTACATTTATTTTTACCGATAAGAAACTCACTATGATTAATATCCACACTACAACGATATGATGGTCTGTTCATTTTCCAAAATTTTTTTGAATTATTTTTTTTTATTGAATTTTTTAAAATGGAAGTATGAGTGGTATGAGTGCGACTGAGTCAGGTGGAGAAGATAACGTACCCGAGAACTCCTAATAAAAATAAAAAATTCATATTTTTTAAAAACCAAAAGCAAACAAAAAAATTTAAACCACAAAATTTGCAGATGTGATTTTAACATCATGTTGAGTAATGATGACAACTTTATAATATGAAATCCAACAATATCTGTTTATACTCCAAAAATTAAAACGCAATGATAGGCCTGACATTCACCTAAAATTCTTCCACAAGAGAATTTAATCACTTGTATGATAACAATACTTTTTATAGGTCAGAATTTCTACTTCCAAAATCAGAGTACGATTGAGATCGTTGTCTTCCTTGCACTTGTTTCACTGCATCTTTCTGGAATCTACTAATCATGAAACTTTTAGGTTGACCAGTAGATAATATACTATTTCTAGGTGATGTTGGTTTAGCAGATGTTGGTGAGCTTGGTGACGAACTTCTCCTTAATAAATTTTCAATAATTTCATCTTCGTCAATTGTTTTGGGTTGTTGTAAATCTTTCACTATCTGAAGGAAGCTATCAAATTCAGTTTCTAATACTTGTCTTCTCTCCTCTGTTTTATATACAATGCCATCGTAGGCAACTCTGAAAATTTCTAATTGTTTATCCTTCTCCCTTAATAGTCGATTATATTGTTTCTCTTGTTCATTGTAAAATGAATCAAACTCTTCCTCCTCACTATCATATTTGGTTAATCTTTGATATTCCATTCTCAAATGTTCTTTTTCAAAATCTCTCTTCATGGATTTTCTGAGTTCAATCTTGGTTGTTGTTTCATCTTCCAGCTTGTGCACTAGTTTTTTGGAACAGTCAACCAATTCTTTCATGTTTGAAATTTGTTCAAAATATAAATCTTTCAAAGTATCCAAATTTGGCTGTAATGCCTCCATTCTTTTCCTAAGAATTTGAACTTCCTTCTCTAACTCCTTCTCTCTGAAATTTACTGGTGTTTCTTTCATTGATTCAACAGACGTCTTGTCAAATGAATTTCCACTTATTGAATTTCTATAAAAGTGAATATCTAATTCTCTAGATAAAACCTTCTTTTGTGTTGCAAGTTTTTGCTTTTCCAACTTGAAAACTTCTTCATTCTTTTTTCCTCGTTTGTTTTCCTCAATCATGTCTCTATATTCCAATTGTTGAATGGTAATGTCACCCTTCAACCGCTGAATTTCTTTCTGCCTTTCTATTTCTTGATGTTTAAGAGCTACATTTCGTTCTCGAAATATTTTCACTTCGTGCTTTAGTTTTTCATTTTCTTCAAGTAAATCAGAAAATGACAGCGCATCCTCTTCAATCTGCCTTTTCATAACCACAATCTGACCTTTCAGAGTTTCATTCTCAGTTTCTGCCGATTCTCTTAGTGAAATTTCCATATCTATTTCTATTTGTTGTGAAGTAATAATTTCTTGAAGTTCTGAAAAGGCTTCTTGAACTCCTTCCTGAATTGATTGAGTAGCTTCTGTTATTCTAGTTTCTATTGATTCTTCCATAAGTCTTAGTGATTTTTCATGCTTTTCTTTGAGAGTTTGTAATTGATCGTGAGTTGAATTACAGTTTTCAATCAAGGTTTGCATTGGCGTTATTTCATGATGATGACTTTCTTCCCTATCATTTTCCTCATCATTGCCTAGTTTTTGTTGATTATCATCTTTAACATCTTCACATGAAACTCTCAATTCCAGCATTGCCTCATCTGCATCTTGTTGATCTATTGGATTATTTTGTTTTGTTTCTGAAAATTCAGGATCAGAATAGTAATCATCATCATAATTATCCTCTATCTGAAAGGTCATTGGTGAAACAATCAAACATTCACCTTCTGGTTCTCCATCCACTCCATTTCCAAAATATTCAATTGTATATTCAACTTTATCATCATCACTTGAAAGCCATCCATTATCCTCCACATCATACACCTCCTCTTCAGAAACAGAGTGGGGTACTAGATAAACCCCATGATCACCATTCATTCTTATGTTATTTCCTTAATACTTCTATTATATTATCTTCAAGATAACTCCCTTAACAAAAATTCCCGATTCAACACCACAACAATCTAAATGATAATGTAACGACACTGGTGTGATCTCAGAGTGGTATATTGTGCATTCAACAATGACGCAACTTTTTTTTAATTACCACACTCAAGATCAGCTCCATAAACAGTGGATTACAGTATGTTTGGGATCAAAGTGCTAATAATGGCTTGTTGAAACATTTGTCTCACGTATACGATATTGGGAATAGTTCTTTCAATGGCGATTGTTGTGGGTAGGTGGTTTATTGATGATGGATGGGATTAGAGTTTCCATCTGGCAATAATTTCATTATTAACTCTTGCTGGATGGCTCAAATTGGCTGGAACTGGATATTTTTCAATAAGGGTGAAACCTTGTTGTGTGAGGAGTTTTTCAACAAGTTCGAAATTTAATAGGTAAGGTGGACCAACAGTTGGATCAGTTTCAAGTTGACCATTCTTGTTATATTTGAAGAGTGGGAAAATGAGGGTAACCAGTTCAGATTGAGGATTTTCCTTACTATTCAAAAGATTTTTCATTTGTTTAGCCCAGGATTCTCTAAGAGAAAGTGGAAGAGCACACAGGAAAGTATCTTTGTTTAATTTAGTAAATTCAAATTCTCACCAACTTACAATCAAATATAATATCAAACTTTTTATCCACATTGAAAAAGTCTCCACAAACAAAGCTCACTTTTGAAACTTGTCCATATGAAAATGATTCCTTTTTCTTTAATATTCCAATATAATGTCAAATAATTTCAATTATTATTAAAATAAATCCACAAATTCGCTACATACTCCATTAGCACTTTCAACAGCAGTCTCAGAAATATCCAAACCGGTCACTGTTTCAATAGATTTGATTCCAGACATTAAATCAGCATCATATCCATTTCCACATCCAGGAATCAACCCATGTTTCAAATCCGATCTATTATTATAAACATTCTCCACTAAATGTCTTAAAATTGGACAGCCTTGTTTAGTGTCCCAAGGTGTTTGATTATTTTGCCACAATTCATCCCAATTCTTTCCCATCATTCCTCCATACTTTTTAATTGTTGTTTCTTGTTCAGAGGAAGAGGCTTTAATTGTTGATGAGAATTTTCTACTATTAAAAGAATTAATATTCATCACAATGGATGATCGGATATGAATGTCACTTCTACCACTGATCAATTTGTTTAATCTTTGCATTTTTTTCAAGAATATTTAATTTGTTAATAATTTTAATAAACAATTAAAATATACTACTATTGCTTAATTCCATCTCAAATTATTGTTTATTGAGTTTTACTTGTAGTTCAAGTTCTTTAATTCTTTGTAAAAGTTGATAATTTTCCTCAATTATTTGACTCTTTTCATTCATTGTTTGAGTGTTTTCTTCTAGTATTTGATTGTAGCTCTTCAAAGGTGCAACTGTTCTATATTCTTTCATACTTGTTTCAATATCTTTGATAGTTATGTTTTTACCTTGTAAATGTTGAACAATATCAGAAAGAATTGTTTTGTGAGTCCAACAATTCAATCTTTTAGAGGAATCTCTTTGAATCATTGTAATTATGAATCTAATTAATAGAGTATTGACATTAAAACTTGAATCAATAGTTCTATTGATCAATTTGTCAATAGCATAATGTAATTTAGTTTCTCCTTCAACAGTTGTTACAACTGAAAAGAAATGTTTACCATATCCAGTAAAATACTGATAGTTCTCATCATATTTCTTAATTTCAGAATCGCTAATAAATTGTTGATCCAATTGTAAAGAGCAATTTGTTAATATTTTCAATAGAATACATCCTAATGAAAACAAATCGCACTGAACTGTAATTTTACCAACATTTTGAGCTAGTTTTTCGTCATCATTTTGTTTTAACAATTCATCACTATAATTATCATATGAAACTTCAGGTGGCATGTATGAGGCCTTGCCTCGTGCAATAGTGATTGAATGACCTGTCTTGATTACTTTAGCAGTGTCAAAATCAATGATTTTGTACTTGTCTTTCACCTTAACTATATTCTTTGGATCTAAATCTCTATGAGAAATGTTATGGTCATGAATTGATTTTACAGAATCTAAAATTTTGATAAATATACTAAGGAATTCAATAAGTTTTTCTCTTGTTATATTTGCAGAATTTTGGTAGAGTGTTACATTTCTATTAATATAATCTAATAGGGTTTCTTCTCCTAATTCCATTACTGAGTACATGTAATTATCAATTAGTTCACATTCGTAACATATAATTTTCCCCTCAATATCATTTCTTTTAATAAATTGAACTCTTTCAAGAGATGATTTCTGATCGAATTCTTTATCAAATTTAACTTTAACAGCAACCAATTCTTTTCTAATTCTATCAAACCCTTTGAATGCAACTCCTTCTCCTCCATATCCTAAAACTGATAATAAATGAAATTTCTTATTGAAAAACGAGTAGTACTGATCTATAATTTTGATTATTTTTGAAGAATCTCCAAATAGTTCATTATATTTTGTTAATGTTTTCTTGTAGTTGTCAAATGAAGAGCTGTTTTCAGTCCAACGAGAGAAAAAGTACAATATCATTTCTACATCTTTTGCTGAATAATATGATGTCTCGAATATGGATGAAATACTATCAACTTGCTTTCTCAGATTTGAAATAGGGGTTGGAATAATCTCACTTTCATTTTCTTCCAAAAATCTAGTTAATAATAAGCAAAACAGATGATAGTCAACTGATTCAAAAGTAGAAGCTTTGGTAAATGGATGTTTTGATACTATATTTTTCACAATTTGCAAAATAATTAACTTGGTTATGAAATCAGCAGAGTATTTGGCACTAAATAACTTGAGAATTGGTTTTGGAAAAGTTTCATGTAAATCCAAGCAATAAAATAAATAACTTTCATCACAATACTTGTTTGAATACATTCCAACAATGTCCTTAGAAAGCTTTGTAGTCATTGGATCATTAGATTTTTCAATAAAATTAAATAACAAAGAGTTGATTTGATTAGCTCTTGTGGGATTAGTTTTTGTAAGTAAGTGGAAGAATGTTGTATCTGAAAGTAAGTGTGTATCTATGAAATCAATTGCAGTTGGGGTTTGTTTAACAGCTTCTAAAATTATATCCCTATCTTGAAGTAATGACTCGTCAATAAATAAATACAGTTCACCATCTTGTTTCAAAGCTTCCAATACTATTTCTCTGTCTTTTGTTAATGTTTCGTCTGCATAGTAGAATGCTGTGCTATTTTGTTTTACAGCTTCCAACACGATTTTTCTATCCTTCCTCAATGAATCATCGGCATATCTAAGTACTTCTCCATTTTGTTTAACAGCTTCCATTACAATTTGCTTATCCCTTCTCAATGATTCATCAACTTGCTCAAGAGTATTTCCATTTTGTTTAACAGCCGCCAACGCAATTTGCTTATCTTTTTTAAAGGACTCATCTGTTGAAATTACATCGCCATTCAATTTAACAGCTTCTAACACAAATTTTCTATCCTTCCTCAATGAATCATCTGCATATCTAAGTGCGTAGCCATTTTGTTTAATAGCTTCCAATACTAATTCTCTATCCCTTTTGAATGATTCATTGGCATAGTCAAGTGCGTAGCCATTTTGTTTAACTGCCTTCAAGACAATATCTCTGGTTTGTTCAAAGTTTGAAAAGGCGAAGTTTGTAAATAGCCTTAAAGCTTCTCCATTAGATTCAATTGCTTCCAAAATAAAGTCTGTGTTATATTTAAGCGAATCATCAATAAAATCAAGAGCTTTTACATTTTTCTTTGTGGCCTCCAACACAATTTCTCTATTTTTAAAAAGTGAATGGTTTGTGTTTTTGAAAGGTAATCCATTTCGAATAGCTTGGATAACAATTTCTCTATCAATATTCATGGAAATATCAGATAGTTTAACACCATCTTGCTTGATAGCATTCAATTCAATTTCCTTTTTCAATTTTTCAGCAATGGTAATATAGGCCAGGCCGTTTTGTTTAACAGCTTCCAATATAAACTGTCTATCACTTCTAAATGAACTATCTGCAAGTCTAAGTGCACAGCCATTTTGTTTAATAGCTTCCCTAACAATTTCAATGTCTTGTTTGAATGATGCATCTATATACGGCAATGCTTCACCATTTAATTTCACAGCTTCCAATACGAATGCTCTGTCTTTCTTAAATGACGAATCAGCATGACTGAATGCACTTCCCTTTTGTTTAATTGCCATCAGTACTATATTTCTATCGTTTTTAAATGAATTGTCAGCAAACTGTAATGCAGTGCCATCCTGCTTAATGGCTGCCAACACAATTCTTCTGTCTCTTTTAAGAGTTTCGTCTGCAATCTCTAGTATTTGGCCATAGTTTTGTTTGATGGCTTCCAAAACTAAACCTCTATCTTTCCACAGTGATGGATCGGCATAAGATAATGTGTGACCATGTTTTTTAACTGACGCCATCACAATTTCTCGATTCGCCTTTAATGAAGAATGTGCATATAAAAGTGAGAGCGAACAATCTTGTTTAATACCTTGTAAAATGTATTTTTTATCTTTTTGCAACTTTTCATCGTTCATAAGTGATGAAACATCATACTCTTTCATTCTTCTTATTTTTTGATTTTAATCATCACGTTTGACACAATAATTTTCATTCGAACGAGAAAACAGATTTCTTTGGAGAATTAAACAAAACAATAAAAAATGGGACAAAATCAAGGCTCACCATCATCTGGACAATTAATAAATATTCCATCGTTATCAAAAGATTTATTAGATAAATTGGCTCATCAGACACATTATGATAAGAAGGAAATTAAACAATTACATACTCAATTCTATTCCGAAGTACCTAATGGGGCTATACCTAAAGAGGTTGGTTTTTTAGATCATCAATTTTTAATTTTATTGTGATAGGATTTTTGTCAATTAACGGAATTGATGGGAATTAAAGATCCATTCATAACTTCATTGGTATTTAATGCTTTTGATAGAAATTGTGATTCGAGTATTTCATTTGATGAGTTTTTGATATCGATGAGTATAATGACAAGGTAGGTTTGATTAGTTTCGAATAATTGATTAAAATTATTCGAAAAGAGGAAATGCTGATGAAAAATTGGAATTTGCTTTCAAGTTATATGATCTCAATCATGATGGATATATTTTGAAAAGTGAAATGACAAGAATTGTAACAGCTCTTTATCAAATGTTGGGTGATTTACTGACATTGCAAGGTGATTTTGGTGGGTTTTATTGGAATTTATTTGATTAATTTTATTATGATTTCAGATAAACCTTCAAAACTTGTAGATAAAATCTTTGAGGAAATGGACACAAATAGAGATGGAAAATTGGTATGTATTTTGGAATACGAATGTTAACTAATTTACAAAATAGACTTTTGAGGAATATAAAATTGGAGCAAAGAAATGCCCAGAAATTGTAAATGGACTAGCACTTTTCTAAATAAATTATTGTAAATTATTCTTGTAATCATTCTCTGGATAATTGAAAGAGTGAAAACAAAGAAATTGGATAAATTTCATCACCATCCACGATTAAATTACCTGAATCATGAAGAGCTCCGAGTTGTTGCTTAAAGTTAGATGGAATTGGCTCTTCCTGCAGGGCTATCCACAACTTCATGGCTTCAGAATACTTCAATGGAGTGAAAGATTCCAAATTGGCCTTTCTCACCTTATTCATATCGAGTTCAATATTTTCCTTAGAAAGTGAGAAATCAAATAATCTTGCCAATATTCCTCTATTATCTGAACAAAGTGATTCAAAAAATTCAGTATTGATTTCCAACATTTTCTTTGTAATTTCTAAAAGGAATTGATTTGAATCATCACCAAGCTTGTGAGAATCAGAGATGGAGTAGGAAATATCCAACTCTTCCATCACTAACAATTTGCTTATTTCCCTCATGTTTCCTCCTGTGAGGAAGGTTATCTCATTGGCTCTTCCTGATTTACATTTCAGGAACTCTTCAATATTCTTTGAGTTGGTTGGTTTCACAGAAGGGAGTCTAATTTCCAAGAACTTGCTTGGGGAGAATGCACGTTCTGATTTGAATGGAATGTTGACTTCAGATGAAGGAATGAAATTGGAACAGCTTAGAGTTACGGGAATTCTTCCACTGGAATCCCCTGCAAGAGTGGACAACCAGGCAATATGAGCATGTGCTTTTGGAAAGTCTTTGGTGTTCAATTCATAAACTTTCTCAACATTGTCAATTATTAACATTAAATACTTGTCGCTTGATTCGAGAAGGGTTGACAATTCATGAAGCTTATCACTATAACCTGACTTTTTTCTCTTCAACGAATGTTCCCTTTCCAATTCACTGAAAATCAAATCAATTGGTACAGTTTTCTTAAAGCTCTCATTTCCACAAATATGTTCGTATGTTAAATAAATTGGAATAACCTTAGGGTGGAAAACTTGGCATGATTGAACAAAGTTTTTGTAGGTCATACTCTTTCCAATTCCTGAATTACCAACAAGAATGATATTGCTCACTCCAGTCTTTCGTACGAAATAACCACTTTCCAATAAGAAAGCTCGATGGGAAAGTTGCTTAAAGATAGAAGCATGAACAGGAGTATTCGCAATCTCGCTAACAGTAGAAGGATACTTCTCCTTACATGATTTAAACATCCTTCTCCATTCCTCAAAAGTTACTGTCTGACTGTTGTAAAATTGTTTAAGTTTCAAAGTCAATGGATTATTCCTATTGGCACTCATTAGAAAAGAAGACCATTTCGATCCAATAGATGATTCTGATTTGCTGTACATTCTTACCATTACCTTGGGCTTAATCATCCTCAACAGATGATTGGAAGTACAAAGTTTGTGAGTTTTGAACATTTTTTTGTTAATACTTGAGGAAAATCTTAATATGTGAATTTCCTTATAAATAATGAAAGATGCTTAACTGGACACATCAAAGCTAGTTCCTCAATTAATTGAATCAATAGTCCCAACTAAACTTTGCTAAATGCTTTCACCTGGCTTTATTAATAATTACTTTTGACTTGAGTAAGCTTGGATAAACTTGTTGATCTAAAAAAAGATTCAAATTTCCAACAAGAAAAAATACATCAACCTGGTGTTTGGTGGATCCTATTAATAATACATTTTTAAAAAAACACTTGTACATCAATCTTATTTCCTTGTGATCAACAAGATTTAAATAATATAATACAACATCATCATGGGTAACGCACCGAGTGGAGGACAACAACCTTTCCAACTTCCTGGCGCTGGAAAAAAGCAGAATAAGGACGATAAGAAAAAGAAGAAGGAAAAGAAAAAGTTTGAACAACCAGTACCAACCCGTATTGGCAGAAAAAAGAGGAAAAAGGGTCCACAAATTGCTGAAAAGCTTCCAGAAGTTACACCAGTCTCAAAATGTAAACTTAGAATACTACGATTGGAAAGAGTTAAAGACTATCTTACAATGGAAAAAGAATTTGTTACTAATCAAACAAAACTTTTGACTGCCCAAGAAAAGAGCAAGGATATGGAAGAGGAACGTAACATGGTCGATGAATTAAGAGGATCACCAATGGCTGTAGGAACTCTTGAAGAAATTATTGATGATAACCATGCTATTGTTTCTAGCAGTGTTGGTCCTGAATTCTATGTTTCAATCCTTTCAATTGTTGATAAGGATCAATTGGAACCTGGTTGTAGTATTTTAATGCACAATAGATATTTGGCTGTTGTTGGTATTCTTCAAGATGAAGCCGATCCAATGGTCTCTGTCATGAAAGTCGATAAGGCTCCTCTCGAATCATATTCACAAATTGGTGGTTTGGAAGATCAAATCCAAGAAATCAAGGAAGCTGTCGAATTCCCATTAACACATCCAGAACTTTATGAAGATATTGGTATTAAACCACCAAAAGGTGTTATACTTTATGGTGAACCAGGTACAGGAAAGGTATGTAGTAATTATTTATACAACAATGTATTAATCATCATCATTATACTTATATTATTGAATATGTATAATCATATTAGACACTTCTTGCCAAAGCTGTAGCCCATCACACCAGTGCTACTTTCTTGCGTGTTGTTGGTTCCGAACTCATTCAAAAGTATCTTGGTGAAGGTCCAAAACTTGTTCGTGAATTGTTTAGAGTTGCTGAAGAATTGGCTCCAAGTATTGTATTTATAGACGAAATTGATGCTATTGGTACAAAGAGATTTGATTCAACATCAGGAGGTGAACGTGAAATTCAAAGAACTATGCTTGAATTGCTTAACCAATTGGACGGTTTCGATTCCAGGGGTGACGTTAAGGTTATCATGGCCACTAACAGAATTGATTCTCTTGATACTGCTTTGATTAGACCTGGTAGAATTGATCGTAAGATTAAATTCCCATTCCCAGATGTTAAGACAAAGAGAAAGATCTTTGAAATTCACACTCGTAAGATGAGTAAGGCTACTGATGTAAATTTGGATGAATTTATTTCCTCAAAGGATGAATTGTCTGGTGCTGACATTAAAGCTATTTGTACAGAAGCAGGTTTGTTGGCTCTCAGAGAACGTAGACTCCAAGTTACTCAAACAGACTTTACAAAGGCCAAGGAAAAGGTTTTGTACAAAAAGCAACAAGGTATTCCAGAAGGTCTTTACATTTAAATCTACTACCTGCACCTAAAGTGTATAATAAAATTTATTGTATTGAATGTAATATTAACAAATTTCAATGACCTTGAACATTTAGTTAATGATTCAATTTTGTTGTTATGTAATGCTATTAGAAAGATGAGGTGAATCATTTTCTTAGAACCAAATAGACGAATAATCGTAAGCGAGCAGATATCAACAAATTGAGAATGTGAAACTATTGTTACTAGCTCAACAACATCCAAGTCAACCTTTAAAGTTCTCCAACATGACCTAACAGCGATACAAAAGTTAATATTGAAATCCTTTACAATGAGTTTGTATTTCTTTAAAATCTTCCGCCCAAAAACTACAAAAAAATGAGTCATCCTTCCACACCACAAAACGGCACCTCAAGACAACGCTTATTTCTGGGTACTCTTGATCCGATTGAATATTTGGATCAGACACTTGTGACAGCACATTTGAAGAATGCTCTCACTCAAGGTATGTTGTTTAGAGTTGATCTTATGATTGAACTTATTTCTAATAGTGTTGGAGGTGAAACCTGATGATCCTTTGGAATTTCTTGCAGAATAGTAAGTGTTGAAGTGTATGGATGTATTTGTTTATTCATTAAATTAGCTTTTCGGAAGTGAACATCGAAAAGAAAACTCATCCTTGAAGACACTCGCTCCATTGGTTTTCATCAACAGAAAATAGATGAAAACCAGAAATTGGAACGATCTAAAAATTTGCTTACCGTTACAATTTCCATCAACTCTAATTTTCCAAAAAATAGAGGAAATAAATTATTAAAAAAAATGTGTGGAAGAAGTAACCTCTCTTTACCTCCTCAACGCTTGAGAAATGCCGCAGCACCACATATCGGAGCAAATTTAAACACTACCCTGTGGGTCAATCAAGCTCTCTACCAACCAAATTTTAATTTAACCACTGGAGCTCACTTGCCACTTTTCTTTGTTGACAAGAATTTAAACGATCAAGAAAAGGACATAAAAAAGGAGGTTCCTGACAGTTGTGATAAGAAGAAATTAATTAAATTGGAGGCACAAGTTAAAATAGAAGAGCCAACATTGGCTACTAAAATCAAGGACGAATTTGTTGAAGTGAAGAAAGAAGATAACCAATCGAATATTATTCTAAAATCGGAAGAAATTGTAAAGAAGGAAGAATTGGAAACTATTGAAGGACTATGTATAAGAACAATGAATTGGGGAATGTACTCACAAAAGGCCAAGGCGTTTTCAATGAATATTAGATCAGAATCAGTTGCTGAAAAGTTTGGATCCATTTTGAGAAGAAATAGAGCTATTTTATTTGTTGAAGGATTTTATGAATGGAAGAGTTCTACAAGTGGAGGAAAGGGTCAACCTTATTATATTCATCCAAAACAAAAGGGCAGTCTGATATGTTTGGCATGTTTATTTGATAAGAAGAAAGGAGAGTCAGGAGATGATTATCAATTTTCAGTATTGACTGTTGATGCTGACAAGACATTCTCACAAATACATCACAGAATGCCAGCCATTCTTACAAACATTGAGGATGTAAGAAAATGGTTAGGTATCTCACCAATCAAGGAAGAAAATCAACTACAGTCTCTTCTCTCCCTCTTGAAACCTTATGAATTTTCACAACACCTTGAAATGTACAAGGTTTCAGATTTTGTAAATAGCACTGCCAACAATACCTCCAAATGTATCAAACCACTCTCTGAAATTCAACAAGGAAAAGGAAGCTTACATTCCTTCTTTAAACCTCTATCAAAGAAAGCCCCAGCAGAAAAACGTGTCAAAGACGAAACTGAAGATTCCTCTTCACATCCATCCTCAAAGAAAATCAAATCAGAACCAATAGAAATTGATTAACTCAATAAACCATGCATTTTATCAATCGCAAGAAATACAAAAATCAGACGGTCAACCCCTCTTTATTGTAAACCAAGACATTCAAAGCTGAGATTGAAAGTTTGAAACTCTGCACATTTAATAATAGAAAAAAATATCTGGATATCGAAACTAGGCCACACACTTTTAATTTTTAAAAATGAACTTTCAAGCTATTCATCAATCATCCTCTTCCTCTACCTCATCAGGATCATCATCGGAAAAGAAAAGAGGTGGTAGAAGAGAAATGGGAGAAACAGAAAAAGTTTCCCGAGCACTTTCTAAATTATTGAGACATAAAGCCGATAAAACTAAAGGAATTAATTTGAGAGCTGATGGATATGTTCTCATTCGTGAAATTCTTGCATTGAAGGATTTTAAAGGAGTCACTCAACAAATGATTGAAGAATGTGTAAAGAATAATGATAAACAAAGATTTAACATGACACAAGATGCCACCACAGGAGAATATATTATTAGAGCTAATCAAGGACATACCATTGCTGTTGAAGTGGAAATGGAAGAAATTGATTCACCATCTAAATTGGGAGAATATGCCAATACAGTCATGCATGGAACTTATCATGATGCCTATGATAAAATTGTGCAATCTGGTGGCCTATCAAGAATGTCAAGACAACACATTCACTTTGCAATTGGAGAACCAGAGGAAGGTCACGTTATTTCTGGTATGAGAAAGAGTGCAGAAGTTTGTTTCTTTTTAGATGTACAAAAGACCATTGATGAAGGTATTAAATTACTCAAATCATCCAATGGAGTTATCCTCTCACCAGGTAATGATAAGGGACTCATTCCAATGCATTGTTTCTCTCAAATTATCGATAGAAAGACAAGAAAAGTACTCTACACTAACAAACCATAAATAAATGTTCCATTTGGTCAACCAATTCAATTGAATCATTGTAATCATTCGCAGTTAGCAAATAAATGGACTAATTAACATTGCAACCAATCAACTGTGCATGTAACCCATATTGATAATATCATTACGGTAAACACTTCATATTGGTTATAAAAAAAAATGAACGACACATACGAAGAACAAGTGGATGAAGTTGGTATCAGTGGTGGTGGAGGAGGTGTTGGTGGATCATCAGCCTCCAATCAACATCGTTATTATAGTGCAGGAGATTTAATGGATGAAAAATCAAAGAAACGAGTTTCTAGAGGTTTTATTGCCATTGCTGCTTTTGTTATTTTGGTAATTGCTTTGGGATTGTTAGCCTTGTTGATTTTGTCGATTGCTTTATATTGGACACGAGCAAACAAACACTTATATCCGAATCCCGAATATTCACAGAGTACAGATTATATGCATTTTGTAGTTGTAGGCGACCAGGGAAGAGGAAATGATGCACAAAAAACTGTTGCTGCCTCTATGGGAAAATATTGTGAATCAAGTGCAAGTATTGGCAAAGCATGTCAATTCGTTATTGGTGTTGGAGATAATATTTATGATAATGGTGTCACTGATATGTATGATCAACAATTTAAGACCAAGTTTGAAGATATTTATGGAACTATTGATGGTTTGAAGGATTTGAAATGGTACATGATGCTTGGTAATCATGGTATGTAACTTGTTAATTAATGAGATATTAACTGAGTTTTTAGATTATAGATTGAATCCTGAAGCTCAAATTCAATATTCTCAAATTAATCCACGTTGGATTATGCCAGATTATTTCTATTCATTTGAAAAGATATCAACTCAAGGAGGATTCAATGTTTCATTTGTTGTGACTGACACTAATCCATTCGTTAAGAGTTATTTCTCTAAATCAGTAATGAATCAAACTGCTTTAAATAATAGAAAGGTCAATAATACCGATCAATTAACCATGATTGAAAGTATCATGGAAAAGAATTACAAGAATCCAAACAAATGGACTTTAGTTTTCGGTCATCATCCTGTATACTCAACTGGTGTTCACTATGATACTCCTGAACTTTTGGCAAGTTATGAACCAATTTTTGATAGATATAAATTACCACTTTACATGAGTGGTCATGACCATTTATTGAACTGGCTCTCCAATCCAAAACTTCCATACACTCAATATGTAATTTCTGGTGGAGGTGCTGGTAATACCAAACCAATTTTGTACAATGCAAATTCCTTGAACGAGTGGAATGATTCTGGATTTTTCTCAATTGAAATTCAATATTCTTTCATATTCGCCAGAGCTTTTGATAAGAATGGAAAGGAATTGTGGAAATTTAGAATTGACAAACCAACTTATTAAATATTTTATTGATAATTTAAATGAACTATCATGTGAATAGTATTATCTTCACAATTTCAAATCTTAAAATATGTTTTTCTAAATTTTTGTTGAATTTCAAGCAACAAAAAAATGGCCAGAAAGAACAATAAGAAAATAAAGAAGAGGTAAGAAAAATATTTGAACTTTTGCGATGCTGAGACAAAAATCAATTTCCGTTCGGTTTTTATTATTAATTTACCATCATGATTATTGATTGTGTAAAATCTTGTGGAACAAAACTTCGGATTGGATGTGATTAAAATTGTCATCAATTATTATTCAACAACAACAATAGATATAACGATTATTTACTCGAGGAAGAAAAGAGAGACGAGGAAAAGAAAAAAGCCAAAGAAGAAGTTAGAAAACAAAAGAGAGAAAATGAAGAAATGTTGGATGAAGTTAAGAACAATCCTCTTGTAAAGGAAGCAAACAAACAAGCTAAAATAGCCGAAAAGAAGGAAGCCAAAAAGAAAAAGGATGAAGCTGCAATGCAAGATGTTCAATCAGAAGACAAAATGACAGACGAAAGTCAAGACGTTGAAAAACGACCAAGACGTCACAAGCAAAGAAATAAACCATACTAATTTATTCCACTTTTTCTTTTTGTTTGAAAAGAGAAATTATTGAGGTTCCAACCAAGACAGTCCAAGTTGGAATCATGACAACACAGAAACTGATATAGAATAGGTTTTGAGGTAGGTCAGTAATTGTGAAAAACCATTCGAGTTGACTTGAAATAGCTTCTCCAAAATAGTGTTGTCTTACAAGAATATTTACAATAATCAAATTGAATGGACAAGCTGCAAGTAAGGATACAAGCTGAACAAGCTTGGCAATAATGTTAGTTGGAAAAACTGTTGTCAAAATGCACAAAATTGATAAATAAGAGGAAAGGAAAATACACAAGGCACTCGAATAAATCATGATTGCTCCTACCATAATTCCAGAAAAAGCAATAGAAAGAGATTTGGCATATCTCCAATGGATTGGATTTGGTTTAGCTTTGAATAAATACTCGTAAATTCTATTAACAACTGGGTAGAACAAAGTGAGAGAAGAAAGTACCAAAATTACAACTATTGAGATCCAATAAGTGGCAAATTGTTGCGAATCAAGAGCCAAATGACGAAGAGTATCCTTCAATATAATTGGTGTCAAATAAATTAAAACTCCATTAGCAAAATTAGAAATAACAAAAATGACTGCATGAGCAAGTTCTTTTTCGGATGCAGTACTGGCATAGTAGTTTCCAATAAATTGAATAGCCAAACAACCAAGGAACATTAATAAGTTTGGTAAATAATGTTCAAATCCATAATAATGTTGTGAATCAGTAACATAGTACAAAAAGAACGATTGATGCAACTCTTCAATAAGGTTGTTCAAGCTTCTTATACTAATTTCCATAATTCTTCCCATCATGTAATAGGTATGCATGACACCAATTTTTGTAGTGTGCTGAGTAACAGAGTTAGTCAAAGTAATTGCATGAGTTAATTGTTGTCTGAACCAGGCATGTGGGCCAGTTGGGATGGAAATCAATTGATTATACCAATGGTTCAATACAATAACACTTCGTTCCATAAAAGAGTTTGGCAAATCAATTCCAAATGATCTAATCATTTCCAAAAATGCATGATGTAAATAGATAAATGCTGGTACATGATCCTTATAGTTTGGATACTGTTGCATGGTGGCATCAACATTTGGTGTTGCAGTCAGGTCAGCTTTAAAGAAAGTAGGAAGACCACCACGACCCATATTATAATGACTTTCACTCAATAAACCAGTCACAACATTGACCATGTCAAGATTTGGAAGTTCTCCATTGACACCTTCAGTAAGAACAGCAACTTGTTGAAAATCAAATGATTCCAAATCCAAAGTAATGGCCTCTCTCATTCTACCAGTAGGAATAGCAGCAGATTTGATAAAAGCTTCTTCACCAGCCCAATTATGTTCATATCCATCACTAATAACCAAAATAATATCATGATTAAGCCATTTAACTCTTGAAATATATTTCAACAATGCCAACGAGAAGGCCAAACTTTCAGATTTAAAATATGGAACTGTCAATATAATAGATTCCTTTCCATTACCTCTTCCTGGTCTAATAGCAATATATAAATTTTCACCTCTCACATTTTCAATCCTATTAATATATCTTCTTTCAACACTATACTCATGTCTCTTCATTTCACTATAAAAAGGAATACTCTCAGAATTTAAATAACTTTCAACAGCACTATAAGTTTGATTTCTAAAATCCAACTTGGCTGATCTACTATCCAATGTTTTTAATTGATTCAAAATTGAAACTCCATAATCAGCATCTTGTTGATTAAATTCTGGTGTATGAAAAAACACAGAGAGAGCATTCTCCGAATAATAAATGTTTTTCGTAACGAAGGGCCAACATAAAAACCATCCAATGGCTCCGATAAATAATAAATAGGAAACAATATTAAAGTATTTAAATAGGTGAAGAATAACTCTTCTCATCATGGGAACTTGTGTTGTATTGTTATTATTTTCATCAACATTAGGATCTCTTTCATGATCACCACGAGCGATCACTTCCTTCTCTTCGTCTATTTGTTCCATTTTTTATTTATATTTTAATTCAAGTATTTATTATTAATTAAATTTACTATTTAAACTTTATATTTTGAATTAATAAAACAAGAGAAAGCCTTTGAATCAAGATGTTGATATGCTTTCAATTCCCATCTTTAAAAAATGGAATTGGCAACACCACTTGCTAACAATACCCTCTCTGATGATCATCATGGTAAGTAGATGATGATCGGAACAAATATTGAACAATTAGGAATTAATTAGATTATTCATTTCCTGATGATATTTGCTTTGAAATTTTGTCATTTCTTGATCCGTGGTCGATTTTGAAAAGTTGTTTATTAATTTCCAAGCAATGGATGACAATTATTGAACAACGTGTTCAGCTTTCGTTAGAGTTTACGGAAAGGATGAATTTAAGATCGAGCCAATTGTTTTTAAAGAGCCAATTTTTAGGAAATATTATCAATCTACAATTATCAGATAAGCAGATGAGTCTTGAGGTTTGGGAAAATGTTGTGAATGCTCTATTGTCTATGGGGAAATTAAGAATATTGATGGTTGAGAATAATGTGGATATTGAGGGAGCTAAAGTTATTGGAAATATCAAAAGTTTAACCAAGCTCAATATTAATACCATGTCAGTTGATTTTTATAGTAGATCTTTTTGCAGACAGGTAAAGAAGGAGCTGAATATTTAAGCGAATTAATCAATTTGAAAGATCTTGATATTTATGATGATAGTATTGGTGATGAAGGAGCTTTGTCAATTTTTAACTTGAGCAACCTTACCCACCTTGATATTTCAGCAAACGAAATTAGTGATGAAGCTGCGAAATCAATTGGTAATTTAAAAAATTTGACTGTTCTTATAATTGGAGCTAATTTAATAAGTGATGAAGGTGTTAAACCAATCACTAATATGAGCCAACTGACTCATCTTGATATCAGCAGCAACCTAATCAAATCCACTGGAGCAAAATCTATTAGTGAAATGAAGAATTTAACACATCTAGATGTTTTTGAAAATAATATTGGTGAAGAGGTACTGAGTGGAATGAAAAATTTGAAAGAATTCAGAGAAAATTATTGGGACTTTATGAATTAAACAATTATTTGAAGACGTTATATATTTAAGGTAATTTCATAAGTCTGACAGTGTGGGCCATATGATTGACAGTTTCAGCACCAATTACTAAGACTACCAGATCGCCAGGTTGGGCAAATGACTTTTCAACCAAATATTTACAACAAAGCTCTTCGACACTGTGAGGACCTGTGATGTAATCCGTGTTATGGATTAGTACAGGAGTAATTCCCCAACCTAATGTGAGACGATTGAATGTAAATTCTTGATCTGTCAATGCAATGATTGGAACATTAGGTCTGTATTGAGAAATACTGACAGCTGTTTTCCCTGAATTAGTGATACAACAAATTAATTTAACACCAGAGTGCTTATTTGCAATAGTAGAAGCAGCCATGCAGCTAGCATTTTCAATAGAGTCAGTGGCATTACTGTTGAAATCATTCTCATGAGAGTCCAATCTACCAAACTTGTGAGAATTGATGTCAGCTGTTCTCACAATTAAGTGCATAGTTTTGACAGAAAGAACTGGATATTTTCCCATAGCTGATTCATTACTCAACATGACTACATCTGTTCCATCAAAACATGCATTGGAAACATCTGTAACTTCAGCTCTGGTTGGAATTTTACTTTCAACCATAGATTGCAGCATTTGGGTGGCTGTAATATCAATTTTACCTGCTTTGGAGGATTTTTCAATTAATTCCTTTTGGAAAATTGGTAATTCATGGAAATTAGTCTCAATCATCAAATCACCTCTATGTGAAATAATTATCAGAAAAAAAATCATTCTACAAACTTACCTTGCAACCATCAATCCATCAGCTTCCTTAAGAATGGCATCAATATTTCTAATAGCTTCAATTCTCTCAATTTTTGCAATAATTGGAATAGTTTTACCAGCAAATTTCATCATTAGATTCTTGGCATCAATAATATCTTGAGCAAATCTGACAAAACTCAAACAAACATAATTAATTTCACCACATTTCATACCAAATTCCAAATCAGCAATATCTTTTTCTGTCAATGCAGGGGCTGAAATAGTTGCCCCTTCATCAACCATATTAATTCCCTTTCTTTGAGATAACATTCCTCCTGTTACAACTTTACAAACCATTTCAGTTTCTTCTTGATTTTTAGAAACAACGTGCACTTCCAAATAACCATCATCAATCATTAATTTAGAGCCAGGTCTACAATCCCTAACCAAATTTGGATAAGAAGTAGAAACTTTTCTAGGTCTAGTTTCATTATCTTCACCACTCGCAATAACACTCTTATCTGTAGTGATCACAATTTCCTCTCCCTCAACAATCATGAAAGATTTACCCAATTTACCAATTCTAATCTTTGGACCTTGAAGATCTTGAACAATTGCAAATGGAATTCCACCCAATTCCTTCTGTGCCTCTCTAATCTTTTGAATCGTCTCCAAATGAACGTTGTGTTCTCCATGACTAAAGTTTAATCTAGCTGCGTTCATTCCTTCCATCATCATTTGCATTATTATAGATTTATCGGAAGAGCTTGGGCCGATCGTGCACAATATTTTGGTTCTTCTATCAGATGCTGTTCCGTTCATGTTGTTGTGTTACTGTTTTGGTGAGTGATCAAAAAATTGATTAGATCAAGCTTGATGGAACAGATTAATGTGGAGATATTTTTTTGCTTGCTTGTAATTTGACAAGTTCATTGTAAGGGAAAGGTTTGAAAGAGCATTCTGGTTGTGATGATGAGATGTTCACAATGAATTGTCTAATGGCCAAATAATTCATTGGACAAAGATGTAGAATTTACATTTATGGAAATCATTTTTAAATTGAAATTTAGAAAAAAATGAAGGAAGATATTACCAGAACGCATCTTGTAACGAATTATGGTAATAGAGATTTCTCGCATAAGCATCGATCCAATATTTACAAGCAATATCGTCAGAGTTTTAAAAATTCACCTCAGACAAATGAACAATCTGGCCATGATGACTCATTCGTCCAGAGTCGATTAGCAACACTGCTACAACAATATTTGTTTAAAACTAATCTCAGTTATCAGGTAGAAACAATTAGTGGAGAAGAAATGAGACTCTTAGAACAGTACAATGAATTGGCTTCGTATAAGAGACAATTCGATCCAGAAGGTTCACCTCCAGAACTTCCTGAATTCTTAAATGAACCATTCTATTACATTATTGATTTGAGAAATCTCATGTCAAGACCCAATTTTAAAACTCTCTTTCCAGAGTTTGCAAGAACCGCCTTAACTGAAGAATTTCGACAGGATTTGGAAATATTTTGGAGGGCGTGTTGTAAAGTATTGAATAGAAACTTTGCATTCATAACCCATTTAGATTTGGGAGAGAATGATTTGGAAAATCTAAAGCCATTCAGAGAATTATCTCAACTCAAACGTTTGACATGTCTTTCATTAAGAAATAACAAGATTTTATTCATTCAAGAATTGAGATACTTCTCTGGATTGGTTATTAATGAATTGGATATGTCTGGTAACCCATTCATTAACACTGGTGGTTATGTGAGGGAAGATGTCATTTACATGTTGTCATTGTTCCCATTTTTAGAAATAGTGGATCAAAATTTCATTCCAGACGATGTCAAAGAAGAGATTGTTATTCACTCATCTTCCAATGTGTCTTTGTTACCAGATATTAATATTCAAAGTACATTTGAAAGTCAAGAAGAAAGGGCCTGGATTGAATGGTTTCTCAATAATTACTTTACAACATTCGATACTAACAGAGCTGAAGTAATGTCATGTTATCAACATAATGCAATCTTCTCGTTTTCATACGATATCAATGCCTATGCTGATTTACCTGAGACATTCGAATCTAAATTAAGTTTAAGATATCTGAAGCCATTCTCCAGAAATTTACTTTACATTCTCAGAGATTCTACTGCAAGAGAAACTCTTCTGAACGAATCTCTCACTCTTCGAATTGGAAAAGAAGCAATTTATGAACTTCTTATTGCTATGCCAAACACAATTCACAATTTAACAACTAATTTAATTGATGTATCGTCATATGACGTTATCAAAATAGTAGATGAACTCAATCCATATCAATCCCCAATTACTAAACATATTATGGTCAATTATCATGGACAATGCCAACAAATGGACGAAAAAGGTATTAAATATCCAAGGTCAATTGATTGTCAATTGATTCTCACACCTAATTTGAATCCACTTACTCAACAAACTCTTCGTTACCTCATCCAAAATCAACAATATCAAATTAGACCATATGTTTCACTCAGTTTGACCAAGATCTTCAAAGGACATGAAATAGAAAGACCTTCAACTCCTTATTCTTTCGTTGATACTGGATCAAGAACTGAATTAACAGCGCTACACGAAAGCATAATAGTTCAATTCACATCAATTACTGGATTAAGAAGAGAATATGCACTTCCATGTTTGGAATATTCAAATTGGAATATTAGTAACGCAATTAACACTTTTAACACGGAAAAGATGAATGGAAATATTCCACTCTATTGTTTTCAATAAATTGTGATTTAAATTATTGTAAATTATTTGAAAAATCATTATGAAAATTTCAAATAACCAAATATGAACCTTCAAAATTGGTTAACAAACTTGGATTTGCAGCATTTCATTAATTTTAAATCAAATTTTAAAAAAATGAGAAAACAATTAATAAGCAAACTCTCACAAATTGTCTCCCGTGATTTGGGTAATCGTGGCATTGGAAAATTAATAGAAAAATACACAAATAACTCTTCCGATTCTACTATCAAACAATCTGAACTGTATTGTGGCAATGAACATTCTATCGGAAAGATTGTTGATGAATTTATAATGCCAAAGGTTGATTGCCAAAAAGATGTTATTTCTAACAAGTACATTTCGATAATTACTGGATTTTCTGTGCCACCAAATGGATTTTCGGAGAATGATGGACCTTTGGGTGCAATTTGGATTGGATTGGGAATTGTGAAATATTCCAATTTGAATGTTTTATATTTTGTGGATGAGAATCAATACAATGCAATTTCCAAGTTTGCCAATATGGTTTTTGAATCAATGAAAGATAGAATTAAAATTGTTAAAATTACAAAGAGTGATTTGGATAATGTAAAACAATCATCAAGTATTTCTGAATGTATTGAAAATATTGATTCAATGATTTCTATTGAAAGAGTTGGAAAAACCAAAGATTCTAATTATTATAGTATGAGAGGAATTGATATTTCAAGTTACAATTTGTCAATGGATAGATTAATTGATCATGTCAGAGAAATCAAACCAGAAACTCAACTAATTTCTATTGGGGATGGAGGTAATGAAATAGGAATGGGAAATGTAATTGATGGAGTTGCACAATTCATCCCAAACGGTGATAAAATAGCATGTGCTGTCAAATGCAATCAGTTATTAATTTGTGGCGTCAGTAATTGGGGTGGTTACTTACTCTACCTATTATTTGAACATTGTAATTCATCGCTCACTCTTCAAACAATGCAAGGTATTAATATTGAACTCGATAGAAGCTATCTAGAATATATGAATAATGAATGTAAAATGGTAGATGGTGTTAGAAATCAGCCAACTATGAGTGTTGATGGTCTTGAGTATGATCTAGTTCATGCCAACATTCTAAAGGAATTAAATGAATGTTTCCAATCATCTAACCAATAAAAATTGGTGTACCCATTCCATAATTATTAATTTCAAAGATTATATTCAAAATCAACCTTGGAATTAAGGATGAAAATGAAAACTCTGAAAACGATAGACATCTGAATAGATTCTTTCTCTAAATTCTAAAAATCTCAATATTTTGACAATAAATATATCAAATCTAATCAAATCATCATAACGATTTGAAAAACTCATTCAACAGATTGAACGACTACAATCCATTTCCTCAAAAGCTCACTCGTCAAAACTTGTATACAACCACATTTAGGACACCACCTAAATTGGTGCCAACTGAGAGACAGTACCCACTAACTCCAACCATTCAAAACAACAACAAATTATCGATATTATTAGACTATTTGATTGCAATATTAAATACTTACAAAACACATGTTTGGTTGGTATAATTAAAATGTTCCCGATTATTTTTACTTGCTTCCTTCTTAGGTGGTGAGAGAGGACACATCATCAACAAAAGCCGCGCAAAAGAATGCCTGGTAGTAGCTATTATTAATTTTTTGCAACTCAAAAAAAAACCTTGCGCTTCTTTCCGCAATTACAAACACAAAAGAATCTTCGGGTGCTTAGCCTGCAAAGCGAATCACAACGACGACAACAACTTTTTTGATTGTTTTTATTTCCCTTGTTATAACAACAACCTGACATCTTTTTGGAACTTTTTGTTCGCAAAAGCAAATTATCATCCATAGTATTTTTTAATACGTAGTAGTAGTACAATAATTGAAATCACTTTGAAAATGCAATTGTTTAGAGATTTTAGTTTTTTGAATTCTCCGCATACAAATAATAAGAAATCTACTCAGGTTTCTTGTTACACTAAAGACACTTGTGGTGTTAAGGAGAACTTGTACTTCTTCAGTCATGATGACGGTAGAGGGCCTATTCGCTATTTTTGATGTGGCTCTTTTTACCTTGAAGGAAATGGATTTCCACTATCGTCCTCTTGCTATGGACGACTCTAACCTCGACTCTCTCCAATATTCTCTCACTCAACAACTCGACCAATCTATGAATTTCCTTTCCAATACTACATTCAAAAATACCCAAAAACTTTCACCAAAATCTGTAATGTTTGTTTATACTATTGGTGATGAATTACCAGATTATGACGATGCTTCATCAGAATCATCATTGGAATCTGACTCAAGTGATGCTAATATTAGAACTGGATTTACTGGTATTATCGACTTTGAAAAGAACGAAATGACAATTTATCCACCTTCTAATTCTTCATGCATGAATAAGGATTCTGTTATTAATCTTATGGACATGGCTGATTGCCTCGGTATTTCAACTTTGTACATGTGTATTGAAAAGAACCATCAAGAAATTAGAGAGTTTTCTCGTGGTTTCATTTATGCTGGTTTCGAATTGATACAACCAAAGATTAAGCAATTGTCTTCAACTGAATGGGTTGTTTTTGGTGCTGAATTGTAAAAAGATTTTTTCGGAATTGGAAAGATTTTTGTAAATATTTAATTGGTCAGAGAGAAGGAAACGAATTCAATCTACACGATATCTTATAGAACTTGCAAACCAAAACTTTGGATGACGGATTGAGCATTGTAAACTTGAATAACGTCGGTTGTTTGGGTTTTGTTCTTTGTTCACATAATCTTGATAGTGGAGTTGTTGGAATGCAATCTTTCTATTTTAGAGGATGACTGAAGATTGTCTTTGAACCCTTTTCTCATTTTAATAAAGAGAGAGTTCGAATAATACTTTTACTGTTTCTTTAATTTGAGTCTATGACAAACAGAGAAGGTAGATCTGAAGATGTTTTCAAGGTTGTAATTTGAAATCAATAATTTTATTCCAAAAAGATTCACATAATGAGAACAGGCGATAGTCTAATCAGAGTCTGTACTTGCATCTCCATAATCATCTTCCTCTTCAACCTTCATAGTTTCTTCTTCCTCAGGATCACTATCACCATTGTCATCAATATTGTCTTCCTCCTCTTCTTCATTCTCCTCATCACTGTCAAAATCAACTCTTTTTTTAGCCTTATAATTAATCAGAGAAGGATTCATTGAAGAGGTATATCCAAAACAGAATACTTGAAAACCACCAACTCCATTCAACAACATTTGAGTTTTTTCACAAATTTCCAATTCACACCATCCTCTTTCAGCTGCCTCCTTCTTTGTTGGAGTTGGATTTTTCTTTCCTGGATTGGCACTAACTGTGAGTAAGGTTTCCTTTCTCAATTGATTTTCTGGTTCTTCCCAAAAGTCATCTGAGCTAATTGGTAAAATACCTTCCATAGAAGGTAAGAAATAAGTATTCACAGCAGAAGTCAAATAGGAAATAGTATGGGTTGGTCTCTTGAGATTATGAATCTTGTTTTTCAAACTATCATTCACTTGATAGTTCCACATAGCTACTCTTCCAATATGTTTCTTATTGTCAAATATGGATTCCAACTGTTCAACCAAAAATCTTGCAATTTGAATGTCAGGATTGTTGAGTTGAATTTCTTTCAATAATTCAATAAATTGTTGAGGATTGTGAATTATTAATTTAAGAGTTGATTCTGAGGATACTTCATTAGTAATTTCTGTTATTCTACTATTATACTTTTTTCTTGATGGACCTTTGATCGATTTGATATATTCATCCAAAATGTCCAACAAGTGAAATCGTCCATTTCCCAATTCTTCAATGATTTGATCAGTCAAATTGTATTTTAACTTGAGTATTTTCAAGCAATTAGCTGCAAACTCCGGTTCCAGTAGAATTTCTTTCAACTTTGCAAATCTAACCCTAGAAACGTTTGGATTAAATAGCTCAGTATGTAAAACTTTTTCCATAAATTGTAAACTTCTGAGCATTGATGTTTCATGTGAAACAAACAATTTTTGTTGTCTACTATATTCATAAAATTCTAAAATGTCATCTTGAATAATATGAATGCATTCAAGTTTAAGAAATTGACCAATTGCCAAAATTGAGGAATGAACAATGCCAGGTCCAAGAGGCATATTAGATTCCAAAACAATAAAATTGTAGTCATCCACTCTATTTCCATTAGATATAATCCATTTCTTATATCTATTGATATATTTTGATTCTGTTACAATGGTTACACAATTTGGAATTGAATCTGAATGCAGCTTCTTCACGAAATTAGAATAGAGATAAGGTTTCCAAAATTTTCCTCTTGGTCTTGATTTGATAAATAGAGGTTTCAATCCATCACTAGTGAGCGTTGAAATCTGTTTCAGTTTAGTCAAAAAGCTTTCTTCATTATAGGAAATTTCTAGAATTTCATCATCTCTATTAAACTTGACCAATATTTCGTTATCATTCGAATAGTTTCTATCCATTACTTTAACAGGAATTGTGTATCTATCTCTCTTCTCGAATTTGAATTTCAACAAGGCATCGTTATGTGAGCAAAATGATTTTTGTTTTTCTTGCTTTTTTGCTTTCTTCTTTTCCTTCTTCTTCTTTTCCTTCTTTTCAGGGACAGGAGGTCTTAAATCAGTTACACTTTCAGATTCTTTATCTGGAAGATCTAATTTACATTCTTCCAATCTTTGTGGGAATGGATATTTGTCTTCAATGATTACCTCACCAATTGATGATTTCTTATTTTGGTACTTTGTCAATAGTTGTTTAACATTTTTGTGTAAACCAAAACTCAATTCTTCCCATGATTGGACAGTTTCCTCAAATTGAACACTAAAATCATGTTCAAAATCTTCCACTGCTTGCACAATATCTAGAATTATCTTTTCCTTTGATTTGTCCTTTTCCTCAAAATTTGGATTCAAAGAATAGCACAAAGACTGGACCCACTCTAATGGAATGATAGTATCACTTCTCAGGTATGATTCTTGCAAAATAGATGTTAATTTGGCTTGGAATCTTTTAGTAAGAGTGTTGAAACAACTTAAAAAGCTCTCTAATTTTAAAAAAAACCCACTGTTAAAATACCCAAAGCATTGCTTCCACCTCTTGATTCTCTGTGGTACTTTCAATTGGTTTAGTTTCTTTTGTTTTGTTTTTTTCAATTCAGGTACAATTTCTTTCCTTTGAAAACCTAATACAATAGGATTGGTGTAATAGGATGAAAACTTCTTTACGAAAGAATCTATTGTCTTTTCTTTTAAGGCATCCACATCAGGTATATTTTCTTTCAATCCATCAATAACACTTTGCAATTTCTTCTGAATTTTCTGGATACATGACTTCAATTCTTTCACGAACTTTAATGGAAACTTTTGTACTTTCTTAATAGTTGTATTAGACAGTACAACAATAGCCATGTCTCTTAATTGACTAATATTGTTTGATATAATCTTTTTTCTATTGTTTTCAATAATTGATTGTAAATTGGAAACAAAGTGATCTCTCATTTCAACGTTGTTAGGTGGTGGAAAACAAACTAAATCAAAATTATCATATAATCCCTTTACAAAATCATACTTGTTTTCCATATCAATTTCATTGGTATTGATATTATTGGCTTCTAATTCCAAGTCGAAAGGGACATCATCTAGCTCACAATCGAAATGAAAAGCAAGTTGCTTTCCATATGATTCTTTCATGGGTTTGAAAACGTTTTTTGTCATAACCTCATTCTTGTAGCTCTCCTCATTCATTACCTTATTATTAGCTAAGATTGCAATGTAAGGTTGATGGGTTTGTTGTGGTTGATGGATACCATAATCCCACACCTTTTGTACAATACCATCATCAAGAATGATCCTTTCATTTTCAATACCACACAATAACAAGCAGGTGTCATATAAACTTTCTCTTATCAAATGCTTGTAGGATACATTTTCATGGACATTTACTGGATCAGTAGTTTGCTTTTCATCATATCCAGGCATATCTCTGAGAATTATTTTGCTCCTTTGAAGGAACTTGGAAGGGATTTTCAAGATTAACTTCTTAATATGGACTTTCTTAAAGTTGGTGTCAGCATCAAACTCTAAAATCTTGTTACGTGCTTTAGTGGCCAGAAATTCATAAAGTTCCTCTTCAGAATTTCCATTGTCAATAATATAATTTGATTGATTGTCAATTTCACAATCTTTCAAAGTATCAGTAGCAAGTTGTTCAACTTTCCTTGCACACAACTCTTGTTGTGAACAATACTGAACAGTCAAACTGTAAGTTGGTGAATACTCAACATCAACAACTGTACGTGTCAAACCCTTTCCAAACTGAACAGCAGAAGGAAGAGGAGCATTAGTCATTTTGAAATCAGACAACAATTGATCAATGATGAAGGATTTACCATATCCTGGCTTACAAAACAGGGTAACCACAACTTTGCCCCGAAAATCCTTGATGATTCCCTCCATAGACTCTAAATGTTCAGAACACATTGTCCTAATGGATCCCTTCTTATTGGAACCGTTTAAATGTTCCTTGTAGAATGTTTTAACCTTATCAAAATCCTCAGTTTCTGTCTTCATTTGTTTATCCTCCTGCTGTTCATTGCCATTCTCTGGTGATGGGTCCATTTTGATTTTCTTGGGTGCTTGTTCTGTAGATGATGAAGCAGTTGCAGCAGCAGCAGCAGTAGCAGTAGTAGCACTCGGAGAGTGAGTAATCTTTCTCTTTCGAAGCATTTTTTTTGTGGTTATTTTAAACTATGACGAAGAGTCCCAGCAAGAAATAGAAATTCGGAAATTAGAAATTTTGTCCGGAAAACAAATACAGAACAAACCTTTTTGTTTGCATGCAAATAGTGATTGAAACATTACAATTAAAGTTGAAGTTCCGACTGTAAATTGTTCTGAGAACAAGAATTCTAGTATGTAATTTAAATATTCATGAAAAAGCAATTCGTTGAAATTTGTAAAAGCTGGTTAATTTTGCACAAAACATTATTAAAATTGGAATAATATTATTCGTCAGCACACAACTTGATTAGTTTTGTATCTGTGATACGCTAGTAAATGTCATCGCGAACACAAGCTATAATTTTTACTAGTTCTGATTTTTTGAAAGGTATTTTGTTTATTTACAATTTCTCAGTTAGTTACCATGACGATTTACAATTTCTGATTTCAGTTACCATTTATTCTTTTACAAAGTTGATTCAAAAAGCTTGTCTTGCAACTTTTTTTCCAGATATTCAAGTTCTTATAAATCTCAGCAAGAGGTGCTGCTGCTTCTAAATCAAAAAAAGTAGAGTTGGAATAAAGAGTTGTTTATTTTGGAATTGTTCAATTAATCATGAGACTTTTCATAATTATTATTTTTCTTAATAATTTGAATGGTACTAGTTTGGGCCGAGGAAATTTTAGCATGTGCTACCTCAACCAACTTCAAAAGTAATTTCAAATGCATGTATTCGAAAATCTTGACAATTTCCTCATTTTTACATTGGAATTTGGAAATGAATGGAATTGGATAGTCAGCAGAAACGATATTCTCAAAGTTTCCATCGCCCGTCTCTAAAATATCCCATTCATAGAACAATTTCAATACATTGGCTTTGGTGATTTCAATTGGAACTTCATCTTGAGTTCTCATATCAAGTATTGGAACACTCTTCTCAATGTAATCTCTGAAAATGGAATGGCCATCAATTTTAGAGTAGCAATAAATGCACGAGGTGGAGAATTCAGAGGAAATATAGGATGGAATCGATGTATAATAGTCAAGCATGGTTTCCTTAGTTTTAGATTCTGTTGAGAACATGGTTGGATTGTTAATAGGAATTGGAACAAACACAGCATGAGGAGCATCAAATTCTTGTGCAACTTGTTCAAAAACTGTCTTGAATAAATATTCAGAAAATTCAAACTTCTCAATGAGTTGCTTTTCGTTATCGAATTTGAAAAATCCTGGCATATCTTGAAGATAGATCTTTTCAAATTTTTCGACATCATCAATTGGGATCTTGGATACATCCTTAGTGAATGAATTGAGATAGTCTTTGGACGGATTTTTAGCATCAGAGAGGATCTTGTAGGCCATTTCCATGAAACTTGCACTACCTTCCTTAAATGGAACTCGTTTTGATTTGAGTGTTTTAAGAATTCTATTCAAGATGGTTGATTTTCCACCAGATGCAATGGAGACACCAGCCAAAGTGATTTGATTATCACCAATCATCTCCAATTGAGTAATAATCTGTTCCTTCAGCATTTCACAATTAAAATCAATGTGTAACAGTTCTGTTGTTTCCTTTTTGAGAGATTGTACCATTACATTTTCAACTGAGTGAACTACTATTCCATCCAAAGTTTCAATTCTTGCATTGAACAGAATATTTTCTGGAACAATAATAGAACATCTAGCTTCCTTGGTTTCTTGATCATAACCATCTCCTGCCACAAAGAGCTTTTTTACAATTTTCTTATCGAGATAGCTTACAACTACTTTGAAAGCTGTGTGGGCAGTTTCATTCACGATAGTGTTAAACTTGAATTGAAATATAACCTTGGCTAATCTGGTAATATGATGTGAAGGGTTGAATCTTGGTGGTGTAACTTTGGTTTCGGCTGAGTATTGGTTTCCCATCTTGTATTTTTTTAATGTTTTGAGTTTTGTTTTTGAATGTCAAAACGTGTTGCTATTTAAATGAAAATCATGATATTCGAAACGTGAAGTGCTTCTGATTGGATGGTGGTTGTAAACTTCAATACGAAATGGATTCCTTCTTATTCAATGCAAATTTAAAAATACTTTCACGTTTGATTAAATTTGAAAATATATTAAGGGAAAAACTGTAGATATATCAGCTTACTAAGCAGAACAAGCTTGGCATTAATGTTAGTTGGAAAAACTTTTGTCAATTTGCTCAAAATTGATAAATAAGAGGAAAGGAAAATACACAAAGCACTCGAATAAATCATGATTGCTCCTACCATAATTTTATTGATATTAAATAGTTAATTTTTTTATTGAGATGATTGCCTTAATATTTCATTTGCCTTATTTGAAATTTCATAATCTCCAAATCCTTTAATTGCTATATATGGAAAATCAGAAGAAATACCATATTTAACTAGCAATATATCAGCTCCATTTGCATGTTCGCTATTTAGTTTTTTCGCACTTCTTGTTGGTTCAAAAGCAATTTGTCTCATTTTGACCTTTTTTTTAAGTTCACTTATCTTGAAAATCGTTTGAATTTTCTCATCCAATTTGGAATGATTGCAATTATATCCCAAATAATACAAATTCTTAATTACTATTGATTCAGTTTCCCTCATAGCTTCGTTTACAGGTGTTTCTTGCGTTTTCTCTACATTCTTCTGATTTTCTTCATCATCAGTTTCCTTTCCATGTGTTTCACCATTTTTCTTGACATTCTTCAATTTAGATTCGTCCACATATTCCTGAATTGGTACAATAGCAGCAGAACTTGTCGAATGATCAACGCTCATCGTATTATAGTTGGTATTTTGATTTTCCTTATTGAATTCTTTTGATTCTTCATCCACTTGACTAGGATTTCTACACAATTTACCAACTACAAGTGCAGGTTGATTGAAAACCAACAATGCCATCAACATCATTTGTAAATAAACAATATATGGAAGTAAGCCAACCAATAAGAAACCCAAAAAGAAGGCAACAAGTACATTTCGTTGATCCAAACATGTCTGAAAAAGATAGAGTGGTAGAAACATGATCTATTGTAAGTTAAAGAGAAATAATGAACTGGCCTTCTCATTGAGAAGAATTTGCTTGAATAATTTCCATTTTCCAGTTTCTGATGTTTCGTCGGCCATAGAATCGGCCCTTTTCACAAAACACAACATGATTGGGAAGAGATTGGCCAATAAACAAAGTAGGAAATGTGAGAAACCATATTGTTGAGTGGTTCTGAAGGAAAGTGTCTCAAGTTTCGTATAGGTCATCATACGAGAATATAACTTTAATTTTTTTCAATACCTCTCTTCCAAACGTGATTCAAATATTTTGATTTATTTTCATACCTTTCTTCCAAACGTGATTTTGAAAAACGTGTAAGTTTACAATCCACCAGTATTCGAAACGTGATTCACTTTAAAAAAAATGCTCAAATTTATTAGTGGAGTTGTTTGTGGAAGTGGAATTACAACACTAGCCCAGTTCTATGTATCGTCAACCAAATTAGAGAGTCCACCAGGCAGTGAAATTTCACAAGTTGAACCTTTACATGTTGTGATGAATGATTCAACTCCATCACCCAGTCATTCATTGGCAATTCCAAGTACGGATTCATCTCTAAATGTTATAGGATTGACTTTGGGAGGAAATTTTGTTTTGATTTGGGTGGTGTTGTGGGAAGTGGGTAAAATCTTATTTGGTAAGAAGAACGAGAAAAGGGAAATGAGAAAGGAAGAAGCTCAACAAGACGAAACAACAAAACTGAATAATTCTGAAGGAAAAATTGAAACTGAATCAAGTATCATTAAGAATTTGTATTATTTGGGATATAATTGCAATCATTCCAAATTGGATGAGAAAATTCAACAGATTCTCAATACTAATCAACTTGAAAAAAAGGTCAAAATGAGACAAATTGCTTTTGAATCAACGAGAAGTTTGAAAAAGCCAACAAGTGAACATGCGAATGGAGCTGATATATTGCTAATTCCTTCTGGAGATTGTCTTTTTATGGATATTCCATATATAGCAATGAAAGGATTTGGAGAATATGAAATTTCAAATAAGGCTATTGAATTATTGAAACAATCTGTACAAATAAATTCAAATTATTGAAGATTATTCTGGGATGAACACAAAAAACGAGTAAAGCATGTTAATGGTGGAAGATTGATGATGGAAATGGCTTTATATAATAAGGATGAGGTATTAAGCCATTTTTTGATATTGTTCAACAGTAATAGTTTTCTCTCGTTTATCGGAGCCGGACAGATATTAATGTCATTGAATTTTATTAAGGATTCCCACATGAAAACACTAACTCATGTTAATTGCTGACTGCTGACGAATATATCAGCAGGTTCCATCATCACATGGACATTCACATAAGAACATGTCGTATTAATTGATGATACAACCAGTGAAGTGTTATGGTTGTTAGACGTAAAAAAGATTAACATAGAAAATTCATCTTCTTTATCTTCTAATTGAATTCATTCTTTGAATATTATTCATATTGGTTTGTTGTATTCTTTGCATGGTCTGATTATGTGTACGAATATTATTCATATGAGTTCTATGATTACTTTCATTGGTTCTTCTGATGGTTTCATTGGTTCTCCTGATAGTTTCTTGGGTTATTTAATTACTTTGAGAGAACAGCCAAGTCACAAAGCATGGACACAACAAACCAGGTGCTTTTGGAACTTGTGACACTATTCATCAAACTTTAATTTGAGTGAGTTACTAAACTTTATCTTCACATTTATCGGAAACAGTGCAACCAACCAAACAATTGGATTTGTGCAAGTATTGTAAAGTGCGTATCCAAAACCAAGTTGACCAATAGAAGGACAACCAGGTTCTTCCGATGTTACAATCACTAGTTTTGAAGATTACATTTCGCGACTCATAAATCGCCTTCAAAGCTGAATAAGGGAAAATTGTTTCTTTCAAAAAAAATGTCTTCACTGCATACTACTAAGAAGGAAACCAAACCAACAAGAAGACCTCTATCTTCAGCAGCTAAGAGATTACTTGAAGATTTGAAACAATTAAATCGTCAAAGTGAGCTCAAATACATATCTGCTCAACCACTGTCTAATAATTTATTTGAATGGCATTGTAATCTGTATGGAAATGAAGAATCCATGTATAAGGAGTGTTGTTATCATTTCATTATCAAGTTTCCAAAAGATTATCCTCACAATCCACCACAAATTGAAGCATGTTCTGATTTGTTACATCCACAAGTTTACAATAGAAAAGTATGCTTGGAATTGACTCAACAGAAGGAAGGCACCGAAGAGAATGCAGATGGATGGAGTTGTTCATATACTGTATTTTCAATTCTAATGCAATTGCAATCTTTCTTATTCGATTCCAAGGTCTCTAATAGACCAATGATTAAAATTGAGCAAAAAGATGCATACAATGTAAAATGCAGCAAATGTGGGCATGTACCAAGAGATGGTAACATATTTCCATATCATGAAATGAATTCCATTTGTTTCTCAGAGTTAAAAAAGGAATTGAGGAATTCTAGACCATCTAAATCAAGTAATAGGAAAAAGGAGAGAAGTAATATTGTAATTATTGAAAATGAAGAAGATATTGAAAAGATGTACTCAAATCAATCAGGACAATCCACTAGTTCTGTTCCAATCAAGAATGGAAATACAATTTCCAAACAAGTACTTTTTCACATTTTCAAATTCTTGGAAAAATCAGAATTGGATTCGACCATGTTTAAAGTTTGCAAGGAATGGAAGGAAATTTCTCAACATCCTCTCTTTGGTAATAGAGAAAGAATTTGTTACTTTACAAAACAACCATGCAGAGATGAAGAAACCATTTTAGGATATGGTGTCGAACCAAAGTTTACAAAAACTGGAAGATTGATTAATATTGATTCACCTTATGAATATCTATCTTTTCATTCGTTTAGAAATTTGAACGTGAGAACTAGTGTTTGGAATATTTCCTTCCAAAATTGGATTCCAATTCCAGTATTTACAATTCAAATTGGAAATGAATTGAAAAATGTGGAAGAATATTTGTTTAACCTATTTAAGGATTGTGTATCAGAAATATATTACTTTCTTCAAAGTGATTCAACAGTTGAATTTCAATCTCTTGATTTGTTAGGTAAAATGATGAACTCTATAATTATTAACATTCTCAGAAATCAAAGTCATGCATCTGTCAAAGCACTTGATGCCTACATCAATTTACACAGATGGTTAATTATGTTATGTGAAAAGTATCCAAATGTACTTTTACTCATTGATGAGAAAATTGAAAAATTCATCCAAGATGAAGAATTTAGAAGTAAGGAACATGTCCCTGCCCTTGGAGAATTCCTCTGCTTACTCTCAGTTTCAGAAAAGTTCACTTGGGATGAGATGGCACCTGCTATTATTAAGGAATCTCTTGATAGAGGAAGTTTGTGGGGTGTCTTTTCAAATGAAAAATTGAAAGATGTGATTGAATATCATTTGGAGGAAGATAAGGAAAGAGAACGAATGATTAATACATTCGAGGCAACAAAATCTAATCTGCATAATTTAGCTTTCCATAGTTTCCTAATTAGATATTTCAGAATGAAAACTAGAGTTGAAACTGCTGAATATTATGATAGAAATTACTTGACTCCATATATTGTAAATTCAAATGAGAAGGATCAAGAGAGATTGAGAAGTGCTCTTGTGGAAATTCAATCCAAGATTATTAACTATTATGAATTCTTCAAATATGTTCAAAATGTTGAATTGGATGAGATTTCAATCATGTTAAAATTAAGAGTTGCCATGAAGAATATGAAAAGAAGAGGATATTATGAAGAAAATAAATAGTTGCCTAGTCAACCATACGGTTTATTGACATTTGAGGCTCCTAATCTACTAATCCTTCAAATTCTCTCTTATCTTTCACTTTAAAGTATGAATAGAGATAGGTTCCAACTACTGTAAATGCAGAAGACAATAATCCATAAGTAGAAACATGAGTATTGTGAACTGCAAATGATAAAAATGATTCCACAACAGATTTCATTGAAATAGTGACAGAAGTAGTCAATGGAGAGGTATAACTAATTAACATGAAATTAGAAATATTGACAACGTATGCTATTAGGGCTGTTGTTGTGAGAATTGCTAAAAACTTTGGTTCAAATAAATAATTAACAGAAATTGCCTTTTCAAATTCTCCTGTAAAATAGCAAACAGGGAATAAAAACAAAATGGCACAAACAACGTTATAAATTAGAATAATCCAATGATTTCTGTGTGAGGAGGACATTAATTTCTTTAAATAAATTGAATAAAGTGCCATAAAGCAACTGGACATCAATCCAAAAGCAAATCCAATCGACTGCATTTTAGAAAGTTGTAATTCTTCAAATCCAGTCATGAAATATCCAATAGCAATCATTAAACATGCTCCAATAATTCTCTTCTGAACTTTTTCTCCCAATAAAACTGATGTGAAAATCACCGTGAAACAAATACTAATACTTCTTGCAGTGTGATAGGTGTGAATATCTGCATAATCCAAACACAAATTATTAAAAGTAACCATTCCAACATAACACAATGATACAGGAGCTATTTGTACTGCTGTATCAAATTTAAATTCAAAATCTGGTAAGAAACTAAAACAAGTTCTAATTAAATGATTAGTTTTTTTCAATTTGAATAAATCAATTACCAACCTATTTAAATTATAAGTACAAATAATACACAACAATGAGACAATCAAATGAAACCAAGCCATAGTTAATGGAAAATGAAATGAATATTCACCCATATCCATCAAGTATTTTGTCAAAAAGACAGATAGAATTGAAGTTACTGAAAAGAAAGAAATGGCCATTCCAATTTGTCTTTTTTAAAACATGGGATTAATACCATTTCAACAAATGATGACTTACAAATTTGATGCTTCTTTCCGCAGCAAATGTTGGTGATGAGTGTTTAATCTTGCAGAAGTAGGTGATATTGGTTTAAATTCTGTGTTATCCTCCGAATGTGGTGAGTGTTGTCTGTTATTGATTCCTAGTGTTGGTGGCGAGTGGATGGGTACTTGTTCCTCATCGTCGTCTTGTCTAAGTTTTGTTCTCACCACAAGATTTGGTCCCGAGAGAGAATTGTCATGATGAAGTGAAGACATTTTTTAGTTGATTTGTTGGTATTCATGTCATAATAACATGAAATATTATTTGCTGATGAGATTCTTTTATTTAGACACTAAGTATTCACATTTTAATTACGATGTTGTGGTGCTGTAGTATGGAAGAGACTGGATTGTTGTTGCTGTTGTTGGTAGGAAGGTCCAATTGTCAAATCAGAGGAAAAAAGTGAGCTATTGGAATTACTGAAAGGTGTTTGAACAAAATCACGTCTCATCGGTTGTGGAGGAGTAACTGGATTTTGGTGAGCATAAGTTTGTTGGTTTGGCCATTGTTGATACTGTTGAGGATACATTGGTTGTTGCATCATAAATCCATTATTAGTATTCATTCTTGGTTGAGGTGAGAAACTATTCATATTGTTCATTCCATTAATACCACCCATATTATTCATGTTATTCATGTTGTTCATGGTATTCATATTATTCATACCACCACCAATATTATTATTCATCCAATTCCATTGATTAGATTGTCCAAATAAGTTAAAATGTGAATTGACGTTTTGGTTATTTGAAAATCCAATACCATGACCACCAGCAAAATAATTACTGTGAGGTTGAGAAATGTGTTGAGGTTGTTGAGCCATAAATGGTTCTGAATATTGATTCTGGTTAAAGGCATTATTGAAGGCATTATTAACATGTCCAGGTAAGAATTGATTAAATTGGAATGCGTTATTCATTGGTTGCCAATTACTATTAAATCCATTGTTTTGTTGATTTGGAGGGGATGGAGATTTTCCAGTAGGGGTTGGTTGCACAATTGGATCATTGTTATTCACAATTTGATCCTGATGGTTCAAAGGATTATGGATTGGTTGTGGTGAGGTCATCATTGTATTGTTGGTTGAGGTGTTTCCTGACGACATTGTATCATTGGAAGAAACATCTGTTTCAGTACTTTGATTTGAGGTAACCGAGTTATTACTTGGTATTGGAGGAGGTTCAACAACAGTTGATGGCTTTACCGTGATTGTCCTTGGTTTCTTTTCGTTAATGGTCGGTTTGGCTTGATATCTCGGAAATTGCTCAGGAGTAATCTTTACATCACTCATATCATTTTCGAATAGCACTTGAGTAATTTCTTGTTCATTCTCTGGCTCCTCTTCATAAGATGAATCTTGATCTTGTTTCACCTCTTCAACTTGCTTTTGGGCAGAGGCTTCCTTCTTTTTCTGCTTTTCCTTCTTTACAATTTCTATCATTTCCTTTTCTATCTTTTTCCTTTCCTCTTCCATTTTCTTTTGCTTTTCAAGTTCTTGTTTCTTTTTTTCTTGCTCTTTCTTTTTCTTTAACTTCTTTTCTGACTTTTCCTTTTCACTCATCTCTTCCTCTTCAATAAGCTTGGCCTGCATATCTAAAGCTTGTTTTTCTTTGAAAGCAGTCAAAATATTCTCATAAAAGGATTTAGCAGCAAACCAATGAAAGACTCTTCTACTTTCTCTCCATTTAATATAAGAATCTTCAGGATTTTCACTTTCTATCTCAGAATCCTCGTCCACGTCCTCTTCATCATCACTCTCCTCACCTGATATTTCATGGTCAGTATCTTCATCCTCGGAACATTGATCATCATCGTCCTCGTCATTGTCGTCTTCATATTCATCATCCTCTGAATTATTATTATTATTATTTTTCTTATCCTTGTTCAATATTAAATTTTCCAAATTATTGTGTTTGATATTATGTTCAAATTTTTGTAATAAATGGATAATATCGTTGGATTCGTTTTGCTTTATCCAATCCTCGGAGATTGTTATGATACCTTCTCGACTGATCGAAAGATTCTTTCCAAAGTCATACTGAACACTATCTTCTTGACTATCTTCAGGTTGAATAGGTGGAGGTGGTGGTAAATGCTGATTATTTTGTTGTGAACCGTTTTTCGAATCTATTGGTTCGGTGTTTGAACCATTAGTTTGACTCTGTTTAGAAATAGCCTTTTCTCTATTATCCTCTGTGATATCTTCAATAATAGGACTACTTGCTTTGTCATTTGGATTTACTTTTGTTGTAGAATAGTATTTTACAGTTTTTTCAATAACTCGTACGTTACCACTTTTCTTTACGGTTGTTGTGGTTAACATTTCAGTTCCATTGCTGATGACGGTTCTCTTAGTTGTTTTTGGACTTCGTGAGTTGTTGCGAAGTTTAGATCTGTCTGATGAGTTGGAGGTGCTACAAAAATTGAATACACAATCAACATGATTCTGATATGCAAGTTCTTTGCAGTAATCAGTAAAAAGTCTATCCAATTCTCTATCAAGAATAGATTTGTTTCTACCACAAACAGTGCACGAACACACTCTTTGATATTGTTCCTTTGTCTTTTTTAGCAATGAACAGGCATCAACATGAAGAAGTTTTTTCCTTGTGCCAAAGTTTAATGTTCTCCAAAAATCATTTAGAGTAGTGATTTGTGATTCAAGAGTTGTTGATCGTTTGACAGTCTGTGGTTGCGGAGCAGAAGATTTTTCGCTCTTGGACTGACTTTTAGATGTACTCTTTTTCTTACTATTAGAACTCTGTGATGATGAAAATAATGATGATGTAAAATATTTATAAATTTTGTTGTTGTTGTTAGTTAGAGAGAAAAGGAGGCATTATAATAATGAGTAACTGCATGGTACGGAATTCTCTTACCTTTTTAGAGGGCATTTTTTTGTTTTGATTAAAAAATAGCCTGGCGGAAGAAGCCAACAAAACTTCATATTAGATCTTGTTCTGTACTCACACTGTGTGGTCAAACAAGCAGCAGCTTTAAAAGTAATATTTGTCAACAACAATTCCGATTTAATCAATAGGTTTAATTGGAATTTGAGAACTCAAAGAGTCATACTGCCATTTAACTCTATTTTTATATAGTCTTCATTGATGAAGCAAGAAGCACTTTCTAATTGGCTGAACAAGTCGTTAAAATCTTTACAAAAAAATGAGTACACCATCATGGAAACGTAAAGACAATACATACTGTAAGTATTGTCAGCAGTGGATTCGTGATACACCCTCCGAAAAAAGAAACCATGAAAGATCTAAACATCACGTAATTAATGTACAAAAACATATCAATAATCAACAAATTTCGGAAAGAAATAAACAAAAGGAAGAACAACGAAATCGGAAAATAGTGGATAACATTGAAAGGAAAGTACAATCGGGTTCTAATGGTGAAAATCAATATTATCAAGCCTTTTTAAAACATCAACAAGAAATGGATAAACTTCCTTCTGTTGTTATGGAGAATGTTTTTAATAGTTTTACAAATCAACAACAAGCAGATGATACTCCCCATCCTCCTAAAGAACCTCAACAAGATGATGTAATACAAGAGCCAGAGCAGTCTGACTCTTTTGAATGTAATGACCTACCTCTAGGAGCGATTGTCAAATCTATCAAACCAGTGGAAACACATGTAGCACCAAAGACAAGTGCTCCTAAAAAAAAGACATATACTGAACCAACTGAGATTGGAAGTTATTATGACGACCCAAATTTCTTTTACTATGAGCAAGAGGAAGAAAAAGAGGAGAAAGAAAAAGTAGAGGAGCAACCAATTGAGGAAGTGATAAGGAAGGAGAAACCAAAATCAGACTGGAAAAATCAATATTCGAATGCTACTACAGCTTCAGCAAATACTTTTGGTCAATGGGAAATTGTTCAAGTATCCAAGATTGAAGCAGATGCTCCTTCTGAAAGTAATTCATCTGCCTCCTCCACCAAAACTCACCAAAACAAAGACGAACACGAAGAGGATCAATTTGGAGGAAGTTACAACATACCAGAAACAAAGAAGAGAAAGAATGAAACAATTGAGGAGTCTTCTAAAAAGGTGAAGAGCGAGGATAATGCACCACGTAAACCTCTTTCTTTTTCACTTGCAAAAAAGAAGTAAACCACTTTTCAGAATTCTCATAATCGTTAGTTTTGTACATAATAACCATTTTTAGCTTCATTAGTCCCTTAATAAGTATATGTGAATATAAACAGATTTTAAACATCCTCAATGTAAGTACCCTTGGCTCAATTGGAAGAGCATCGGCCTACGGAGCCGGGGGTTGTGGGTTCGAGTCCCACAGGGTATAACTTTTGTATTTTGTCTTGATTGTAAGTTTTATTCTTTCCATAAAATCTAAATCCCTCTTTATTAAGGATGGCGTACAAAAGAAACCTTTCTTCTTTCTCTTCAAACCAACCGTAAAAACGATCACAACATTGTTGGCGCCTAAAAGTACATTTTTAATTTCAAAAATAACTACAAAAAATGTTCAAAAGTGGTGTTGTTGGAGGTCTCACAAGAGAATTAAATTATTCAATTAATCAGAGAAGAAAACAAGAGGCACAACGCGATACATACAATAACATTACTCGGGTTGACGCCAAACAAAGACTAGTTGCGGACTGGGAAAGTAAAACAACACTTAAAATACAACAAGGACAACTTCAACAACGATTGGACCAATTAAGAAAACAAAAGGAAGATGACTTGGAAAGAAGAAGAGCAATGCTCGCCGAAAAACTTGCCACAGAAGATGAAGAGTATAAAATGGAATTGGAATCAAAGCAAGAAACAACCGAAGAGAGACGTAAAAAACTAGAATCACGTGCTAAGGAACTTAAGGAACAACGTTTGCAAAGAGATCAAATGGTTGCCAGTGATAAATTACATCAACGTTTCATTCAAAATAACGATATTCTGAGAGATGCCAAATCAAGGACAAACACCTTAAAGGTTGCTTCCGATAGAATGAGACAACAGGAGGAAAAGGAAGAGCACAAAATGATAGAAAAAGAAAGAGAAGAGTACTTTGACAGATTATGGGAAGAGGATCGTATGAAGAAGGAAGAAAGAGAACGCCAAGAACGTGAAAAACAATTACTCATGAATGAACAATTAAAGAATACTCTTGATGAACAAAAGAGAAGATTAGAAGAAAATAAGGATGAAATTCAAAGATTGAAAGAAGAGGAAGGAAGGTTATTGAAACAAAAATGGGCTCTAGAAGAGGACAATGAAAGAAGAAAGCTCAAAGATAAGCAAGATAAATTGAGAGAAATGAGAAACAGAGTTGAAAGATTTAACTCTGTCAATAGAAAGCAAAAGGAGGACGAAATGAGAAAAGAAAGACAAGCTGATCTTGAATTCTTGAACCAAATCCTCGAGCAAAAGAATCTTGAAGAAATTAGGGAGAAAACTAAAAGAGATCGTATCAAGGAAGAAGCTAGACAATACCAACAATGGATTATGGAACAAATGAAGAGAGAAGAAGAAGATACAAGAGTTATTGACGATCTTATCATGCAAGAAAATGAAAGATCATGGCAAAAGAGACTCGAGCAATGGAGCAAGGAACAAAAAGCTCGAGAAAAGTTAATGCAGGAAGTGATGGATGAAAGAAGAAATCAAATTCAAAATCGCTTAGAGGAAGCCAAGAAGAGAAGGGAAGAAAGTTTAATAGAAAGAGATAGGCTTAAGAGGGAAATGGTTGAATCTCAATTGCAACAACAACAAGAACAAGAGGAAAAGAAGAAATTACTGAAAGAAAATCAAGGTGACATTTTGGATCAAATCAAATTTAATGACTACAGACATCAAGAAAAGCAAAAACAAAAAGTTGCTGAACAACGAGCTCAAATGTTTGCAGAACAAATGTATCAACAAAAGTTAAAAGAGGAATTAGACAAGCTCGATAGAGAAAAGCCATCCCAGTTTGCACATTTACGAACAAGAAAGAATAATATCTTTTAATAGTACAAATATAAATATATTCACAAATTATTGTTGCTCATTTTCTTGGCTGAGATAAAGAGTTTTCATTGATTCCATAATTGAATCAGATAAATCAATAATTAATTGTAAACTAGCATCAGATGTACAAATAAAAGAAATATATAAAAATTCTCCCATTTCATCATCATCCTCTTCTTCTGATTTCTTTTCATCTCCAGTATTTGCTGATTCTGTATACATTTGAAGGATTGAATAATCGTTATAACAACTAATAATATATTTGTTTTTTCCAAAAGGTAATTTGTTTGCTTGTTCAGCAGCTAATATATGTGTGGCAGGAAATGTTGTATCAAATTCAATTTGACATTCCTCTGAATATCCTCGTGAAATAATATTACCATCGGAATCAGCTACTAATATCGAAACAAGTCCATCAATTCTCTTGAATAATTTTTCAAAGAATGGATTATTCTTAAATCTTTGTTCTTCCATAAATTGTTGTTGTTGTTTCAGACTCTGTGAGAGTTGTTGCATATTTTGCTGTTTGAGACTTGATGATAAGAGACTACTCATTTTTTATTGTTGTTATTTTTAATCATCTCACCTTTCTTTCTTGAAATTTGGAGATTTTTCATCATCACAATCAAATATTAATCATTTGTTGTACTATTTAAACAATTTTCAGCTTTAAAACTGATAGTAATATCACACTTGTTAAATTATTATCGGTTATATTCACTTGTTAGAAAATTGATTTCTAATTTGTTTTTGGTGGAGGCATTAAATGTTGATCCGAAAGGCTTTGATCACCATTTAGCATGACATTCTCTTCTTCACTACTATTAACAATATTATTATTACTCATAGAAAAAGATGAATGATGAATATTAATTGGAACTGGATCCCAAATTAAAGACGATTCATCAACAAATTCAATTCTTCCATAGGAAAGACATGAAGTATCCCTCTCTCTACGTCCCTTCTTATCAAACTTGAGAAATAGAGATGAATCTGAGAATATCCTGTCCTTCTCCTTGATTTTGTATGTTGATGAAGAGGTTGAAGCTGATGATGATGATTTTCCTCTCTGTGATGATTTGTTTGATAAATAGCCATCGTAGCCTTTGATTGCATTACCATTATGCCATGTATCTTGAATGTAATTCTCCTCCGATTGATAGATTTCTTGTTGGAGAATCTTTAATTCGTCCTCTAATTTTTGTCTCCTTCTCAAAAGTTCTTCCATCCATACAGTACACACTCAATAAGAAAATTCTTTTCAATTTCAAAAATAAAAATTAATATTATATGAAAATAATTCAATAATGATTTTTATTCAAAAGGCAAGCCAAAGTTGGGACATTATTATTCAAATTTCCAATTAAATTGCTTTGTGGAATGAATGCGAAAACAAAAACAATACGATTTGAATAAGAAATTTCACTTTAACATGGTAAATAAAAGAAATTGTATTGTTTAGGATCTCCAATATTGAGCCCATCTGTGGATATTTTCCATGAGTTGAGGGAAGAGAGCTTTTTCACTTTCATTGATAATACTTTGCATGTAGACGTTTGCTTCTTGATCATTTAGGTCAAGTTTAAACTTTTCCTGAACTTTCATGATATTTCTAATAGGATCCATACCTGCACCATGTTCCAAATCACGAATATTGGCATCAATCATGAGAATAAACATGTTCAAAATCAAGTGAGCCGACTTTCTCAAAATATTGTAAGCAGTCACACATAGCTCCTTAAATTTGATGTAACCTTCACTCTTACTTCCTCCCATACCTTCTACCATTTCCTTGCAGAGTTTCATTGGGGGAGGGAATGGTTTTGGATCTCTGCCCATAATGAAACCAAAGTCAATGTGGAACATTAATCCTTGAGCTGTAATCAAGACATTGTCCAAGTGTCTATCACCAATACCAAGAATGTATGTAATGACACAATAGCCTGCACAGCTTTTAACAAAGTTTTGACAGGCAGTGTGGTAATCCTCATCCTCTGTGTTATTCTTTCTGAGCCAACCTCTAATATCTCCCTTATCAATAACTTGAGCCAAAGCAGAGCAATTTGGTACGCACTCCAAACATCCAAAACTTGGACTGAAAGCCAATACAGAATATGGTGTAAGTTTCAAGTCCAAACCATTGTTCTTCAAAAGTTTGTCCATAAGTAAAATCAATTGCATGACCAATTGATCTTGTCTCAAATCATCACCATTCTTTACAATTACACTATACTTGGCGCCATTAAGATCAGAGAATGGAATCATCAAAGGACTTTGAGCACTCTTAAAGATGGTGGAATCCTCAGCAAAGATACCATTAACTTTAACTTCAGGATTGAGAGGTAATGGCAATGGTTCCTCAGGATAGTTCTTTGAAATATTGGAAAGGAAAATCTCAGTCCATGTGTATTGTTCCTTACTATCAAATTGAATGTTTGGAATCTCACCCTTTGCAGACAATATCTTTTTAAAGATGGTAATCTTTTCTGGACGAGATAATTTAAGACCTTTCATGTATGAACCAATCTTGCTGAGAGTTTCAACCATTCTTCCTTGTCTGATAAGCTTTTCAAGGAAGAGAGGTGAATTCTTTTTAAGATGGATAAAGAATTTGTGTCTCATTTCCAAGAAATGTTCTCCATACTTTGGATCTTCAGTTTCAACTGCCAGATACCAATTCAAATTGTTGGCAACATTGAAGTTTACACTTGCACGATCCAAAAGGAAAAGAGCCAATTCAGATTCATGCAATTTAACTGAGCTAACCTCAATTTCATATCTCAAAGCTTGAACCAATTGTAATAATACATCCAAAATAGCTGCGTCATCAGCCTTTCTTAAAATATCTACAGCGTAGTCTCTGACAGCCTTTACATTCTTGAACAATCTTGAAAGCAATTCCAAAGCATCGACAGTATCGATCTTGTCCCATTGTGGAATTAATTTTTCAGCTTCCTTCTTTTGAGCCAAGTAGTTCCAATCGACACATCTCAAGAATTTAGTCAAGGCACGTTTGTTTGATCTCAAGTAGTATCTGTATCTCCACAACAAACTCTTGTCTTCTGTTGGCATTTCATGAAGCGGAGGATATTCCAATACTTTTTGTATCTTTCTTGTTTCTATGGCGTTTGGTTTGAGGTTGGTATCAATGAGACCACTTGATAAATTAATACTGAGTTTCAAGTGTTTTTCTTCTGCCAAGTTGGTTTGTTTGGCTTCAGGATCATCAATAAATTGATACTTGGTACTAACAATCTCGAATCTGAAGTGATCCTTGTCAGAATCTTCGGAATATGGTACAGGGATAGTTGGTTTAACTTTTTTAGGGATAGGTGTTGGGAGATTTGGGAAGTAGGTAAAACCACTACAGAATGATGTGGCCAATTCATCACTAGTAGTTGCCAAATAATCAAAATCAACAACTCTTCTATCAAAAGTAGGAATTTCAATATTCAAAAATGTGTCAAGTGAGGATGAATTGAATTTCTTTTCTCTCAATTGTTCCTTCTTGGTAACTGTGAATTTATCCAACCACGATAAATTAGATGTACTTGATGGGATGTCAGTTGTTTCATTAATATTGGAATTTCCAGATTTGTCAGCCTTGTCAGGTTTATCAGAGTTATTTGCCTGAGTGAATTGATTTAAATAAATGGAAATATTACTATTTTTTGGAATTGAGTTAATTTGTCCAGTAGTTTGTTTAGCATAAGCTTCAAGTTTTTCAACTTTTGCCAGTTCATCTCTATAAAGTTTTGTACTATAATCTTCATTCAAAATTTCGTCAACATTCTTATGAGGATGAAGTGGAATTCTATATTTACCAAACTTCAGTCTTCCTTTCTTACCAAAAAGTGGTAAATAACTACTTCCAATAACAACTCTTTGTGTTGGAGAATAGACATCATAAATTGTGAAACATAATTTAGCCTTTGATGGAATTTCATTAAATTTCACAGGAAATTGAATCCACTCATCCCATTGTCTTCTTCCCTCACGTAAAACAACATGACCTGTTGAACTTGGTACACAAATATCAGTGCCATCCTCAAAACAAAGTGTACATTCAACATACATATCCGTAAATGGACAACCAATAAGTGATTGATATTCATCATCATCTGCTCCATATTTATGATAATAATTAGAAAAGTGTTCAAATAAATTTCCCTCCAAACATTCACTATTAAATTATAATTGTGCAATAATAAATAAACTACTATGATGACTACTATGATACTCACATTTTCACTTGAAATTGTTGATCAACAATATCGGCAATATTATAATAATATTGCAAATTAAAATTATCTGTTGATAAATTAGAAATATTTGGTAGATTTTGTTGTTGTTGTGTATTATTGACTCCTGCTTCATCATTGATTGTCATGACACTATTCGTAGTAGTATTATTTGATATTTCATCCAATGTTCTCAAATCATTATTATTACTATTGGTAACAAGTGATGATTCATCCATCATTGATGTTGTGGTCAACAAATCGGCATTCTGTTGTTCATCAACCGTTGCCAACATTTTTTAAATATTTTTGTAATAATTCATGTTGTGGCATGATTATCTTCATCATCTTGATCCTTCACTGTTGATCCCATCACGGTATTGGATGGAAATTCTAAAGTTGATCAAGAGTGAATGCACTCAAAGGCTTCATGAGCAAAACAGAACTCAATTAACTTTGATTATTTACTTGAATGACCGAACAATGACAATAAATGGATTAATCAGCAGCGCCACTACAGCACATCAACACTTTGAATTTCCCGAATTAATTCCTCTCCAAGTATTATTAACAATAACCACTTGGATTGAATTGAGTAACCGATTGATGTGGTTCTTGATTGAAAATGTAGAATGCACTTTTTTGGGCCACTCAACAAATTTGCTACCCAAAGTGTGAGCACTATTTAATTCATTAATATGAAAAAAAAGCAACGCAACTGTTCACTGCTTTTATGGACTTATAAACAAAAACACTAATAATATATAATGTACTTTTCAGAGGAGGATTTTGATGGGTTATTCGAAAGACATGCTGCAGTATCGAATGCAGTTGAAAATGTTGAGGATGAAGAATTTACGACGAAAATTATTGAACAAGTTTATAGAGAAAGGAATAAGGGAGTTAATGGAATGTTGATGGAGGGGAGGAATGGGAGGAGGAAATTAATAAGTCATGAAATTGAAAACTTTGGCGATTATTGTAAAATTGTCATTAGGTTAGTTTCAGATAGAGTTTATATTGGAAATGCTAACAAATTCATAGTCATAATACGTTACTACTCTCATTCGAGGAGTGGATATTTTTGTACATACTCAAATTATCAGAATTATTCTCCAACTCTATGAATTCTCTGCGGTCTTGGTTTAATAAATTGTGAATATTGTAAAGTTTTTAAATTCTTAATCAAAAAAAAATGAACAAACGCAGAAAAGTGGAAAGTAATAGTATTGACGGCTCTTCAAGCTCTCCTGCGAATCTACCAATCGTAAATCCATTTTTTGATGAATATTTAACAGACGATTTGTTAGCAATAATTATTGAATTCATCGGAGATGATAAAATATTAAATTACATGCTCGTCAATAAGAGATTTAATCGAGTGATCAATGATGATCAATATGATTGTTTCAGACATTTCGAATATGAGCTCCCATTCACTTTTGATCCTCCGAAAAATTGTAATCTTGTTAGAAAATTAAGGATTTGTTCCATTGATGAAGATGTTTATGATTTTGATGAGGAAATTGCAATGATGAAATTTAACAAGGTTACTGAATTAATTGTTTTGGATGAATGTAGTTACTCATTCGGCTCTGCGTGTAAGGTTATCGATGCATCGAATGTGAAAATATTGTCTATTAATTTTGCAATCAGTACAGATGTTCTCAAACAAATTACTGAAGATTTCACTAATTTAGAAACACTCATTATTGCAGATTTTGAAGGTATTGCCCATAATGAAATTGAAAAGGAACTACCTACACTAACACATTTCATATTTAGTGAAGATTTAGATTACTCATACAGTTACGAACCATTCGAAATTGATAGATTTTGTAATGTTTTCAATTTTACTCCAAATTTACGAACCATAGAATGTGAACCAATAGTTGGTTATATGAATTTGAATGCATTAATTAAGATATGTTCTCAATTGGAATCATTGGAATATATAAAGGTTGGAATAGTGTTGGAAAATAGCAAAATTGAAAGTTATCCCTCCCTAAATGAATTGATGAAACGAAAGTTGTTGAAACTTGAATTGAATTGTTACTCGCACATTGCTCTTGATGTGCTCACCAAATATTTTACAAATTTCAAAGATCAAACGAAGATAACATTGGAAGAAAGATTATACTTGTAGAACAAGTTATTGGAATCAATGATTGGATTATTATTCATGATGATAAGTTATCAAGACAAACAATCAAAACCTTCACATATCAACACAATGATTCGTTACCCGTGTTCCAAAAGAATCTTGTGTTCAATTGTATTGTAATGGAATGACAGATCCTTCATCCATCATTTCATAGTTTCTTTTGTTGTGCTCAATAGTGTCTCGATCTTTTGATATTATCACATTTCTTTAATATTATGTTAAATGTTAATAGACATGTCAAATAAATAATTAACATCTGTCATGTTTCAATTTTACCATGAAGTAAATGAGCAGGAATTAAGTGATAGATGAACTAATATGTAAACGAATTAATAGATGATATTTACTTCCTTTCAAAAAAATGCCACAAGTCGAAACAATGACAAGAGACAGCAACAAAGGAGTTGGAGGTAACGAACGATCATCATCAACTCAAGCATTAGTACTTTATACGTTTGAAGCATCTTCTTCAAATGAAATGTCAATAATCGGTAAGTTTAATGTTGAATAAGTTTCGAATAAATTTGCAAAGAGAATCAAATATTAACAGTTATTAAAAGTGATGATGATTGGACACTTTGTAAAAATCCAGAAACATCACAACTAGGTTATGTTCCAACACAATATATTCAAATAATTGTTAAACCTCAAATTCGACCTCAACTAAATGTTAGCCGAAAGGTTTCGAATAATCAACAATCAACCACCACAACCAGTACATCGATCAATGTTTCATCAAACAAACAACAAGAAAGAAATAATTCTGATCACGAAACTAATCAAAAACCTCCACTTTCGGCTAGAAACAAAGTTTCGTCTACACAAGTACCAACCTCTTCTTCTTCATCGAATGAGACAATAACAACTACAACACCAACAATCAATACCAAGTTAGCAGATTCACAAAAATCCTCATCTCCACAATCACCTGCCACATCAACATCATCAACTGACAATTTTACATCTGTCAAACAAAGAATTAAATTCTTACAAGAACATCAATTACCAATTCCTGGTGCAAATAACACAACAAATCAACAAGATAAGTCAAAACGTGTTCAATTTGTTCAAACTCCAAGAAATCAAGATTCTTCACCAATTCCTAATACTGTTAATAATAATGTTAATGTTAATACTACTACTAATAATAATACTGTTAATAATAATACCAATAATAGTGGTAATGGTAGTGGTATTAATCAATCATCAACAATAGAGAGTGGTTCTTCGAGTGGAAATGTTTCTGGAAGACCTCCAAAACCAAAAGGTTACTCAACTGGAACACCAAGTGGTAATAACAATGGTAATATTTCAGGAATTAATTCTAGTGGTTCAACATCAGGATCTTCATCATTGAATGTTTCAACACCTCCAAGTGGAACTAGTCCAGTTCTCAATAATTATTTACAAATGTATGGAGCTGTTCCAATTTTACCATTTGTAAAACCTATGCAAACAAAGAATTTGACTCCTGATGAAACTTATGAAAATGCAGTGAATAATTCAATTTCAAATAATCAATATAGTACTAGTGGTAGTTCATTGAATGGAAGTTCTGTGCCTACTTCTACACAAGATTCCAATTTATTGGTTGATACTCGTGTCGAGGATAAGAAGGGATTGGCTAAATTGGGGAGAAGTTTATCACGTAAATTTAAAAAGAATCATAAGAATCATCACTCTGCAGCAACTCCAACGAGTGGAGATGATGATGAGATTATTCAATCATCAACCACTGGTCATACAGATTACTTGAAAACAAGTCCTAGAGCAACTACTTCATTCCAACAATCACCAATTACCTCACTAACTAATGAAAATGAATTTGATAAGCCAGCACTTCCTCCAAAGAAAACCAGAGGAATTGAAGAGGAATTAGATGCAGCCGATAAGAGAAAAACTCTTCCAGTCAACATGAGAAATGATCTATTCCAAAAGATGCACAGTCAATTGAAAATGCAATCATTCACAGGTGACAATGCTCCTTCACTTTCTCGAACTGGAAGTATTCTTCAAACAACACAGGCTGAAGATGATGTTCAATTCATCAATGAAATAAGAAAACCATCAATGAGCAAATCAGTTGCTGTAAAATTAATTGCTGACAAGATGAAATTCTATAATAACTATAGATTAATGAAATACTATCTCCAAAAAGATGAATCTCTCAAGAATGCCAGAATAAGAAAGCAAAAGGTGTTGGAAATTGTTAGTACAGAAAGAGATTATGTACAAAATATTCATATTTGTGTTGATGAATTCCTAGCTCCAATGAGAACAAATCCAAAGAAGTTTGGTGTTAAAAACGAGCAATTGGATGTTCTCTTCTTGAATATTCTCCAAATTTTACAATGTAATCAAGAATTATTGAAGAGATTGAATGAACAAGTCAATGAAAATCAACAAGGAAGAACAACATGTGTGAGGATTGGTATTGTCTTTAGAGAAATGGCTGTGTGGTTCAAACTCTACACAGATTATATCAATAACCATGAGTCTGCCACCAGCACTTATGATTCACTGATTGAGAGAAAGAAAAAGTTTGCTGCCTACATTGAAAAGCAACAAAATAATCCAAAATGTAAAAATTTACCACTTGCTGCCTATTTAATTCAACCTGTTCAAAGAATTCCAAGATATAGTAAGTAGAAAACTATGAAATATTCAATTATTAACCTATTGAAATTTTACAATCAAAATAGGACTTTTACTTGCTGACGTTATAAAATTGACACCAACAGATCACGTTGATTTTGATGATCTGCAAAAGGGTTATCAAGCAATTCTTGAAATTGCTGATTGGGTCAATGAAAGAAAGAGAGAGAATGAAAATCAACACTCTCTCACTAAATTACAACTCAAATTAACCGATTCAGAATTTAAACAAATTTTCCTTCCTCATAGAAAGTTAATTTCCAAGACTGAAACATTGAAATCAACAATAACTTTTAAGGATCATGAATCTGATTTTGACAAGTATTTTGCATTTAACAGACAAACAGAAGCTTACTTGTTTTCTGATATGTTAATCATAGCACTTGGAGAACAAGTTGATACTTCACAAGCTCTCTCCCAGCAACACATTATTATGAGAGAAAATTTGGTAATCATTTACTTTGTATTTGTAAAAATTGTAAAAGTAGAATATATGCAACCAGTTGAGGATGCTCCAGCACAAACTGATTCAGTTCCAAATATGGTTCAAATAGCATATGGATTGAGAGGAAAGGATTTAATGTTTGAATTCAATTTAGAATCATGTGATAACCATTTCTCTAAAAAGATTCTCTCCTGTATTAATACATGTAAGAAGAATGTCTCAAATAAGACAGGCATGGATCCAGAAAGTCTATTTGGTGTCTCTGCTCAATTCAATAGAATTTTGAGATCGATACCAGAAATTAAAGATCAAATGAAAAGAAAAAAGGAAAAGGCAACTAGAATGCAAGCTGAAATAACGACCATATCTAAGGAAATTGAAAGAAAAGAACAGGAAGTTCTCAGATTATTGGAAGAAATCAATAATTTGAAAGAACAAAAGATGCAAAATGAATTGGGAATTTCAGAGGCAGAACAAGACTCTGTTAAATCTTCCTCAGATTTCAAACAAGTAGCAGAAGAAAAGAAGAAATGTCAGGAAAATGTCTTTACAATTCTTGGAAATGATTTATTTGCATACACTGAAATGTTCGGTTCAATTTCAAATCGAGACGATCCTAAAATACTAATGGATTAAATAAATAATGAAAGTTGTTTTATTCTCCATTATTGGTTACCCTCTTGAATACCTCAGAGTACTTTTCAATTTGTCTATAGACGAGAAAGTTTTCCTTCACTCGTTTCTCTGAATTAATTCCATAAAGAGTTCTCTTCTTTTCATCTAACAGCATTTCGGATAGAGTTTGAGCAATTTCAAAATCATCTTGAGCATTCACTAAGCGACCATCAATTCCATCCCTCAATTGAATTCTCAATCCAACAGCTTGTCTTGAACCCATCACTGGAATTCCCTTAAACATTGCCTCAGTACAAGTTAATCCGAAACTCTCTCTTAAACTATTCTGAACCACAACAAGTGAACATCTCTGAAGAGCATTGACAATGAGAGCATTTTGTTGAACGTTATTCATTGGAAGTGAGAGAATGGCAACATCCTCCTGTAGTTCAGGACTCAAATCAGCATAGAAAACTGACAATTCCTCAAATACTTGCAATCCTTCAGGATCATCTTGAATGAATTTAGGATCTGGACCTGCCAATACTTTACAAAACAATCAAATTTCTTTGTTTTTCAAAGAATTAACTTACCTAGCTTGACTCTCTTTAATAATTTCATTTCTTCTTCTGTTAATTTCTCTGACATTGTTTCAAGATTTTGTTTCATTCTCAACCAACCTTTCATGAGTGGAATCCAACCTTTCAATCTGTCCCATCTACTTATTTGAGTGACAATTGGATTGAATGGAATGCCTAATAGATATGGATCTCTGAATAATCTCTTAACTTTGTGTGGATATTTGGATTTCCACTCAAATTCTTCTTCACATCTAGTCAACCCAGATTGAACTAGAATATTCATAATTTCATTGGTTGATAAATGTTGATTCTTTGGATTGAATGGTGATAAACTTGGATAAATAATTGAAAAGTTATTCTTCAAATATGAAGGAGCATACTCTGGTGAAGTAAAAATTGAATGGTCAACCATTTGAATATATGGCTGAAGGAAATTCCAAGCACATCTTGTTTGAAAATTATGTTCATCCAATCCAATATGACATCTGAATATGACCTTCACTCTATTTCCAAATACTTCACGAATGCTCTTTACTAATCCCAAAGGTTGAGGATCATGTAATACTTTATGTGAAATAATTTCACAAATTATTAAGCTAAACTTCAAACCCATTATTGTAATACATACTCACAATATCACCCTCACTGATAATACTACCAGTCAGGAAGCCCTCACTATTGGCATTCTCTCTATTCACATTTTCGTAAACAATTCGATCCTCAGATGTAAAGTCACGATCTTCTCCACTGCCATGAATGAAATTGTGAATCTTTTTAGTTACACTGAAAAACATTTCATCATCTGTATTGATTGTTAACCACGATGCCTGCATAATTGTATATTGATTTAGCAATGTTTCATTATTTTGTTTTGTATTAATAAACAATACATACAGTATAGCCAACTTCATTCATTGTACCACATAATCTTAACTGATCGATTAGAGAGAATGAATTGAATAAAAGAGATGATAATACGTACCAACATTTCTGCAACACCTCCTCCAACTGCTGTTGAATTAATGTGCCATATCTTTCTATTGGAAAATGGTTTCACTTTCCTTTTCATTTTACCTTAAGAATGTTAATTCACTAACTGAATTATTTAAATAATATATTTACCAATTGCTTCAGAAAAGGAAGCATACTTTGATTGTTCTTCCAATGATAACGTATCTTCTTTGTCTTTGGCTTCCTTTACGAATTTTAGAGGCATTTCTTTTACTCAATGATTCTCTTTGATTATTCTAAAAGAGGAAAAAAGACAAAAAAATAACAAAGTAAATTGTACAAAATTAAAAGGGAGTTTTAGTTTAGGGGAGTTATTTGATACAGAGGAAGGAAAAAGGTATGATGAAATTACCACTTCTTTTGATTTTGTTGATGTGTGGTATTATTGGTTGGATTACCTGATGGATAAGCTGGATAAACAATTTGGTTTGGATGTCCAAAAACGTAGCCAGATTGTGGGTATTGGGATTGGTAACCTGGGAGATAAGCTGGGTATGGATTAACCTTAGCTTCGTTTTGTGGAGATTCTGATTTATGCTTATTGTCCATTTGCATTTGTTGACTTTGTGGATACATGAAGAAGTATGGTTGTTGAACGAATGGATAGTTAGCATCTTGTTGATGTTGTTCAGCATCTTCAGAACCAGTAGCTTGATTGTACATTCCGAATCCTTCTTGACTATAACCAAAACCTTGATTAAAGTTCTTATTAGTATTAACACCTTGAGCACCTTGAGGTTGATAATATTGATAAATGTATGGGTAATATTGAGGATGATATGGATATTGATGATTTGGAATGTATGGAATGCCATAATTGTGATGCATCTTTGGATCAGACCAGAATTGACCATTTTGCATTTGTGGGTTAGTTTGAGCGTTTGGTTGATTAACAGAAGAAGTAGGTTGAGATTTTGGAAGTGGTTGAGATCCTAAATCCAAAGTACCGAATTGAATATTTTGAGTAGTATTGTATGGAATACCTGTTGGCATTTGGAGTTGTGGTTGTTCTTCTTGTTGAGTTGGTCTTTGTTCGAATGAAGTTTGGTAGTTTGATTGAGCAGATTGTTGTGGTTGTTGAATTGGTTGAGATGGTTGTTGGATTTCAACTTGTTCTTCAACTTGTTGTTCAACTTCTTCATTGGCCAATTCTTCTTCTGGTACTTCTTCTTCGACAACAGATTCTTGGACAATTTGTTGTTGAATTTGAACTGGTTCTTGGACAGGTTCTTTAACCTCTTCCTTTGGAGCCTTCTTATCACCCTTTTTCTTTCGTTGTTGATTTCGTTCATTCTTAGCTTTTTCCTTTTGATCCTTGGCTTGTTGTTCCAAAAGTTTCTTTTCTTCATCAATCTTCTTCTTTTCTTCATCTTCCTTTTTTTTGAAAGCAGCAGCAGCTTCGCTGTATGAAAGAACCTTGGCTTGTTGTGGTTGAGTTTGTTTTGGTTCTTCTACAACTTCGTCTTCTGGAGCAGAAAAATTACGAACTTCAGATGATGTTGTTTTGTCTTGCTTAGATGGTTTTTTCTTGTTTGGTTTATCATTTGTAGGAGAGGCTGGTTGTTGTGTGGTTGATGTTGATCTAGGGCCTGATGGTGAGGAACCAGCACGGCTTCCACCACGAGAACCACCTCTACCTCCACGACCACCTCTACCACCTCTAGTAGTCTTTTGTGTTCTGATATCCTTTTTCTCTACGGTTGTCCAATCTTCCTTACCATCAACCTTCTTTTGTACTACAAGTTGAACATCATAGTTGTTTTCTTCGAGACATCTTTGGATTTCATTTTTTTTCCAATCACCGAACATTTCTTGGATTTGTCTTACTTTTTTCTCAACATCCCTTGGAAGGTTATCACCTTCAGAGTTATTGTTGTTGTATTGTCTTTTAGTGTATGTTTGCTTTCCTCCTTTGTTTTGGGACATTTTTTATGGGGGGATGATATGTCAAGCGAGACGCTTTGAGTTATTTTTTTTTGTAAGTTTTATTTTTGTTTTGCTACTTCCTTTGCGCTTTAGCTTGACTCTTCTCACAGCTAAAGGCCTTGTTGAAATACACACGCTTTGTATGAACAAAATTCCAGCCTTGTTTTGCTTTTTGATGTTGGCGCCAAAATTTTGTGCCACAATACTCAACACCACAACAATAAATTGGATATCCATCTTCATTCTCTGTCTGTAACTACACTCTTTGGAACAAGGACTACTACCAACAAGATGACACAAAGATGACAATGATCCATTCGGTTTGTTACGGAAGGTAGGTTATTGTTGATAACAATTATTATTATTTTTACCACCATCACGTTTGTAACCTTTGTCAACTTTACAATGACAATTCCGATGTACTTCCATTGTGAAATGCAACATTTAGAAATAACAAGATTCATTCCTGACAATATGAATTAGCAATTCAATTTGGATATTATTATGAAAACCTCAACGACTGTGCAGTTGTTGTCATGAACAATGGAATTCATAAACTCGATTTCAACTATAATTATTCATCCTCATCAACTCTCATTATTCTCTACTAAGTCTATACAGGATGATCCAATTAAGATTGAAGGTGTTGTTCCTCTCTAATATTCAGTCTATCCTTGATATATCGTCCAAATTGATTGAGCACAATAAGATTCTCATCAAATATTTTACTCCAAACTTATCTTGATGTTCAATCCTCTATAAGTACTACAACAAAAGCAGCCATCATGATGTGATGCTGCTTGATTTTTACCTGGAGAATCATCCTCCGAGTTGTGGCTGGGTAGCTTCAATTCTATCAAAATGAAAATTATTGCGAATATTTTACCTCCATGCTAAGAAGAGGACGACGGAATCATCAAACCAAATTTAAAAAAAAATGTTGGTCAAGAAATCTAGTGGAAGTCTCAGACAATTAAAACTCAATCCGTTGATGAGGAGTTCTGCATTAATTGTTGGTCAACCATCATCTTTCTTGGATGTACCTGTATATTCTTCTGTGCCAGGTGAGTTTTAATTTTCGGATGATGATGATTTAATTCGGAATTTTTCTAGAATCTTTTTATACAAAATTGTTTTTAAAGAGAATGTTCCATACATCTACACTTTTAAAGGCATATAAAGTTAGTCCTTCAAAATTAGCTAGATTAGAATATGAAGCTCAAACATCAAATGATATGAATAGAAAAGCTGAATATTTACAAGCTTTGTGTGATTTGGAACAATATCAATTGGTAACTCAACTTGTAGATAATGGAAACTATTCATTGGATCATCCATTGATTAGAACTTCTTACAAAATTGCTTTGGAAAGAATTGGAGGTGTCAATCAATCGGACCTCTCTAGAACTTCATTGCATCAAACAATTTTCAATCAACAGCCTCAATATCATCAACCACAACAACAACAACAACAACCACAACAATCATATTATCCTCCTCCAGATTATCAACAATATTCCAATAATTATCAATCACCTCAACCAGTCCTTCCTCAAAAATTAGTTGTTACTATGGATGATTCCTTCTTCTCCAGATTTAACAAAGTCAATATGAATAGAGCTATTTGGTCAATGCTTTTTAGTGCATCTATTCTCTTGGTTTTCTTCTATTTAACATTTTACTCTTCCGATCCATCCAAACAAAAACAAGGTGGAGGTGGAATAGGTTCAATGTTTGGGCAAACTACCTATAAACCAATTACAAATGTTGAAACAAGATTTGATGATGTCAAAGGTATTGATGAATGTAGAGGCGAATTGGAAGAAATTGTTGATTTTTTGAAAAATCCAGAAAAGTTTAACAAATTGGGTGGTAAACTTCCTAAGGGTGTTCTCCTTGTAGGTAAACCTGGTGTTGGTAAGACCCTCCTTGCCAAGGCTATTGCTGGTGAAGCTGGAGTTCCTTTCTTCTTCTGTTCAGGATCTGAATTTGACGAAATGTTTGTCGGTGTTGGTGCTAAACGTATTAGAGAATTGTTTGCTGCAGCAAGAAAGCAAGCACCTTGTATTATCTTTATTGATGAAATTGACTCTCTTGGTGGTAAAAGAACAGCCAGAGATCCATTCTATTCTAAACAAACACTCAATCAAATCCTTTCGGAAATGGATGGTTTCAAATCAAGTGAAGGAATCATTGTTATCGGTGCTACTAACTTGTTAGATTCTCTTGATAAGGCTTTAATTAGACCTGGAAGATTTGATAGACATATTGAAGTTCCTCTTCCTGATTTGAAAGGTAGAAAGGATATTTTGAGTTTGTACTTGAAGAAAGTACCAATTAATCCAGCTGTAAATATTGACACAATTGCCAAAAAGACAACAGGATTTACTGGAGCTGATTTAGAAAATCTTGTCAATGTTGCATCGATAAGAGCATGTACAAAGAATAAGGAACAAGTTAGTAATGATGATATGGATTATGCCTTCGATAGAATTGTTATGGGTATTGCAAGAACATCTAGTATTAATTTGATGAATGAAAAGGATAAGGAAATTACTGCTATTCACGAATGTGGACATGCTTTAGTTGTCTTACTCAATCAAAAGAATCTTACTCATAATAAGGATAATCTTCACAAGATCACTATTATTCCTAGAGGTAGTGCCCTTGGTTTCACAGCATCTTTGCCTGAACGAGAGGTTCATCACATGTCTAAACAACAATATCATCAAATTATAGATAAGGCTCTTGGAGGTGTTGTTGCTGAGGAAATTTGTTATGGAAAGGATTATGTCACAAGTGGTTGTACATCAGATTTACAACATGCTACAAATATTGCCAGAGCTATGGTTACAAGATTTGGTATGAGTGAATTGGGATTAATCGATTTTACTGAAGAATCAGGTTCTATGTATCAAAAGGGTCCTGAGTTCTCTCCAGAAACCAAGAGATTAATTGATATTGAAATTCAAAAGATTGTCAATGGTTCTTATGAAAGAGTTAAAAAGATGCTTAAGGAAAATGAACCTCAATTGAGGAAGCTTGCCCACGAGTTGGTCAAGTATGAAACCTTATCAGGAAAGGAAGTTTTAGATATTTTGGATGGAAAAGAAGTTACTCGTTCCATTGCTGGTGAAGTTGATTATTAAGCTCTAATAATAAAATTCTTTTTAATTGATGATAAATAATTCCCAGTTATAAAAATAAAAACAATTATAAAGAATTATACATTTAAATTATTTTAATGTTTTCAGATTTTTAGAATTAAATTTACACTCTATTTTAATTGTCGTCATCACTAGGTGGTTCAACATAATCATTACTAAAATATTTGTCAAGATATTTTGATAATGTAAAATACTTACTTTAAGAAAAATCTTACGTCTCTATCCTTGTCATTATCTAAAGTTTGTCTAATTGTAACAAAGATTGGAGTTTCTCTAAGTTGTTCATTTGGAAGAATAGCTCTCCTCATAACTTTAGCTAAATTCAATCTGACATTAGGTATGACATCTTTTGATAATTTTTCTAATTCAGGAGCAAATTCTGACAAAAACAAATTAATATCAATTTCTTGAACCAAATATTCACAAGCAAAAACAAAGATTAATCTTCTGTGGAATTCACCAGAAGCCAATTCATGAAGGAAACCTGTCAACTCATTTTGACCTTCCTTGCTTTCCTCATCACATAATCTCTTCATAATTTTACCACACTAAAATGTTTGAGTAAATTTGTTTGTAAATTAGTTTGTTACTTACAGAAACAATAGAATTCTTTCGGACTACGGCAAAATCATCAGTGTACAAATCAAAAATAACATTGAGTATAGTATTCTTAACAGTCTCAGGTGAAACTAATTCAGCCAACAAGCCCAATTGTTTGGAAATTTCGCTCTTAATTCTCCAGTTATCAGTTTGCTCTGGAATGGAACAAATTGTTGATAAATACTTTTGCTTAGTTTCTTCAGAGAAGTGTTTGAAAAGGATTGATAAATTGGCAATAACACCAATCTTGACTTCATCTAAATCTTTCAAAAAGAGTTCTAAAGCGTTAGCTAAACAAGTTTCTGTAACTTCCTGAGAAACAAGTTGTGCAACTTCGTGTAATGAACAAGCCAATGATCTTCTAACCTTCCATTGAACATCCTTAACCAAATGATTGTAGGCATTTTCAACTTGTGACCATTTAGTCTTTCCTATGATTTGGGCAACAGCTGGGAAGTTATAAGCACAGTATTCTACCATATCAGTTTCATTTTGATCATTTTGGAATGCCATTTCAGAAAAGTATTGAATAAGTGTTTCAGGGATAGATGAAGGAACTTCAGGAGTATCAGGTTCAAAAGTAGCAATGAAAGCACCTAATTGCTTATATGCTTCCATTTTAACCCATCTGGAAACATCATCAGCAAATCTTTCAAAAAGTTCAACCAAAGTATTCAATCTAGTTTCTCTATCAACACACTTAGAAATTTCTGGAAGAGATTCAGCACAAGCCTTTCTAACACCCCATATTTCATCCTTACTTAAAACAAGATAGACTGGAAGTATTTTGGTTACTGTCAATTCTGGTCCAATTTGTTGACAAATTAAACTTAATGATTGTGATACAGTTTTTCTAACCAAAAGTGATGGATCATCACTGAGGGAAATAATTTCTTGAACAACAACTTCCTTTACAAGATCAGGTCCAAATTGTGGTGCCAATTCGTTAAATAATCTAGCTGCTGCAATACGATACTCCTCAACTCTATCATCATGGGCCAAATTTACTATTACGGACAGCAATTGTGGCTCGATGTGATTTTGTTTTATCAATTTTGAAATTTTTACCAAGGCCTCAGTAGCACTATTTCCAACTTCAGTATTCTTATCAATGATCAATTCAAAAGTATATGGTATAAATGTATTGATAAGTTCATTGTATCCTTCCTCTCCTCCATTTTCCAAAAAGAATGTTGCTAATGGATAGAGTTTTTCAGCGAATACTTGTCTGACTACAGGTTCTGTGTCTGAAACGAAGTTTTGAAGAAGAGGTAATAAACGTTTCACACTTTCCTTGTACCCTGCTTCAATTGCTGTATCATGAACATCCCTAAGGAGTACAAGTCTGTTGTATAAATAATAATGATATAATTTGATGATGATGATGATGAAAATAACGTTATTTGTTATACAAATTAATTAGAATTGTATAACAATAACAAAATACAAACCTCTGCAGAGAAAAATCAGAATTATAATACTTTTCCAGACGCGAAAGGCTGTCCAAAGTATCATCTATTGTGTATTCATTAAAAATAAAATCGTCCTCTATTTAAAAAGTATATTAGTTTTTTGTTCTTCTTTATAAAAGAAAAACTAACCATCAAAAGAATCATCTCCGTTTTCATACATCTTCGCGTCTTGTTATTCTTCCAAGTTGTAGGATAAAAATTTTTGAAGATTATTTTTTTTGTTCGTCTAAAAGCGTTATTCTCTTCAATGAGGGCGCCAAGTCAAAACTTTTGTAAGCCAAAATAATGGCTATTATTATTGTGAATATCTAACTATTTAATTATTATTGCAAATTATAATAATTTAATTTATTAATGTAATTGTTGTTATTCGAAAAATCAGCACTGCTGGGTGGAAGAAGTAACAAGTTGTTCGTAATGATGAAGAAACATCATCACCCATTTACAGCACGCGTTGATTCCTTTCAAGTTAATCGTACATCATCACAATTGAGTAATTAAGTATCAAGTTTCATCATAATACGCAGCTTGTCTCTCTATTCAGAAAATGGTATTTCAAAGTTTAGTTCAATAATCATAACATGATTGTTTCTTCTTTTGACCTTTCATTAGACTTTGAATGAAAATTGAGCTTTCAATTAGTTTATATTCCCATCTTTTGGATTTTGATAATGCTTCATGAGATAGTTTCATAACATATTTGCAAAGTATTTTGAATCCAGTAAGGTTTTTTCTACTTTGTTTTGGAGAAACCTCACATAAATTCACAACTACGTAATTGTGATTATGTTCACTAACACAAATTAAATCTCTATGCCTAATTATTTCATCAATAAATTCAGGTTTTTCTCCATACTTTACAGTAAAATTGATTGATTTTTTTTCTTTGGATTGAGTAAGGGGAATGTATTTCAGTAACGAAACGTCATTTTCTAAATACATTGATTTGACAGTTACTCTTGAATCAAAATTTCTAATAATTAGTAAATTTGTCTTGAGCTTTTTATCATAGTAGGCTTTCTTAAAAAACTGCTCTGAAATACTTGTGTCAATACTATTACGATCAAAAAACTCATCAACACCAATCTTACTATTCTTTCCACTAACTGAAATACATTTATAACACATAAATCTCCAAATATCGTTTCTGATTGCTACATTATACCATTGCTTGCAAACTTGACCAACTCGGAGTGATAATTCTTCTGGTGAAAGGAAGAAGAATATTTGCATCAAGGATAGATCATCCAATAAGAGTCGTCTAATCATTTTTTTTATCAGTTGTATTTTAATATTTAATGGTGAACTTGCCAAATCACCAGATTTGAAATAGATTACAATTGTTAATAATTATTAATGATTATGAACATTTCAATAAAAACAAGAATTATAATGTTGTCTTTGACTTTTATATTAATATGGAAGGAATTTTTGCAAATTTGGAAATTTTTTAATAAGGGATTTTACAAGCATAAAATGTGTTTGGCGCCAATTTCACAACCAATCATCATGATATTTCAATGTTTAATGAATAATAAGAGGAAAATGAGCCCTGATGTTGATGAATTCTCTCAAAATAAGCTGTCCTCACATTGAATAATTTCCTTGATCTTGTTGGCGCTCAAGTTACAATTTATTCAAAATGAAATTGTTTACGATTATTGTTTGGCTGCCTTATATCTCCCTCAAACACAATTAAAAAATATTCAACAACGTTTAACCGATACATCAACCGAACAACCGACAAGGCCTTAGATCTACAACTACTGCTTTACCTCATCATCATTATCAATAATTTAATATTGTAAAGGCACAATAATAGTAGAATTTCTCTCATATTTAATTGTAGATTATCAACTTAATTTGTTTGGAATTATCTTATCTTTATTTCCATCAAGTTTTAGGTTTAATAGTAAATAGTATCCAAACAAACACTCTCTTCCGAATAATATGAACACTACCAATTTTTCTTACATCCTCCAAGACCAAAATCAACAGGGGCATACTAGCATAACATTAAATAATGATGTTAGCTACTTGAATCCCTCCACTTTTTCTTCAATGTTCAATCAGCAAGATTCCTTACAAAACATCCAAACAGAATGCGTCATTAGTAATGGTATTCATGTACAAACATCAAATATGCAAAGGCATAATAACAATAACAATAATAATCAAAGAAGCATGAATACAAACGAACAGATTAACAATTCAATACAGGATAACCAATATTTTGGGTTACCTAATAATCAATTTATTGATTATTGCTCTAATAAGAATGAGCCATTCTTTATGGCTAAAATACCTACTGCTTACTATGAAAAGTTGACATTCTTTTTCAAACAAATTAACTCTCCTTCCTCAGAAAACACAAATGCCCTCAAAGTTCCAAAACAAAGTGATGACCTCTCTGATGATTCATCAAATGATAAACGAAGTAATAAGGGTGACTCTGTAATCAAAGGTTCATGGAGTGAAATTGAGGATGAGAAGCTGTTACAACTTGTAAAGAAGCATGGTCCAAAGAGATGGTCATTTATTGCTTCACATTTAGAAGGAAGAGTAGGTAAACAATGTAGAGAAAGATACCTCAATCACCTGGATCCAAAGATTAAGAAGAATGCTTGGACAGAAGAGGAAGATTCAATTATTATTGAAATGCATGAAAAACATGGAAATCAATGGGCTAAAATCAGTAAATTCCTTGAAGGAAGAACAGCCAATGCCATTAAAAACCATTGGAATTCAACATTGTCCAAAAGATTGGATAAAAAGAAGGGTGAAGAACAAGGAGACAAACAACTCTTAGAACAAACACAAATACAAATGCCTCAACAATCAATACCTGTCCAACAAATGGTCTATTCATCTGTAGACACTTCGATGTTAAAAGAAGGATTGAGAACAGACTATGCAGACCAAATCCCACTTTCTTGTAAATCAGACTTTGCAGACTTTTTCACTCCAACCCCACAAGCTGCTGAGAACACAAATAAGAGAACATTCCCTTCAGGAACCATCGAGTCACTGAGTAAAAAGATCAAAACAGAGGAGTTACAATTAGAGACTGAAGAAACTCTCAATTCATTCGATAGTGGAAAGGAAAAATTCAAAAAGCTGAGACTCAATCTTATAGAGAAGAGTGACGATGTAAATAGTAGCTCAACAGTGATATGTCACGATTCAGGAACTCCTGGTATATCTGGTGTTTCAGTAATAACAGAACACATGTTACCTTCTGGATTTACACCAAAAGGTTTTGATCCCTCTCCGAGTGGTTTGTCTTTATTCTCTCCATCCAATTTTAATGATGGTGCCACTCCTTCCTCAACATCCTTAGGTAATATTTGGATGGATACAGATGGGTTTTTCTCCTCCCCTAAGAGTACTAAGAATGTTTGAATAAATACATATATTTAAACATTTACTGATGTAATATTTATTGAAGCTTTACTTTAGGTTTCTTGTCTGAAGTTGTTTTTAACTTTCCTTCCCTTGCTTCCACCATCTCACATCCATAACGCTCTAAAAAATTTTCATTGTAAAACAACAAATAACTGGTTGTTCTTTAAAAAATTTGTTGAAAAAAAAACTCGCAAATCCAAAATGCCACCAAAGTCCAAGGAGAGAAAGCAAAAGGTTGAACAAGTTTACTACGGTCCAAGAAAGGGTGAAAACGAACTTGTCTTCGGTGTTGCTCATCTTTATGCTTCATTCAATAACACTTTCGTTCACGTCACTGACTTGTCTGGTCAAGAAACTATTGTCAAGGTTACCGGTGGTATGAAGGTCAAGGCTGACAGAGATGAAGCTTCTCCATACGCTGCTATGCTTGCCGCTCAAGACGTTGTCGTCAGATGTAAGGAATTGGGTATCAATGCTCTCCACATTAAACTCCGTGCTACTGGTGGTGTCCTCACTAAGACTCCTGGTCCAGGTGCTCAATCAGCTTTGAGAGCTTTAGCTCGTGCTGGTATCAAGATTGGTAGAATTGAAGATGTCACTCCAATTCCTCACGACTCTACTAGAAGAAAGGGTGGTAGACGTGGTCGTAGATTGTAAATGGTCTATTTTCATTTTCTCTCAATAAAAAAAATAAATAAATTCTAAAATATTAAATTGTTCTTGTCGTGGATTTTTGGTTCGGTAGATAGGATAACTAGTAAAATTTACAATATTGAAATTGTTTAATTATTGATCGAATTAATCCTCAATCCTTCTTTAAATTTTTAAGATCAAAATGAGTTTTTAAAGGAAAATTGTTTTGTTGTTTATTGTTTTGTGATTTGTACAAGGAGGGCCGGCAAAATTGTTTGTTGATTAGAAAAGTGTTTTGAAAATGTATGAATAAACTCTTAGGTTTGATGAACTGTCACTCTCTCAGTTAACATCGTATTCTTAGTCGTGTCACACTATACACTTTAAAATTGTGGTAATTGATGATTGAATTGTTCAATTATTGTAATTGTTCACAAATCGAAGCCAAAACATCAATAGCAGACTTTGATTCGATTGGTTGATGGAAATAGAAAACACCAGGTTGTTGCCCAGTCATTGGAGAAAAGGCAAGAGAATAATCAACATCTTCTGTTTCTGAAGTTGTTGGTGAGGATGTTTCAGTTGTATAACCATCAATCTTTGAATAAATTCTAGCCATTGATCCAGCTACTTTTGGAGACAAGTTTTGCATATTGATTGGGGATGGTGGTTGATTCTTTAGCCTCTTTTTGAATGGCATGGAAGGGGAGTTAGTTGATTGATTTGGTGATGGAATACTTGTTGTTGGGGATTGAGGAGTTGCGTTGGATGAAATAACTGGAATCTTTTCACTTGGGAAATGTTCAACTACTCTTCTCTTTGGAGTTGATTCAGTTGTTGATGGACTTGTCACAATTTCTTCTTCTTCTTCATCTGAAGATTGTTTGGACTTCTTTGTCTTTTTACGTTTGTTATTAACTGTACGGTTTGGATTTTCTTGACATTCGCAACAAGTATAACTACCAGATTCATTATGTGGGTTTTTCATGCACTTTTTATGGATCCATTGATTGCAGTTAGTGCAAATGAGCCAGAATTGCTTTTCATTTCTCATATCACTTTCTTTGAAAATTTCTAAACATTCTTTACAATAGTGACCTTTTCTATAATGAAGACCACACTTGTTACATAAGAAAACTGTCTTGGCTTTAAAGTTATTCTTTGGACTTGCTTCTTCAATACACCAGCCCTATTATTACATTACTGTAAATGAAAATATTGAAATTATTACTTACTTTTCTCCAGAGTGGTGTTTTGGTGGTACCACATTTAAAGTTTGCACATTGCTTAACATTTCCATTGACACTTTGATGAGCGTGGGTAATTGCTGCTGATGCCTTTTCTTCGTGATGATGTTGAGAAGTTGTTTGAATGAGAACACTATTAGCAGTTGGTACGGGAAGAAGTGGATGTGGATTGATTGTGAGAGGATTTGGTATTGTAGGAGTAAGAATTGGATTCAATGTTGAGGAGGATTTAATATTGACCAATGAAGGTTGAAGATTAGGTTGCAATGAAAGAGGAGGAGCAACAACGTTCATCACTGGTGTCATCTTTGGGAATGAATAAGAGAGACCATGAAAACAATCAGGTGGTGGTGGTGGTAATGCACTACTAGACATTGTAGATAACTATTTGAGAGACGACGAAGGGAATGCGCGGGTATTTAATATTACTAGTTATTTGAAGGTAATCAGTTTTTTGATTCAAAATCTGATTTGGCGGTTTGATTGTTTTTTTTGTCTTCAATTTTATGTTGCACGATGGAGTGGCTCGTTTTGAAGTGAGCGGCAATCTTTCCCACGATCAATCAGTCTGATTCAGTTTTTCTCTTCGGGCTGATTGTTTGCATGCTTGGTCATAAAGAAATGCTGCTGATCGCATAGAGCTTGAATATCGACGGGAATGGATTCTTTAATTTACAATTCTGAATACATCAATGCTACCAAAAGAGTTAGGGAATGTTGAGTGATGGGTCGAAAAAAGCATGTGTTGGCGCAATAAAACCAAATCCTACAGATATTGTCACAGTTTAATTGTGCTAATTGCCTGCATTATGTAGGAATAATATAATATACTCATTTCCTTTGTGGAGATTGACAATAATTGAAGTGGCCCATTCAAAGGCATTTTGCATAATCCGAAACGATGTGGGTTACTTGTTGGAGTTTGAATGACTATATTATTCTATACACGTTAGATATTTGATTTTACAATGAGGAGAAGATCATCTACAGTGATTGAACATCTAAACCCAAAGATTTATCAGATCTATTGTGAAACAAACATGTCACCCACTACCCATCATCCACTATCTATTCATTGTATCAGTTATTTCATCATCTACAGCGTTATCATTTCATTTACACTGTAGTGTTATCATTTCATTTACCAACTGCAGATATTTGCTCATTAAATTAATTGAAGTGAAGCCGAATCAAATAATATCGGTGTTATGCGTTAATTTGCAGACCACTCTTTCCTTATCTCGAAAAAATACCGTACGCAAACGGGACTTCGCAAGGTTTTTGAAAAAGGAGCAAAAATTCTCCTTCAACACATTTGAATACTACAACTTACAAAGAAGGTTTGTTAAAGTTATACAATCATCTCTGACAATATGATATATTGTTTCTTTTGGATGTTTCATTTGCCTTCTATTTTTATAATGTAAGAGATTGAGTTTGTTTTGTATCAAAATGCAATAATTAGAGGTTTAGTCTCGATTAATACAAAAATAGTCTTTTTATTACAGTTTTGCATAACAAGATTGATTTCAATTTATTTGGATCTGCTTCAACACATTTGAATCAATTAAGGATGTTTGATCAATTTATACAAAAAAAATCTCATTTAAAAATTCCCAAAATTACCTGGAAAGAGCCCTTAAATGGTGTATTGTAAATTGTATACAATGTTGATCTAACAAACTCAGTGATCTAACTCAGTGTATTAATTTATTCTGCATCTCAACTCCAACAATTACAGTGATTTAAAATGCAATTTGAATGAATCTCTTCTGCTAATTAAAATATGAATTTCTTATCTACTGATTGAAAGAAATTGTCAATTTGTGTATTGGTAGGGATGTTCAACATTTCCAATTCAAAACAAATACCAATCTACGTTATTAGGGAAAATATTAAGTTTAATTCTTCAAATTATTCAAGATGGTTTATGGACGTCAGTAAAGATTATTCCAAAGTTGTCATCTGTTTCCAATTCATGATTCTTGTTTCATTGGAAGTTAGCTTCAAAGCACATCAAGAAGCAAACCATTTTCGTTATGCATGTTCTAAGCCAACTATATCTCAAAACCTTCCATTAAATTAAGATATCACACCATACCAAACAGGAACCATTTCGAAATTAATCCATTTATACAATGTTGAAATTATTGGTTTTGGAGGATACAGATTAGAGAGTCTTTGGTATTGGATCACATTTTCTCTTGGTTTCATCTCTGATGGGGGAGCTGTTTTGCTGCCACCATTATTTTGTTTACATTTTCAATAAGCCAACAGATTGACTGCAATTTAAGTCAACTTTCACCTTTCCAAATCACAATAAAAAAACATGAGAAAACCACCTAGGATTGAAAAATCGGAATGTTTCTGTCATCACTCCTTTTTATGCAATGGTTAGAGAAAAGCAGTACAATAATTGATGAACAGGTATTTGATAAATTTAATTGTTAAGAGATTTGCATCATGTCCCATCAATTTCTTCATCACTTAGCGTGAGGATTCAACAACACCTCTTTATTTCCCGCCAAGATTTTAGTACAACTTTTTATTCTAAATATCATTAAATTGAAAAAAATCCATCACTGACTGCAATAGCATTAGTTTCAAATATATATTGAGCAGCTATTTTGTATGGAAAATAATATCCTTGATCCACAGAGAATAAGTGTAAATACTGAAAGGGTTGAAATTGTTATTCCCGAAAATATGTCGTCCCCAAGAGTTGAGTATCAACAACAACCACAACAAGATGTTTACATTACAACTACTACTACAACTGAGCAGATATTTCAACAATTACCAGGTCAGGATGTAATGTTAAATCATTTTGTAAATTTGGAGGAAAATATCAAGATGGAGAATGACAAGAAGGGAGATTCGAATAAGAAGAAAAAGAAAGATAGTGGAAGTGATAAATCAGATAGTGAAAATAGCAGTAATGTAGATCCAGCCCTGAAAAAATTAAAAAAGAAGAAAAAACTCAAAAAGAAGGCAGTTAAATGCTTTGGTAAGGCTGTTGATTTTTTGGATTCAGTTGGAGAAAGTGTTGATGGGCCAGTAAGTTTAATCTTATGAGTATTTTTCATTATGACACCTGTTAGGGATTAAGAAAGAAGACATTTATTGGAGCTATGGCAACAACTGTAATGAGGATAGTTGTTGTCATTCTAATTGCATACAAATTATACTTATTGATTATAGATCAACGTACTCAAACTACTGGAAATATTTTAGCATTGAACTATTTCAGAACAACCGATACAAAATATATGGACATTCCAACTTTACAATTGAGTATTAGGAAAAATATTACATTTTATGAAAGGAGGGAATATGGTCCTTCTCTTCAAAGAATTGATATTTACGATAATTTTGGTTATGAGAAGGTGTTTTCATCTCGTAGAAAAGCTGAGGATTCATCTTCTGTAGTTCCAGTTACCAAATCAATTAATGGAAAGGCCACTGTTAAATTGAATAGTTTTAGTCCTGCCCTCACTCCTCCTTTTACATCTGTGCAAATTGTAAGAGGTGCTAATGCATCACAGAGTGTGTTCACAACCAAGCAACAAAGTTTGAATATGTTATCATCAAAAGTATCAGATCCTTTGAAGATTTTATATTTAGTGAATGGTGTATTTGATTCTGGTGATTCAGTATTTTATAATAATACTGTTCATTTGTACTTGAGATTTGTTGATGACATGTCTCATATTAAACCATGTCAGATTCAAATTGGTTTATTGAATAGTGGTGTTTTGGATCTGATCAGTACGGTTGGTGTAGATGGACAAACATATATTAAGAAAGAATATCAATCCCATGCTGAAACCTATTTTGTGACTCAAAATTCTACTTGGTTAGTTCCAATAACAAGTTATGAAGGTACTGGAACTACGAGTGAGATTTCATCTGATGGTATTAATTATAATATGATTTACTTGAATTCTAAATTTAACACTCAACAGTTATATGAATTCATGTCAAGAACAAGTATTGGTGGGGCTAGTATTGATGTGGCCAAACGATATTCAGAAAAGGGAATGACACCATCATCTTTTCTAGAATGGTCCTTCCTGATTAGCTATGTCAATAACTTTATCTACACTGAAAATACTATTCAGTGTGATCAATACGAATCCGATGTTACAGATCTAACAACTTTGTATTCAAATCCATCCAAAAATTTAAAGGAATGGATATTCAATGTTGATATTCAAATCATTGCGGATATGATAGTTGATACTTCTGATTTTTTCTATGCCCAAGTACCTAGCACATTTAGTTTTGAATCTAATAGCTTTAATTTGATAATTTTTGGTGTAACTGGTTTGTCTGAAATTGTGCAAGTAACAAACATTGAATCTCCAACAATCTCTGCTAATGGAGCTACAAAGAAATACCTTAAATTATTTGTCACAAGAACAAATCCAAAAAATTTCAAATCTGTAGAGTCACAAGGTTCAACCTTTGTCAATTCGGTTATCAATTACAAGAAGGTCAACTCACCCAATACACTTCCTCTGGAATGGGTGTTAAACGGTTTCTGGAATTGTCCATCCTCTAAATATGGAGATAACTTTTGCGATTGTGAGTGTGGATTTTCAAACTCAACCCATACCTTTCGAGATGTAGATTGTGACAATTTGCTTCCAACTTTATTTTTTGGTAATAACTTTGTTAATAATTTTATGAAAACATCCTGTGCTTCAAGTGGTAAATTCTGTTCTTCATCTGGTTCATGTATCAGTGCTCCTTATTTGAAAGCTAGCAAACCATGTTATTACAAAGCTTCATATCTTGGAGAAAAGCAAATCGTAGGATTTTTTGGAGCTCAGTCTGATTTCAAAGAGAGTCTTTGTTCTCAATGTCTTGGTGATACCTTCTACAATCAAGTGCCTAGTCTTTCCTTTAATAACAACAAGTACATGTGTCAATTGACTCCAAAGGGCTATCTATTTGGAAGAGATATTTTCTCTGATCTAATGTCTGGAAAAGATTATCTGCAACCATACACAAGTGGACCAGACTTTTTAGCAACTAAATGCTTAAATATTCCTGTAAGAGTCTATGTTGGTCGCCCAGTTTTCCCAACCATTCAAACAGGTAAATATTATGAGCTAAATATTGGAGATGAATCAAATGATCAATACGTTCAATCCATGTACTTTGTTAATTTAAATGCCACAAAAAGAACAATCAAAACTCTCAATTCTGATAAGGACCTAGTTGGTGAATCCAAGTTTGATATTCAAATTCTATGTCTCGCAGCAGAGGATAATTTTGAAGAAATCCAACCAATGACTGGGTTTGGTGTAGTTGCTTCATCTGTTTCTTCTTATTCCAATTACATTTTTGTAGAACCAAAGAGTATCACTAGCTCAGATCCGAATATTGATTTAAGTTTCATTGGTAGATTCCCAACCAGTGGAACTTTCAAAGTCCAATTCTATGCGGGTAGTTCGTATTCTGATGGATTGTATGATTCATACACGCAACAACCAATAATGCTAGATGTAGAAGGGGTTACCGATTTAAACGGTTTACAAATACTTCAATTAAGATCACCACCTTCATTCTCCATTGGCCTTGCATTTGAATTGAAATCTTTCAATAATTTACAAAGAACAAATGTCACCATTCAACAATTTGCTATTGGTACTGATTTATCAGGAACTAATATTATTGAAATGGTTGCAAAATATAAGGCAGATCCAGTTACTTATGCTCAAAGAAGACCAAGAATGCTGATTAGACCTTCTGTGAGTGATTACAGTTATACGCAATACGTGCAAATAGATAATGTTATAATCACTAATACCTTGCCTCTAACTTATGAGATTCTTTTTGCTCAACCAGTCACATCTGATTTTGATGAGGGTGCCTTTGTGGAGTGCATAAACGACATGTCAGTTGGAACAGTGTTGATACCACTTACATTATCAAGTTCCTATGCAAGACAAGCTTATGCTCCAGCTCAATCATTTGAAAATGTTGGTATTCCTACACCTGATTCATTCAACATCGAATACTCCATGTTTGTTGTTCCTGACAAAAAGCATTTCCCAAACTCTGATATGGATGATACATTTGAACAAGTACAAAATAGTCTCTCTGATACAGTTCTCAACTTGTGTCCTCGTGCTTATTCATACGAAAAGACCAGTATTCTCCAAAGCTCAGATGTTTGGACAAATTTTACTCTCAACCCCACCAGAGGTTATCAAATTAAAAACTGTACACTTCAGGTGTGGACAAGTAGTATGGTGAATAAGCATTGTGTAGATGCTAGCAAGTCTACTAAGAACAAGTATAATGATAATTGTATCAAAGAAATGCCACCTTCTCAATCTTTGATTTATAACCATGTGATTCAATTGAACAACAAATGGCAAAACTATTCTGTAACATCAGCATCAGACGCCTCTACAGGTGGTGCAACTCGTCCTGAATATGAATATAATTTCAAACATATTTACCATTTCCAACATGATAATTATGCTGATGAAACAGATTCCAAGTTTGCCAGTGAATCCCCAACTAGTGGTGATAAAACTGAAGATGGAACCAATTATTTCTTCAATGGTAAACTGAATTATATTGGAAAATCCTTCAATCAATATGTACCGGCCAATAATCCAATTCTAGATATGGAAGCAACCATTGATTTATCAGATTTCTTTGCTAAAGATGTTCTAGCAAATTCCAATGAATTAACAGCCAATTATGTGTTTAACTTCCTAGCAGAAAGTGGAACTTGGAGAGGGATTAAAACAAAAACTGAGAAAGATGTTAATGCATTTGGAAGATCCATTTTCAATGCAGTTAATATTAGATGGGATTTTTCATCGATGGAAAAGGGATCGCTCAACAACAAGTTAACACTCACTCCAGGTAGTCAATACAATCTATTTGCTACCCTCAAAGTAACAACAGTATATTCTAGTGGAGTATTTGGAAATGCAGATATAACCAATGTTCAAGTATTTGTTCAGTCAACCTCTGTAACTCATTCAGTTTTAGATTATTTGAATAGAAACAAATGCATTTTGAATTATGTTATTCAAATTGATATGGCACAAAGTTATCAGGTGAAATTGTCTTCCGACTATACATTTCTGAGCTTCTTCAGTGATGTTGGTGCTGCATTAGGAGTAATGTCATTAGGAGTCATTGTTGTTGAATTGTGGCAATCATACATTTCACAACCTGAAATGTTTTTACATGAAGCAATTAAAGAAGAAAAGAAACTTCGTAAAAAGAAAGCTAAAGGATCTGTTGCTCCTGATATCATGGTTGGTGAAAATCTAAATGCCTCCAATTTCGTAAATAATCTAGCCTCACTCAACTAGAATAAATCTTAATTTTTCCTCACATATATTAAAACAAACTTTCCTCACAAGTTTAGCAAAACAACCAAAGCTGGGATTTGATTCATCATTTTTTTTGTAGATTGTGCTTGGCGGCAATCCTCTTTAGCAAATGGGAAATTGCAAAAGCGCGAGAAGTCCAAATTTGTTCTTAACAAACAAGGAATTGTTACTCTTTACATCAAGTTTGATGATGCAAAACAACAGCCAGGAGAATAATCGAGTCAATAACTCCAGGTGTCTATTACTTGACTCAAAAAAATGTTCTCATCATCAACTAGAGCTGTTAGATCCCTCTTGAAGGTCAACAATAATTATTCGGCATTGAATCAACAACAAATTAGATTACTTTCAAAAGTCATTGGTGTTATTCCAGCTGATGGTATGTTGCAAAATTGATCTATAGTAATATTGACTAGGATCCCTTTTTTTCAAATTTCAAAATATTGAAAAATAATATTTCATTAATTTAGGTATTGGAAAGGAAGTTGTTCCAGCTGCTGTTCAAGTTATGAATGCTGCCATTGCTAAGAATGTCAAGGCTAAGCAAAATGATTTTTCTTTACAATACATTCCATTGGAAGGTTAGTTTTTAATATGAAATTATTATTGATTTGTGATTTAGCTGGTTGGGAAACTTTCCAAAAAACTGGAAAGAGTTTACCAGTTGAAACTGTGGAAGCCTTGAAAAACAAATGCGATGGAGCAATTTTCGGAAGTGTTCAATCACCTTCTCACAAGTATGTTTTTCATTTCTTTGGAATAATAATTGAACTATTAATATTTTAGAGTCGAAGGATATAGCTCACCAATTGTTGCTATGAGAAAATTGGTTGACCTTTATGCTAACATTCGTCCATGTCAAGATCTTGCTAAGGGAATTGATATGTTAATTGTCAGAGAAAATACTGAATGTTTGTATATTAAGAAGGAAAAATTAACTGTCGATCCAACAACTGGTGAAAAGACTGCTGTTGCTGATAGATTAATTACTGAAAGAGCAAGTAAGAGAATTGCTGAAATTGCTTACAAATTAGCTGTTCAAAGAAATAAGAATGGTGCTCCAAAAGTTACCATTGTTCACAAGTCAAACGTTTTGAGTGTAAGTGATGGTTTATTCAGAGAAAGTTGTTTGGAAATTTCCAAAAAGTATCCACAAGTTAAAACTGAAGAACAATTGGTTGACTCAATGGTTTACAAGATGATTTTGGATCCAACTCAATATGATGTAGTTGTTGCTCCAAATTTGTATGGTGATATTTTGAGTGATGCTGGATCGTAAGTATTTTCCTTTCATTCAAATATTAATAACATGTGTGAATTTAGTGCATTCGTTGGAGGTCTTGGTGTTACTGCATCTGCCAATTTGAGTGATTCATTTGCTCTTGTTGAGCCAGTCCATGGTTCAGCTCCTGATATTTTTGGTAAAAAGATTTCAAATCCAATCGCTACTATTAGAGCTTGTGCAATGTTATTACGTCATTTACAAGAAAAGGATCCAAAATGTTCCTATTTGAATGAAATTGCTGACAGTATGGATAGAGCTGTCAATGTTGTCATGCCAGACAAGACTGTTACAACACCAGATTTAGGAGGAAAAGGTAATACTGAAACACTTGTTGATGCCATTATTAAGAATCTTTAAATTGTAATTCTAATGTCAGTAAAAATGTAAATTTATTTGTGCCATCAATGATTTTGAAAATTTGGCGCCATTTTTCTACAGAAAAAAAACAATAAAAAAATCGAAAATAATGCTCTCGACTCCAGCCTCTCCAAACAAGCACGTTTCAAGACAGAAGAACACTACAAGAAATTGGAAATCAAAGAGTAATTCGGATTATACAGTTTCTCCAATTTATGCCCTTAGAGTGAGTGCTGTTATTGAGGACACGTTAGAAAAATTGCAATTATTAGATTTACTCTCGGGTGATATCAAGGAATTTATGGGAAGTGATGACCAAGAAAAGGAAGAAGATGAAGATGCTCTCGATCAAGAGACAAATGCTGTAGCTAATATTTTGGAGGATCAAAAAGTATTGGGAAAGAGATATGAACAATTATCATTCTTTTTAAGAGCAAACAAACAAGATAATCACATGTCTCAATCACTGGAGGAAATCAATAAGGTTAAAGATGAATTGGAAATGATTCAAAGAAAGTTAAAAGATAACACTAAAAAGTTGTGTAGAAATTTGAAAGAAACACCAAATGAATTGGAAAATTGGAAGAAAATTCAATCTGAAAGACATGAAATTCAAACAATATTCGTGACTCTTCTGAGAGAAATTCAAGCTGGATTGATTCCTCCTCAAGCCAAATCAACTATTCCTAAAAATAGAGGTCTTAACTACTCTACTGTTGTTGAAGAAAATGACGAAGAAGAAAGTGAAACAGTCTCAGTACCACAAAGTATTATTCCTGATGTACCATATGAATCATTTATGAAGAAAGTTGCTGAAGAAAAAGAAAAGAAACAATATTTACAACACATCACAGAAATTGAAAGTAAAACTTTAGAACAAGTCAATAAGCTAAAGATTGAAGTAATCAAAGAAAAAGAATTAAAGAAGACTGAAGTTGATGACAGAAGTACAAAGGTGAATACATTACTTAACAAGTTGAGAAAGTTGAAGAAGCTCACTGCAGATGAAGATTCAAAGACAAAGGCAACAGAGGAAGCTTCTCACGAATCGAGAAGAAGAAGAGAAGCAAGCACTCTCCACAAACTTGAATCAGAATCTCGATCTAAAAACATAGAGTTAGAAGTGGAGAAGAATGTGTTTTCTCAGATTAAAAACTTTTTAGAAAAGAAAACAGATGAATTAAAAAGAAAGGGTGAATACTGGAGAGAGAAATATGAAAAGGAATCAGAAGAATTAAGATCCAAGATTATTCAATGGGAAGCCATGAGAGAAGAACAAATAGAAAAGCTTAAAAGGCTCGAGGAAAAGTTTGAGTTAGAAACTCAAGATAAGCAAGTTCAAGAAGATGTAGATGCTACAACAAAGGCAAAAGAGAAGGATGATGCAGAAAAGAAGATTCAAATGTCTGCTGATGTTATCAAAATGGCTTTCAAGTGCTACAAAGCTAGAGAAGATTTTGCTAATCGTAAAAAGAAAAAGAAGACAAGAAGCGCAAGTAACCCAAAGAGTGCAGGTTCTTCTAAGTAAATGTAAATAATATTTTAATTAAAAATTCTTGTCAATTTGCAATGCTTTGTCTGTAGTTACAATAAAGGTGTCCTTATAATTAATTGAATTGAGTTTAGGGTCAATATCAATATTTTGCCAAACTGGATCTGCTTTACCAGGAATAATAATACTAAGATCTACTCCCACAATCATTTCTGATTCAAATTGTTCTACAACCAAAGGAGAATCCAACCAATCAAATAAATTTTGAGATATAAAATATTTAGACAGTCCCTCCTTATAAATAGTTTCGAATAAATCCTCGCTAGAAAGAGTTGGAGTGATCACACCCAATGAAATTAATGATCTCATTGTGTTATTGGAAATTAATTCTTGGATATGTGTTGGGTGAGATCCGTGAACCAAATTTGACTTGATTAATTTCAAGTTATCCTCTATTGTTGATACAAGTCTTCCATCTAAAGTGAAATTATTTCCAACTACAAATGTCCTAGCAAGAGTTAATCTATTGTTAAAATAAGAGTAAGTCACTTCAATAGAGAATGTTTGTGAGTCTCCGCTGCCATATAAATGAGTTATTGGCTCTTCAACAAGCTTTGAAATCCAACTATTTCTTAATGGTGATGAAATGCAATTTTCAAGGCTTTGGTAGAATTGCTCCACAATAGTATTCTTAAGAGATTGTTGTAAACTTGTTGATTGAGAAAGATAGTTTTTAACTTTTTGAAAACTATTGGATATCAATTCTGAAGCATAGTAAAGAGAGTCTCTATCAAATGATCCTTTAATAGATCTGGATCCAGTAATTTTAGCCAAAATTGCTTCATTGTTTTCAATTGTTAAGTTAAGCGGATTGTAAGCAGTGTTCTTTCCAAGAATTACAAACTCAGAGGTAGCCAAATATTTCTCACAAATAGACTCATCAAAAATGTTTTCCACTGGAATTTGATCAAAGTATTTAGTATTATGTCCAGATCCAATAATGCAAATGAATGATTTGGAATTTGTCAAAAATAAGAGCACATCATCTTTGTAATATTCAGGGATTGAAAAACCAGTCAAGTAACTATGATTCTCTTTGAATAATGCTTTACCAACAAGTATACATACCTTATCTCTGAAGGATATTCTGAATATGGCAAATAAACAGCCTCCTTCTCCTTAATTCCAAAACTCATTTGAATTAATCTTCTTGATTCTTTATATTTTTCTATATCCATTGGATAAGTTTGATTAAAATTAATTGAACAATAACTAGTGTTATTATCTACAACATTGAAATATGTTTTAAAGTGAATATATAAAGAGAAGCCTAAAACCAAAGCTAATCCAATTAATAGAAATACAGTAATCATAAATACACAAAATAATCTATTAAATTTCTTCTTTTGATGTAATTCATTCTTCTTGGCTTGAAACAATGGATCAGCTTGTACTTCCTGTTCTAAATCATCTCCAAAGTAACCATGGTTATTCTTTTTTTCTCCTAAAAACAATTCTTCATCATCATCCTCCTCCGTAATAAAAGCATGTTGTGGTTGATTATGAAACTCGGCTTCATCATCAGAGAAAGTCACTCTGAATTGATTCATTTTTTTATGATGGTTAAATTAGCATTTATGGCTTTTTAATTAGAAAGTAATTAGATGTGATGAATAAGCAATACAATTAAAACGTTGATTGTTATTATTAGTATTCTATTAACGAAATTTGAAGATTTTAGAATCGGATGTTACAATCCAAAAGAACTTCCATATCTGAAATTAATATTTAAGATATTAATTTTAACAAAAACATTTATTTTGAATTTAAACAGAATGATTAAAATTCATTAGTTTTCATTTATTTTTTAATTATTATTTATTTTTAAATAATCGTCTCTAAGGTCGTTATGATAGAAGAGACATTCATAAAATTACAATTTATTATTTTTTTAATAAGTATTTTATTTGAATAAGTTTTAATGCTGGCAATCTTATTTTTCATGTTATTGCGTTGACACTTATTCACCTTGACTTAAATATTTATCGAGGAAATAGTTCATTACTTGTTGCTCATCTCGTTATCATTGTTTTAGATCAAAATGTCATCTCATCGGGTATTCAATATTGCCCCATCTCAGAAGATGATTATCCATAGTAATAAGGCTCAATTGTCGTAATTTTGAAATATCTTTGTTTTTGGTTTGAATTGAATAGGTTCATTGGTATTGTTGGACTCAACCTTGACAATCTCTAATTGGAGAATTTTAGTTTGTCATCGTCTTAAAACGTCGGCCCAATGCTTGTTAATGCACAAGTTTGGCGCTTGAAAAATTGTAACAGTCAACAACCCATTTTGGGCAAAAAATGAAGAACCAGCATAAAAAAAGCACAAATAAAAATGTTGAGAAGAGTTATCAGCAAGTCCCTCACCTCATTCAAATATAACCAAAAGCCATACCACACCGCTTTGGCTGTTTTGTCTGAAGACAAGGTCGCCAACAAACCATACGACAAGGAAGCTATCAAGGTTAGAATGAACCCAACTCCACAACCATCACAAGAAGACCCAGAACTTGAAAACTATTGGTTGAACTTGCCTACAGTCTTTGAAAGAGCTGTTGGTTCTGAACGTGCTGAATTGTTGGACCCTACTCTCTTCGATGATCACCTTGTAAGTTTTTGAAAAAGACATCATCATGTTGTATTAACATTTTCCTTAAAATTTTTATTCAATTTTTATGATGACGATTTAATGATGATGAATTTAAAATAGCCTGAAGTTGTTGATATTGAATCCGGTGTTGGATCATCCCTTTTCAACCCAATTATTGTTGCCTCTAGAGGTGAACCAGAACGTGTTGTTGGTTGTTTGGGTGAATGTTGGAAGGCTAACGATATTGACTACCATACTACTGATATGCAATTCTGGGTTATGAAGGAAAATACTTTCTCAGTTTGCGACGAATGTGGTTTGATCTTCTACTGTGCTTCTGATGAAGTCATGGCTCAAATCGAAATTTGGGAAACTCTTGAAGAAGAAAAGGCTTCTCAACAAATTGAACAATCTGTTGAATATCCACAATTGAATTAAATCTAGCTTAAATTTTGTACCAGAAACAAGGGCATAAAAAAAAGCAAATTAAAGACGACAGGGTGTTTCTTTAGTTCTGAAAATTATTAATGTTTAATGTTCTTCCATTAATATCTTAAATATTTAAGTTTAAAATAAATTTTAGTTAAGATATTGCACTTTTAATCAAAGAGAAAGCCAAATTTTGAAGAGGCTGTTGTTCTTCCTCCAGCTTGTGTTCTCTGCAAGCATCAATAGGACTTGGGCGGGCAGAAAAGAATTTTGTAATGTGATTAAATTTAAAAAAAAATGGGTAAGAGAAGTATTTTGAAGCGTTTCTCTCGTATTGCCTCAAAGGTTGGAAAGGCCACCGAAAAGAAGGCTCTCGGCATGGAAAGTTCTATGGCCACTTCTATCAATTCATTTGCTGGAGATAAATATGTTAGTGAATTAAATACTCTTGAATCTTTTGATGAAATTACTAGAGTCCAAAGAGAAGCTAGAGAAAGATATATTAAACTCACTGCTGCCGCTTTCCCACACAAAGTCACCCAATTCAAGAAGGAATTTTCTTACTTCAGAGAACTCCTCAGCAAGCCAGGTGAAATCACTGTTGGTGAATTGGCTGCTTTTGCTACTGCTCTCGTTGCCGGTTATATTTTGTATCGTGGAGGTGAAATCATTGGCCGTGCTGACATCTTCGGATATAAATATGAACATCTTGAACAAAAGTAAATATGATCAAATATTAGCAATATAGGGCGATTTATAAATTAAAAATTAATTATTTAAATTTCTTCATGTAAACATTCATCAATTTAGTTCGCATCTCATCACTGAATATATTTCCAACCAATCTAATCAGCTTTTTAGAAACATTTTCTGCAAAGTCCATATTCTTATCTCTGAGTGGTGATGTCATTAAAACATTGGTCATGACTGGAGAAACTGTATTGGCTCTGCTCTTGGTTGTAGACAATTCATTCTTTCTTGATAATCTTGTCAACTTTTCTACAATCTTTCTTTCTTTAATGCTCGCTAAATCAATGTAAATTATTTGAATATTATTGATTAATACTTACATTCTATTGGTGGAAGTTTGCTTAGTACATCTGATTCTGGATCAAACAGATACGACACTAGAGAAGACATTTTGTTACAAAAAATTGAAAAGTACTTGGTTTTTCCAAATCCTTGATAACAGATTCTAAATGTACTCTCTGTTGTTACTCTTATACACAGCAATATTATTGGATGATTTGTTGTCAGTTTCATTCTGTTAGTTCTGTATTTTATCAAATCATCCATAAGTGTCGAATAAGCTCCTAACAGCCGTTTGTCCAAATCCTCTCTGATTGGTCCAGTTAATTTCCTCCAGAAATGTTCTTGAAACTTACCTATCATGATTTTGATCTTTTGCAAATTCTTTTAAGAAAGCCCAGTAGCAGTATTCAATAAAAACTTTGATAAATGCTGTAAGCTTAATGTCTGTTAAATCTTTTGCTATCGAATGTTTTTGCTTGTCTGAAATCCAATTCCATTTATCAAATGGAAATTCTTCAAAGAATGAGTTTTGTAATTCTACAATTTCAAAGGATGATAAATGAGGCATCTTCTCCAACTCTCTTTCATCAAATGTATGGGGATCAATAATTGAATAAGATATATCCTCTTCTCTCTTACTAATCTTTGACATTACGGATCTACTTCTTGGAGGAATGTTTGACTTTGAGATTCTATTCTCTTTCTTACTTGTTGCCCTCTTTAGAGTGGATTTTAAAGTTGAAGTTTGTGTTGTTTGTAAAGTACTGTTCTGATTATTTTGAATGTTAGTCGTGTTGACTGTTATATTTGTTACATTAGTATTTTCTGAGGTTGCGTTAGCTCTCCTCTCGATTCTGTTTTGCTTATATTTCTCCTTATCAACTTTTCTCAATTCATGTATAGAAATCTCTAGCTCTTTATCATCTCCATCCAACATGAATTTTTCTCTTATCAAATTGTAAGGATAAATATATTTTTTGTACTCATCAAATTTGGGAACTGCTAATTTTCCTTCATCAGTAACTACTCCAGTCTTTTTTGGGGTTGTTTCTGATTTTTCGTTATCAGCACTTTGTTCATCTTCCTCACTTTGTTCCAGTTCTTTTAATTTCTTTTTCCTTTTAATTCTTTCGAATAAAGGATCAAAATTAAGTCTTTTCATTTCCTTTGACATTATTTCCATAACTCTGTATTCATAATCTGTTTTTGATGATGTAGCACCTCCAGTGGCTGTTATTGCAGATACTGGTTGATTTTTTGCTAATAATGGAGATGGAGAAAATGTCAAATATAATTCATTGTTTTGAGTTCTATGTTTGTGGGCTACACAATTAGAAATTGGTAAAATATTATGCACTATTTTCAAATTCCTTTGTGTAACTGAAATTCCTAATCGTTCCAAATATCTAGCAGCATATTCATCTCTAAAACATTTTTCTAAAGTTTCGGGAGATTGTTCCAAAAGAGTTGATTCTTTAAATCCCTTATTCATAGGAATACTTGCTACAGTTGAATCATCTAGTAATGTATCCACTTCTTTCCTTTGTCTTCCTCCCATTTGAGCAACTAGGGGAAGTTTGCTACTTCCTTGACTTGAGCTTCCTCTTGTACTCGATTCACTTGATGATGGTAGTACTTGTTTTACTTTCTTTATAATTTCATTATACATTTCTTGATTTAATTGATTATCGGGAGCTTCAATTTGATTGAGGACTGAAGGAACATTCTTGGTTTTATTAGGAGCCTTTCCTCTCGTTTCAATAATCCTATTTGCTAATGAGGTTAATTCGTTTACATTCATATCTACATCGTAGGATATCAGATCCAAGCCTTTAAACTCCTTCTTCTTCATCTTTTAAGGTCTTGAATAAAATTTAGGCTTTTTTTAATGATGAAATAACACAGTACTACGATAAGGTGGCAGATTATCGTTACACATCTCTAGTCCTCAATCATCACACAGTTTCGATTCAAGTTATTGGAGTGATGATGATATTCATAGAGGCTCATCATTCTTTGCTTTTCCAAGATCTTAAATTAATGTTATTATTATTAACTATTTGGTTTTTTATTAAGAAGATATTGGTGAGGGTAGTAAGCAAGGCAAATTAATAATACAGAGAAAAGGTGGTGGGATGAAAGCAAATGGGAATAAAAGCCTTTCCTCTTTGTATAATATTATGTTCGCTACGCAAATCGTTATTCAAAAAACAAAATTAATCCTATTTGTCCAAAATAATATTAATATTATTCATCATTATTATTAATCCACAAAATCAATCCGTTCATTGTTAATTATATTAAAAGTATCCATCGTGGTCATCATCATTGTTTAATATTATAGAGTACTACTAAAAACATACCTCTCTGGAAGCGGTAACATAGTGATAAATGACCAACAAGACCATGATCATAACACCCATGAAATTGGCAAACACTCCTAATTGTACGTCTGATATCATTTACTATTGTACAGTAAAACACATAACAAATATTTGATCATCAATCATCAGCAAAAACCGGCAAAGACCATGAAGACATACCTCGAATATTTTTTATTAATTTTATTGTTAAAAAAACTTTGCCAACAACAAACAACAATATTTGGAAACAAGATGATTTGTCAATATTATTAATCCAAACCTTCACGAATCTTATGTAAAATACTTTGATGATTTAAATTTTAATATTATAGCTCAATACTGGGAAAGATTTGACCTTCATGTATCAATCCACAACTGTTGATAACTTACAAATTGGAATTTCGCATTATTTACCCCCGTCTTCTGATCCAGTTTGTTAATCAATAATCCAGTTAATGAGAAAGAAAGAAATTATTTAAGGAACTCAAATAATGAAAACTCCAATTATTAAGTGAGCCATACCAATCAATTTTAATAAAGTGCTGAATTGTGTGTTGCTTTAAAAGGGTTAAAGTACTATTCTAGCTCTTCAAAAACTAGTTGTAAAGTATTACAACAACAGTGTCAGCTATCCTTTGGTTGCAACTCAATTATCTTGATGTTTCCTGCAGGGATTATCAGACAATCTTTCTCATTTCCAAAAGAAAATGGCAGGAAATCATAAATGAATGATCAACATTTTTTATTCAATTTAAAAAAAAAAATAGACTTGGTGAAATCATCTTGTTGGAATGGTTAATGTTTCGTCTCAATTAAAGCCTCTGATAATATCGAGTAAAGTGAATCCAATTATCAAGGAATGTATTAAGATTAGGACGAAATATTCTAAAAACTTTAAAAAATGTTTTACCTTTGATCAACCTCAAGTTTTTAAAGGAGAAGAAGGAATTCAATATAAATCTCTTCCAATGTTGATGAATGGATCAAAGATTATTAGAGAAGCTTCCGAAAAGTATAAAATTGAACCTAAATGGTTGTTTTATAGCTCGGAACAATCCGAAATTAAATTCAAATCTAATGATATTCAATATTATCAAACTAATGATAATTTAATTAATCATATTTGTGGAGATATTGTTAGTAATGATGGATATTGTGCAGTTTATGATAATTATAATCCTTTTAAATTATTTGAAAATAAGAAGAAGAGGAATGTTTATATTTATTGTTATAAAGTGAGTGATCCAAATAATTTAGGGTCAATTATTAGAATGAGTTTTGGATTTGATATTAAAGCAATTTTCTTGAGTGAAGATTGTGTTTCACCTTTTACTGAACGATCAATTAGATCAAGTAGAAATTATATTTTAAATATTCCAGTTTTTCATTTACCTTTGAAAGATTATAAAACAATTATTTATGATCAATTGAAATGTAAAAAATCATTAATTGCTGATGCTTCAACAGATAGGAAAACTCCAATTCAAAATTTGAATGATTCTAATGAAGGAGATGTATGTTTAATTATTGGAAATGAACATCATGGATTTTGTGATGATGATTTTAAATCAATTCTTTTACCACAATTAGAAAATCAATATGAAGGTATTTACATTCCAATGAAGAATAATTTAGATTCCATTTCCGTTAGTCATGCAGCTTCTATATTAATGTTTGAATTAACAAAAAAGTAATAAATAATTTATTTCATTAATTGAGCATCAGCAGAGTACAATGACAAGTTATTAGTAGCACATTCAGTTAAATATTTACATGGTTTGAATGAGACAATTTCACCATTACTATCTTGATAGAATTTGGTTAATTGGTCATGAATATATTTAGCACCATATTCATCAGCCCACTTCATCAAACCTCCATAGAAATGCATGAATCCCATTCCCATAACACTGGCAACATCAATGTCACTAACTCTGAAAACAAGTTTTTCTTCAATTACTCTACAAGCTTCATTAACAGCATTGAAAAGACAAGCTTCAGCAATTTCCTTATCAGAATAATTCAATTTGCTTGGATTACCAGCTAACTTTCTTGCTTGAGTTAATAAAACTTCCAAACCTTCAAGATCTGGGCTTCTCTTACCAGTTGAATCATACTTATAGAATCCTAGACTTGTCTTTTCTCCCAATCTCTTTGAATCAATCATGAGTTTCAAAAGAGGTGATCCTCTGGCTCTATCCTTATAAGCTCCTCCAATTGATCCTGAAGCATAGTTCAATACATCAACACCAGCTGTTTAAATATTGTTGTAAACTCTATAAAGAATTTAAATTAGTGAAAACTTACACATATCAGCCATATTGAAGAAACCAACACGCATAGCAGTTTGATTAATAGCCTTATCTAATTGATATGGATGAACACCTCTTTCAATGAGATATTGAGCAGCAATACCATATCTGTCAATGATTCATATAATTATTATTAATATTAAAATATTAAGATATTCACATTTGAAAGAATGAAATTACTTACGGCCAGAAGATTCTATTAACAGCAAAACCAACAGCATTGAGAACAACAACTGGAGTCTTTTTAACTTGTTTGGCAAATGATAAAGAAGCATTCAAAACATTTGAAGTATTATGTTCAGTTCTAATAATTTCCAAAAGTGGCATAACGTGAGCTGGAGTGAAATAGTGAAGACCAATAACACGTTCTCTATTCTTCTTATTTGTCATCTTATCTGAAATTCTATTCAAATCAATAGTACTGGTATTAGTAGCTAAAATACAATTTGGTGAACAGTGCTTTTCCAAATCAGCAAAGATATTTTGTTTCAATTCAACAATTTCCAAAACAGCTTCAATAACCATATCTAACTTGTCAAAGTTTTCAAAAGTAGTTTGAGCTTTGAGTTGTGACATGATCTTATCAAATTGTTCCTTTGTCATTCTCTTTCTATCAACTTTGGATTGGAAAACTTTACGAATACGATCTAAACCAGCTTGAGCAGCACCATCATTGATTTCCTTAAGAATAACTTGAATACCATTCTCTAAGGCATTTACAACAATGTTAGCACCCATAGTACCTCCACCAATGACACCCAAATATTTAATCTTTTGAGGTGATGAAGGAGAAGAAGATGAGGATGTTAAATATTTTGGTAATTTTGTGGTGGCCTTAGTAGCAAGGAAATAGTGAACCATTCCACGTGAAACAGGTTGATTGGCAATCTTTAAGAATTCTCTACCTTCACAATCTAATCCATAATATCCATTACTGATGAATGAAACACTTTCACGTACAACTCTAATCAATGCTCTCAAATGTGGAAGTTTTTGTTGAATTGGATCTAATTTGCTTTCAATTTGATTGACAATTTCAACAGAATTACCTTCTTCAAGTAAAACTTTTGAATATAAAAGTGATTTCTTAATACTTCTCTTTCCATTAATCATTTCTAAAACGAGTTCAATGGCAGAATTTAACAATTTTGATGAATCCTTTTCTAATTTATCAACAAGACCTAATTCAAATGCTTGTTTTCCTTTGATTGGTTGAGCAGATAACATCATTTCAATTGATTTCTTTGTACCAATCAATCTTGGTAATCTATTACAACCTCCAAATCCAGGAATAATACCAAGATTAGTTTCAGGTAATCCTAAAACTGAACTTTCAGTACAAACTCTTCCATTACAACTCATAGCTAATTCTAAACCACCACCCAAAGCAACTCCATCAATACAAGCAATAGTTGGCTTGTTTTTAGGAGAATTTTCAATTAAATTCATTAATCCATTACCATTTTGAAGGAATTGAACTTGTGCATCACTTGTTTGAACATTTTTACCTTGTCCTGAAGCAATTTCTAATTTAATCAATGAATTATCATTCAAAAAAATTATTAAAATCATTTGAATGGTTATTTGTATAAATTCAAATAATTCAAATTAAAATGAATAAATAATTAAATGAATTAAAATCCATTAATTAACAATATAAAACATACCAGTAATATCAGCTCCTGCAACAAAGAAACCCTTCAATTTAGAAGCAATAACAATACCCTTGACTGAATCATCATTGTTAGCCTTTTCAATATTTGTTTGAATAGCCTTGATAAATCCTGCAGAAAGTGCATTAACAGGACCATCATTCAAATATAATACAACAATTGGATATTGATTAAGTTTTTGATAAATGACACGATCAACAGAGGCACTACTGGTGGTGGCTGAAGTAAAATTCATCATCATGACAGATCCATCAGTACTACTACTACTACTATTTAATGAAGCGTTATTATCATTATTATTGGATGGATATAAGTGATTATAAATTTGTTCAAGACGATGATGTACAACCATTTTTTTCTTATGTTTTTTGATCCGATTAACCAAATAGCTCGGAGATGATGATGGAAGGAAGGAATAAAAACTTTATCGCTATTTGCAATTCTCCTGATTATTCCGACCTCATGTTTACAAAAATGATTCTTTTTTTATTGACCCACCAATAAGAATTTATTGAATTCAAACTTTGTGTGATAAATTACATATCCAACCCAACTCCCATCTTTCTTCTTTCGAGTGCTAATCTTTCGTGAAGTCTCTGTTTGACAATCATTTCTCTTTCATTCTTGTAGGGAGAGGTATTGAGTATATTTTGTTCTGGTGATGGGAAATGAATATCCCTTGTCAGTTTGATATCTACTTCTTCCTCAGTTGACGGTTCAAGGGAAGACTCTTCCTTAATTTTCATATCATCATTGGTGGTATTGGAATCACTTCGACTATGGAGAGTTGTTGATGTATTAGTGGTTGCAGAATGTTCAAGAGTTGAAGATGAAACAGAAGTTGTTGTGGTAGACATAATTTGTTGCTGTTTCACTAATTCTGAAAGGAGGTGATGAATTTCTTGTGGAGATAATTTGGAAAAGAAATTATCTTTGGAAGATGTGGTAGAGGCATTGAGTGGATCGTCATTTGATGTGATTGGAGGTTGTTCGTCCATTTCTATTACGTCCATAGTGGGAGTTGGTTGGGTATCTGTAACAACAGCAATTTCTTCATCTTTGGTTGGTGTGAAGGAGAACAAATTTTCAGAACTTGATAGTACATTAACTCCAAACCGATTGTAATTGTAATTTGTGGAGTAGTCAGTATGTGTATCTTCAAAACTTGTGAGATAATCAACCTTATCCTCATAACTATTATTGAAAGATTCGTTAGATTTGAGCTGAGTAATCAAATTTTGACTTTGTTCTTCAATGATTTTGAAAATATTAGAACTACCACTTGCAGGTTGTGGATTTTCACCTTGTAAACTTTTTTGTTTCTCTGGAGAGACGGAAGGGATTGTAATGGCATTTAAACGAGGTTGTTGTACGATTGGTTGTTGAGGTGGAGTGATATTTTGCCCAACTTGTGGTAGCCTCCTAGGTTCCAAGCTAGGAATAATGTTACTGGTATTTGGACTTGAAACGTAAACGTTAGAATTCATATTCGAAACGCCTTGCTGTTTTTTAGAATCACCACCATGTCTCAAAGACGTTTCCCAATGATAAGTACTACAGTTTGCCTTGGAATGTGCCAAATGTCTAAAATCATTAAAGTTTCTAACATTGGGATTTCCTCTCATTCTACTGTTTTTCTTTCCAGATCTTTCTGGATTGTAAGTTTCTAATATGCTTTTCACCTTTTCCGTTAATTCTGGATTTTGTTCACTTACTGAGCTTCTTGAGCTTAAAATACTCTGCGTTATTTCTTTGACTTCCTCTTGTCTGGTTCCTTCCAGAATTGTTGACAATTCCTCAAATTGTTTTTGCTGTTGAATATTATATTGTTCCATCACAGAAATATATTCTAAAAGGACATTAATATCGTTCTTAGTTTGGTCATGTTGTTCCTTAACCATATCAAAAGTTTGAGTTTTCTCTCTATGGTCAATTTCAAGCTTAGATTTGTGTTGGTGGAGAGCTACTCTCATTTTGGAGACTTGTTTTTGCAGCTCGACTCTATTCTCTTCGATAGTAATTCTCTTTTGCTTTTCTTCTTTGTACAATTGTTGAATATTTCTATAATTTCTTTGAATTCTATCAAACTTTTTCTTGTTTTCCTCAGCTTCTGCCAATAGATTTTCATTGGCTGTTCTAAATGTTTCACAATCCAAATTCAAGTTCTTAATTTGAGTCTTTAAAGAGATTATTTCATTTCTTAGTGCTTCGTTGGATTTTTCAAGTCTGATATTTTCAGTTTGTTCCTCTGCCAAAACTAGTTTTAGGTCATCTATTGCTCTGGCATCTCTCTTTAAGGACATTGTTTGCTCATCATCAAATGTTGGCAAAGGTTGATTGTTTAACATTTTAAGTGTTGGAATATTTGGAGGTTGTACAGGAGCTGAATGCGTCAGCCTGTGAGACTTCTTAGGGGCACTATTTGGCCTAGCTCCTCTAGATGATGAAGGTCGTTCTCTAGACAATTCTTTTGATGCATTTGCTCTTGTTGGTTGAGGTGTGCTGGGTCTTTTAAAAGATGTAACCGAGGAACCAGTAGAAAAATTATCTCCAGCTTCAGAGCTTGATTGAAAACTGAAACGACGTTTAGAGTTTAATACATTCAGTTTTCTTAAAGAAGATTCAGTTTCGTATTCCATATCCTCATCCGAAGTTATTAATGTATTCATAGTTGAGATAGATTCCTGATCATCCAATAATCCACTATTTAAATCCACTGAATCAATTTGAGAAAGTGAAGGGACAAGAGTAGATATTGCATTAGTATGACTAGCTTGTCTACACAATTAGAAAAATTATGCAATCGTTACAACTTACTTGGAAATTGGATTCCCTCTAATTTTTAAATATTGAAGATTTCTTAAATTTGATAATGCTCTGATTGAATCAATATTTGAAATTTCATTATTCATTACATTTAAATCCACTAGTTTTACCAAATGTTCAAGACCATCCAATAATTTAATATGATTATTAGACATGTTGAGGTGAGTTAAATTTACAAGAGTTAGAAAAGAACTATAGGTATGATTGATGTGATTATAACTGATATTAAGTTCTTGTAAGGAACACAAGATCTCTATCCCAACAATCTTTGTTAATAAATTATGAGAAACATCTAATTTTGTTAGTCCTAGGGGAAGTCCAGATAATTTTTCTATTCATCACCAATTAATCATCCAATTAATTCTTCAAAATCACTTACTTAATTTGTTTCTAGATAAATTTAAAATGTTGAGGGAAGTAAATGTTTGTAGATTTGATAACCGATGAATGTCATTCCTAGATAAGTCTAAACTTTTTACTAGACTAAGAGTTTTTTTATCTTCCTCTCCACCGAACTGTATAAATTACAATGGTGATGATTTGTAAAATTGATGATGTTATTATTGAGTGATTTATTAAAAATATACCTTATCTAAATCGATTTCTTCAATTTCTTGGCCAGCGAAAGAGATGTGCATTATTTTTTTAGATTTGAAGGCAGTTTACATGATTTCTCCAAACAACAATACAACTTTCCCGCCACTTCTTCTACAAAGAAGTAAAACATTCAATGATGGGCTGCATGATGATTCAATAATTTTATTTGTAGTTGTTCATCAATTGATTCAAAATGATTAAGAATTCGTCTCTCTTGATCAGAGGAACAATGAAAAACAATGAAAGAATGAAGTGGTATACATGTATTAAAGATTCAACTGGTATGAATTATAGAAACTTCCTGAAAAGTGTACTTCTCTATTGCAATCCAATGATTTAATAACCCACTTGAAATCTCTACCCTTAGCTCTTTCCTTCTCTAAAGACAATTTTGTTTTTGGAGGAAATATCATTCTAAGCACTTTATCCATTGCATTTTTATCAAAATGATTACCTTCAATTCTAATGATTGTTAAATTCTTAGTAATATCAAGAACATCATATAATGTATTAACTCTCCTACTATCCAATTTAGAATATGATAAATCTAATTCTGTGATCTTTTCTGCCAGCAAGGTAGGTGTCTCTCTTCTAGTATCAATCGATTCTTTCAAAGTTGAATAATAAACTTTACTATAATTATTTCTTCTAATCATTCTCAATAAAACTGTGGCACTTTCATAGTTGTGAGCGGAGAATTTAAAATTATCAAATCTTTCAAACACAACATTGAACCACGTACGATTAATTCTCAAGCATGAAAAAAACAAATCTTGAGTTTCCAAATATTTCATAATCTCATAACAAACATCACCTGAAAACTTATTATCATTCTCCGCTAATAAAGGTTCATATTTTGTCTTCTTTTTTGGTTGATCAGTTTCTTCTCTTTTCCTTCTTGCCATTTTTTTCATGTTATTTGATTTTTATTAATCCACGTATTTCTGGAATAAAAAGTGACAAGTTGTAGAGCATGAAAATTTGTTTGTCTTCAATCCTTTGAATGTAATTACAACAACTTTCACAATATTTTGTAAACAACTTCAATCTTACTATTTGATTTATTAATAATTTGAAGATGAACTTTGAAAAGCAAAAAACCCAAAATGAACTTGGCCAAACAGTAAACACTTTAAAAAAAAAATCAAAACACACCAACTTGATTATTCACTTGCCACCGATCGTTATACAAAAATATGCAAAGTATTCTCCAATTACCTCCTGAACCATTGGGAGTGATTTGTTCGTTTATTTGTGATGAACCCGAATTAATTAAATCCTTCATGATTACTAATAAGGATTGGTATTATAATTTATATATGGATGAGAATTCTAATATTTGGGCAGAGATTGTAACATACCGAGCAGATAAGAATATTTTGGAACAATTTATGAAGGAAAAGCAAGATCGTTCCTATAGAGAATTAGTATTTTCTATTTGGAATGAAATGTCTGGTTATGGAGGGAATTCATTATTTGTTTTCAAGAATAATGAAAATGGTAATTTAGCTCAACAAGTAGGAATGCAAGTAAAATTTGATGATGAGATGGCAAATAGATTTAAAGGAACTGATGGGTTTACAGTTGAAATGTGGATTAATTTTAAATTGCATACCTTCTTTCCAGTCATGTGTTGTTTAACTGATAGAGATTGGAATAATGGTTTTGGATTATTTGAATATACAAACGGAAACAATGAAGAAAATCCAAATACTATTAACATGTTTGTACAAGATTGGTATCAAGATCCAAATTATTTCACTACAGCTCCAATTCCAGATGTGAATGAATGGAATCATTTTGCTGGAGTTTTCAGTTATGCAGATAATACAGTCAGGATTTATAGAAATGGTCAATTGATAAATTGTAAAACAATTACTGATCATAATATTCAAATAAGTTCAGATATGAATTTGGTGATTGGTTTTTCTGATTATTCAGGTGATATTTCTTATCATGTTATTGGTGAATTTAATGACATTAGAGTTTGGAATGTGGCTCGATCTGATACTGAAATTTCAGAATATTACAATAAGAGAATTACAAAACTAAACTTTTTGAATGAGAAAGAGTATGAAGGATTAGTTTTCAATTTTTATCCATCAGTGGAGGATACTAAGGAAAATATCAAGAACAAATCACCAAATCCAGAATACAGAATTGAGAAGTATGATATTGTAGATAATGCAGCAACAGATATTGCAACCTCTGAAGTTGATAAAATGGGGAAAAGTCTACTTTCTAAAATGTGGTCGAGTGCCTATTCCACAATAAAGAAGGTTTTCAAATAAAATCTTCTTAAATTGAATTAATTTTATATATGGTTTATTTGAATAGTTTAAGCATTTCACTAGATCAATAAAACAATAAGATCATTCTTCATTATTATTGTACTAAACACTTCTTTGAATGAGATTTACCATAATTTTCATCTCTACTGATTGCAATTGCTTTCAATATAATTTCACTCAAATCATCAAAACCATATCTTTTTTTTGAGCTAGTTTCAATATAAGTTATACAACCTATCTTTTTAGCCATCAACTCTCCTTCTTCAAATGTGATTGGATTTGTATCATATTTGAGAAGAAAAATTGGATCAGTGCGATAGTCAACCTTATTATTCACCAATATAATAGGTGTATCAGGACAGTGATGTCTAATTTCTGGAATCCATTTGAGTGCAACATTGAAAAATGAATTTTCTGCTACGCAACTAAAGCTCAGTAAGAATAGAGATGTATCTGGATAATTCTATTAATCAATTAGTCAACTGATAAGATAGGTTATTACTTACCAATGGACGTAAACTATTGATATTGAAAAATATTGAAATATATAAAACAACCTACCAATCATAATCTAAAATCGATGAGTAGAAATAAGTATTTTCATAACTACTTACCTTCAGGACCAGCAGTATCCCTTTCAAATGTCAATTATTCATATTGACTCAATAAAACTTACCATAGACCAATTAAATAACTCTTTCCCTCAACTCTGACACTCAAATCATAATTATCAAATATTGTTGGAATGAACTCTTCTGGATAGCTACCTGTAGCATATGTAATATATAATGATGTTTTACCAACTGATCCATCACCAACCTGAATTATCTTTTCACTTGCAGGAGGTGAATATTTTTCTAACATTTCATTCATTTGAGAGTATTGTAAAATTTCAGATGATTTTGAATAATGTTTACCATCTAAACGTTGTGTTGCTTTTCTAATTGTCCGTATTCTTTTAGAATTCTTCTGTTCAACTTTTGACAATATGGATTGAATTGTTTCAATTAGAATTTGTCTAAAATTTGATGTTTTAAGTAAATTTAATTCAAATAGATTTGCTTGAGAGAAATATTTTGATGCAATTTTAAATTCCTTCATCTTTTTTAAATAAAAATCTTTCCAAAATTGATCTTCACTTGTTAATTCACAAATTCTTAATGATTTGGAAACTAAATGTAATTTCATTAAATCTTGAATATTAAGAAATAATAGAATTGATCTTAAAATATCATCATTCAGATTCTTGAATAGTTCAATATTAAATGAAAATGTCAAAATGTCACAAGTCATTTGAAATCCTCCAAATATAAAATAATTAAATGAAGAATCAATGGGAATTTGAACTAAAGTGTGGAGACATGGTCTAGCTACTTCCTTATCATTGAAAATATTCGAAAGTGAATGATTTTTTTCAATTTTCCAACCTTCACTAATATTTTCCAAATCAAGACATGTACAATCTGTGAAATCTTGATTTAGATTACAACCACCAATACTATATAACTTATTTCCTTCCAAAACCATTGAATGTCCATATCTAGCAAAATTATCATTCAAAATAATCTCAGCTTGACATTTGACATTTCCAACATTTTCCAATGAATCAAGTGAAATCTTAATTGTATCCTTAATAATTGAATCATAATTTCTACCACCATGTATATACCACTCTCCTGTTTCATTATTTAACACGGATGCATGATAATATCGATGTGAAATTACTTCTTGACTTGAATCAATTTCCACTCTTGTCCATTCCATATTTGTAAAATTAAATTTAAATAATTCATTTGATGCAAAATAATTTTTACAATTATATCCACCAAATATAAATAATTGATTTTTAAAAATTACACTTGAATGACCATATAAAGGTGGAATTAATCTATCTTTGGAATTTAATTGTTTCCATGAATTATTTGTAAATTCATATATCCAAATATCATTATGAAAACTATTAATAGATTTACCTCCAAATAAAATCATTTCATTTGAATTTCTTAAATTGGTAGTATGACAATTTCTTGCACATGGAATTAATTTTTCTATTGAATGATTCGGATCAGTTAATATTGTTAAATTTCTCCATTTTTTAGTTGTAATATCAAATTTCAATTAAATCATTACAATAAATTGAATTTTTTAAACAACCTCCGAATAGATAGAGTTTATTCTCTCTATTAACAATACTACTACCAATTCTAATATTACAGCTGGTAAGTGGAAGATTGAGAAGATTCAAATAACGTCATTTTTTTTTAAAGTTGATATTTTGTAAACTATTTCAATGTTCCTATCACCAATGATAAACTTGCTTAAACTTTCAAAAAAACGACTAAATATATGTAATATAAATATATATAAATAATTAAATATATAATAATAATAAATAATAAATTTTATTCATTTCCATTTCCATTAATTTGAACATATTGTTGTAAAATAGTATCGATTGGAATGTCAGGATTTCCTTTTCCTTTTTGAAAAGTTTCTTCATCTTGATAACGTTGATGTAAAATGTGTGCAATCATTCTATTATATTCCTTTTTAAATTCAATTCCAATTAATTTAATATAATAAAATAAAATAAATGCTAATAAACAAATTGAATAAATTGACATTTGAATTATAAATGTTGAATAAACTGAATGAATTGAATCAACAAGTAAACAAATTAAACATCCAGGTATAGTAATTACTATATTAATTATAAAAGTACCAATTAAAGGAATGTATGAATTTGTATAATTATGTGATAAAATAAACATTTGATAACAATTCATAAAAACATAAATAATACTACTTGTAAATGATACAATCCAATATTGTTGTATTATTTGATCAATATTTTTAACTATTGTTGAATCTGATGTTAATTTAACTCCTTCCATTACTATATTTGTAATATCAGTTACTAAATATATACAAATAAATATTAAAGTTATAATTAAAAGTAATAAAATTGATTTAATATTTAAATAAATTAATCCTTTGTAATTTAATCTATTTATACATCTTCTACTATATATAGTAATTAATGAATTTCCTAATAAACAAATTTTAATATAAATTAAACTATAACAAGTAACAATAATAAAAGAAATAAATTCACTTGTAGAATAATTATAATAAATTATAATTGAATTAATTATATAAATTATTAAAGTTGAAAATGAAAATCCAAATATAGTTAAATAATTTCCAATTAATCTTTTAAAAATAAATTTATCAAATTTAAAAAAATCATTATTATAAAAACAAAAACATGAAATTCCCTTTTTAGTAAATAACATTAATAAAATTGAAATTATTAATGGAAATAAATATGAAATTCCATAAATTAATGAAATATAATAATAAATTTTATCATTAAATGCATGAATAATTTCTGATTTTGGAATTAATAAAAATACTATATATAGTAATACACCAAATATAATTGTAAAATAAACATGAACAAAATTATAAAAAGCAATAAAAATTGAAATAAATAATAAAATAAAATTATAAAATAAAATATTACTAATATTAAAATAAAATATAAATTCCCAAACTGTTGATCTATTTATAGCATAAAATATTCCAAAACTGGCAGCATATTGTAAAATACTTGATAAAAATGTTAATATGAATGAAATTAAAACAATTTTACCAATAAAAGAATTTGATAAAAATAATTTTGAATTTTGAATATCAAATAATTCACGATGATAATAATATTTAAATATATTCATTCTATAATTAGTAATATCCATAAATAGATAAATAATAATTGGATACATGAAAATTAATTCTAAAATTAAATTAATTGTAAATAAAATAATAAACATTAAAGAACTATCATTATCAATAATATTAAAAGTATTATTAATTAAATATTTTGTACTAATAAATGTCATGATAAAAATAGATGAAATTAAAATAAATAATTTTGTAATTGAACTTCCATGTGAATATTCTTTAAATGAAGGATGAACAATTAATGATGACATTGGTTCTGATTTTCTCATTAACCAATCATTTTCATCAAATTCATTAGAATCTTCTGAATCTGAATTATCATTTTCAATATTTAATAGTGATGTACTACTATTACTATTCCACCTCCACCAACACCACCTCCACCTCCACCAACCACCAAATATACTATTAGATGATGTTAAATGTTGTGATCTAATATTTGAATGATTTGAATGATGATTATTTGGATGAATGGATTGTTCTTGTGAAATGGATTGATAATATTCATTAAATGCCTTTTCCTTAATTGAACTTTGAAAGTTTTGTTTCACTACCAACATTGAAATATCACTCATTAGAGATTGATTATTACTATTATTATTATTATTGGAATGTAAATCTTGAAATGCCTTATCCAATGGATTTGTCTTTTCAATTGGTGCTAAAAGTTGAATTTTTTTACGTTGAGTTGAATTGATAGAATTTGATCGTTGTTCAAAATCTTGATTATTATTAACATTTGAATTTTCATTCTTTTCAGTTGACATGATAAAGAATGAAGTAATATCATCAATAACCAATGATTGTTCTGAGGTTTCTTCTTTTTTAGATGAGGAGAATGAATTCATTTTTCTTGTTGTACTTGTTGAGAGAGCACTGAATGAACTTGATTTACCTGGTAATTGATTAATTGATTTCTTTGTTGATTTTACAACAACTTTAACTTCATCTTCATCATCATCATCATCGTAATGATCATAAACTTGTCTCTGACCTAAATATTGAGATTCCTCTCTGGCCAATTGTTCATCCTTTAAAACATTCATATCAACTTCATCATCATTATTTTCATTATTATTATTACTATTATATTTCATTAGACTTGATAATTGTTGTGCAATGTCCATTCCATTTCTAACAGATTGACGATTATTCATTACAATGGCATTGGAATTATAATTTTTAGAACTTGCATCTAAAATATCTGGAATTGAAGACATGGTACTCATATTCTCATCAGTTAAACGATCATCTTCATCATCCTGATCATCTCCACCATCTTGATCATCATCCTGATCATCATCATCATCATCGTCACTTGATGCTTCAGTCATTTCATTACTCGTTGGGAGAACATCAAGAAATTGAATGGATTGATTCACTTCTTTAAATTTATCAATCCACTTGAACATTTCATCTGAATTATTAGTCTTTAAATATAATACTCTCTTTTTTGTTACAATTTTAAATATATTAAATTCATTCTTAAATTCATTAAAACATTCAACAATAATTGATTTATCAATATTTAGTGATCCCTTCTTTTTCTTCTTTTTTTCATCGGTATAATAGGTTAATTCAGATTCATCATGAAATACAAAATATCTACGTTTCCAACTCTTTACAATTTTACCTTGTTTTTGTAAAAATCCTTCAATATGTACATCTTTCTCATTATTATTGTTAGAATTAGAAGAATTATTAGTACGAATATTACGACTATTACGATTATTATTGTTATTATTTGATGATGAATTATTGTTATTATTACGAAGCCTAAAACTTGAAAATATTGATTGTTGATTGGATGAGTTTCCAATATTATTATTAGATGATGATGGTGTAGTATTAGATGATTGATTAAAAGAAGATTCATCCTGTCCACCCAATGTAACCACTGGTAAATTATTGATGGTATTTCTCTGATTGTTGGGATTCATTGGAGTGGATAAATTATTGAAATCATCATTGGTACGAAATGATGAGGTTGTTGAATGAAAGTCATCATTATCCATTTTTTAACGTCAATGATTTTAAAATCATAATCAAATAATTATTAACATTTGACAGTTATTATAATTTTAAATATCTCTTTAATATCAAAAATATCATTCCTTTCTCTCTTAATACTAGAATCTCAAGTCTTAGCAATAATTAACAATTCTATAGCTTAAATTAAAGCCTTCAATAATGAAAAGAAAAATTCCGAAGGCTTTGAAAAAAAATGTCTGAAGAAATAACCTCAACTACCACCACAACTAACGTTCAAGAATCATCAAGTTCCGAATCAACCTCATCGGAAGTTATTACCATCACAGTTAGATTAATTAAAAGTTTCCATTATAGAAATATTAAATTATTAATCTTGAAGGATATTAAAGTAAATGAATTAACTGGAAATGATTTATTGAAATTAGTTTTGGAAAAGATTGAAAAGGAATCAGGTTTGCTTCCACATCGTGGACGTAAATATGATACATTTAAATTATATCATCATGCCTTTTCGTTTAAAGCAAATAATTTAGTTGTTAATTTACAAGATGATGATAAATTAATCTTTAAAATGGATAAAACTTTGAAGGAAAATAATGTTGATAATGAAGCTGAAATTAGTTGTTTCATTATGGATGAATATTTGGAATTCAAGAAAAATCCAGAATTGAAATGGTAAAAACCTATTTCTTTTGAATTAAATCTAAAAATTGTACTAGAGAAATAAACAACTCTGGTTTTTCTTCCTTTTCCTCACCTGAACTTGAATCCTCTTCTTCATCTACTTTGAAAAATTCACTATCATTTCCTTCTGATTTAACTTTTTTAGGAGGAGGTTTTTCATTCTTCTTAGTGGGAGAATTTTTAGATTTCTTCTTTTCCCATCTTTTCATTTGAAGATTATATTCCTCCTCTCCCAAAATATGTTTTACAAATAAATCAAACTCTGTTTCACTTTTTAATTGATCAACTCCCATTTCAAATAACAGCTTTTTCAATGCTTTAATTGGTATATATCGTTCTCCAAAACTATTCAAAACAAAGAATTTTGCAAATATATCCTCATAATCGACATCTTTTTCCAAATCATATTGTCTACTCAATATATCAAGAAAATCACCAAATGTAAAGAATTCATCACCAGATTTTAAATGTTGATTGAAATGAAACATTAATTGATCACTGGTCGGTGCTGCTCCACATAATCTCAAACATTCTGCCAAGTCCGAATAAATATTTAAAGCCTTAATGTTTTTTTGTTTTTGTTTTCTATCGACAAGAACTCTCTGATAAACTCTTTCATAGTTTTGAATTTTGGCTATTGAAAATTGAAAGAGTGATTTGTTTCTATCCATATAATTTCCACCAATCCTTGTTAGTGAGGGAGAAGGAGTTGGACGAGAGGATGATGTTGATGAAGTTGAAAAAGTAGGAGTAGATGAAGCCTTGATAAAGGATGACATTTTTTTATGCTATGAATTGAATTGATGGTATAATCATTTGATGGTTACTTTAGTTGATTATTAATCAGTTATTAATTACGAGAGGAAATACATATGTATTTCAAACTACTGGTAATCTTATGTAAATTGAGGGAGATGAAATATTTGATGTCTATTGAAATATTTCAATAGTTATTAAATGTTAATTTATTGTAAAACAATTTCCATTAAATAACAATCTTTACATTCATTTTCAGGTAATCTATCATTAATATAAAAGTTTTCAAGCTTTTTAATATTCTTAAAACCAATCTTTTCATAAAATTGAATTGCACTTTCATTTGTGCATTGAACATGAAGATGACATCTATCAATTGAAAACTTTTTACAAATTTCAAAAACTTTGGAAATTAATTCACGACCAATTCCTAACTTTCTATATTTTGGTAATACACCTAATAACATTAAATAAATTGATGGATTTCCTTCACAAGAATCAACTCTACATGAAAAACTTCCGACTGGTATATCATTGAAAATTGCAAATTGATTAAATTCTGGTCCTTTTTGAAGTATTTGTTCATATACAGATTCTCTGTATTTAATTGGATAAATATAATTATTTAAAATCTTTAATTGTTCAATATTCTTATCAATAATTCCCAACAAGCGTAACTTTTGATTCTCTCCAAGCTTTTTTTGACTGCTATGTGATGAGAAGAATGAACGATGGTCAATTAAATTGGCTTGATTAGTAGTAGTCATATTAATATCCGATATATATTGTTAATAATGATGATGATGAAAATTAAAGCCAAAATAATAATGAAGAAAAAGGCTAATTTTTTTTAAATTTCAATTTTACATTTCAAATGATGATTATTGCAAATTGTATTATTGTTTAGTTGTAACAAATTACAATCACGTTCATTGGTTTCGGCTACGTAACCTGATGATGATGACAATGATAATCTTCATCAATAATGAACCAACAACACAACTTGTAGCCACAACAATACATCGAAGGCTAATTTTAAAAAAATGTCTTCGTCTGATAACAACAACACTCCACCACCATCAGCATCATCATCTTCTAGTGGTAGTCAACAAGAAGAAAAGCAACGTATCACTCAAGAAGCTATTCAAAATGTTGCCAAATATCTTCCAAATGAAGATAAAAAGAGAGCCGAACAAGAAATCACCAAGGATAGAAAATTCTGGAACAATCAACCTGTACCAAAGATTCGTAAGTTTAGCATATTTAAGACTCTAATAGTAGTATTCATTGAATTCCAACCATTGATTATTATTTATACAATTTGATATTATAATACAAAATCATAATCATCATACAATAATTCTTCATCATCATCTTTATAAACACTTTATTATTAATACATATATATGAAATTACAAAATGATGGAAAATAGATGAAAAGGTTGATCAATTAGGAGAAATTGAAACTAGAACTGTGGATCAAGTACAAAAAACACCATTTGCCTTACCAAAAGGTTATGAATGGTACAATTTGGATGTTGATAATGATGAAGATATGGGTAAATTGTATGCATTATTAGAAGGTAATTACGTAGAAGATGATGATGCCATGTTCCGTTTTGCTTACACAAAGGAATTCTTGAAATGGGCATTGGCACCACCTGGATATAGAAAGGATTGGCATTGTGTTGTTAGAGTTGAATCATCAAAAACATTTGTTGCATTTATTGCTGCTATTCCAATGTTAATTGGATTACGTCACCAACAAGCTGAAAGTGAAGAAAAATTCGATAAGAATGTTAAAATGGTTGAAATTAACTTTTTATGTGTTCATAAGAAATTGAGAGATAAGAGATTGGCACCACTTTTAATTGGTGAAATTACTAGACGTGTTAATTTAACAAATGTTTGGCAAGCTATTTATACTGCTGGTGTTGTGATTCCACGTCCAATTAGCAAAGCTAGATATTATCATCGTAGTTTAAATCCTGAAAAATTAATTGATATCAAATTTAGTTCAATTCCAAGCTTTGCTCGTAGTTTTTCAAATCCAATGGAAGTTACAAAGAAATATTATAGATTGAATCCAAAAGAAAAGATTCCAAATATTCGTCCTTTAAAGTCGAAAGATTGTGCTCAAGTTGCTGCATTGTTAAATGATTACTTGTCAAGTTTCAAAGTTGCACCAATTTTCACAAAGGAAGAAGTTGCTCACTGGTTTATCGGTAGAGATGGTGTTATTTATTCATTTGTTATTACAGGTGATAGTGATGATAAGATTATTGATTTTATTTCATTCTATTCACTTCCAAGTACAATTATTGGAAATCCAAAACATCAAGTTTTGAGAGCTGCTTATTTATTCTTCTACACTTGCAAAAATACCAAAGTTGAAGAATTAATGAAGACTGCTTTAATTGAAGCTCAAACAAGAGATTTTGACGTTTTCAATTGTGTTAATATTTTGGATAATAAGGAATTTTTGGACAAGCTTAAATTTGGTACAGGTGATGGTTATTTGTACTATTATTTATTCAATTACAAATTCCCAGATTTGGAACCAGAACAAGTTGGTTTAACAATGCTTTAAATTATTAAAATTTGTAAAGTTTTAATTTTCATTGTATTATTAATATTATTATTGAAAATGATCGTTCATTCAATAATTCAATTGTGTTTGCTCGAATATTTAACTTTTCTTACTACTATATCAATTTGAGAATTTAGGTATTTTACAATTTCTGGAGTATGTTTGAATGCTGATTTGAATTGTTCATTCTTTCTCAATATCTCAAGGTTATCACCTAAAAAACTACTAATATCAAAATTTGCTAATTGTTCAGATTCTTCTGCAAAATATTTTAATAAATTTTGTAAAATTTCAATATTTTCATTGTCCAGTTTTTCTATTTCGTTTAAATATTTTACAATAAAGAAAGCAATAAATTCAAATAAATTATTCTTGTTATATATTTTAAAAAACATTAACTTGTGTCTTTTAAATTTATCTAAACGTTTTAAATAAACAACTAAATGTTTAAATATAGTAGTAATTGTTTCATTTAATTTTTTTAAATAATTATTATAGTTATTTTTCACAGTTAAATATTTAATAAATTTTTCCACTTTCTTATTAATTTTAATATTTTCCCTTTCTTTCATTAAACCTCTATATGTGGATGACCATTTAATTTCTTTCTTTTTTTTACATTTTTTATCATCATCAACACACATTAATAATTTTTCAAAATCTGTAGTATTATCTTTAAATTTATAATTTTCAAAGATATTAGGTTTTTTCTTCTTCTCTTGTTGAATAATGATATATAATAGATGATTCTGATGAATAATGATAAGACAAATTATTATTATCATCTTGATAATCATCATCATTATCATCATCATAGTCATCATTATAATTATTAGCAATTAATTGATGTTTATATACAAAATCATTATTATTATTATAAAAATATTTTTCATCATAATAGGTTAAAGGTTCAGAATACTTAAAATGAATTGAATTTTTCTCTCTATTATTTTTTTCAAATCCTTGATAATTATTTCTAAATTGAAACTTTGTTTCTTGTAAATTATTTATAATACATTTTAATATTCTTTTTTTAATATTTTTATTTAATATATCAGGTAATATATTTTTAATTCTAATAATTTCCTTTTTTAAATAATATCTTAATTGACTTGAACTATTGTTAGAAAAAGAATGTTCACTTGGTATTGTATTTTCATAATATTTTTTAAACCCTTTTCTTCTATTTACTTTAATAGTTAAATTATGACTTTCCAATTTTGTAATTATTTTTTCTAAATTTATTTTTAAATAATAAAAACATAATTTTTTATATAAAATTTGATGTTTATCATAAATTTCTAAATATATATTTAATTTATTTGATACTTTATATAAATTATTACAAATATCATGTAATGTTAAATATTTAAATACATGTCTAGTCCATATTTCAATTGGTAATAAATCAATTATATTATTATTATTATTATTATTTGAATTGTTGTTATTAATAGTTTTATTATTATTAAATAATATTATTGTATTGTTATGATGATGTTTTAAATGATCAATAGAAGAGGAAGGTGAATATAATTCATTATCATCATTTAAAGTATTTAATGATGATGATGAATATAAATTATTATTATCATTATCTACTATTATTAAAGGAGAAGATGGTGATGATGATGATAACATTTTTTTTATTATTATTCCAATTGATGATGATTGTTGTGCGAAGATAATTTTTAATAGTAGCTGATGAACTTTGAAAGTTTCATTTCGGTATTTAAATTCCGATACAATTTCGGTGATTCCAATTGTTAATTATGTTATTCAATCTACTATTATCTACAATATTTGAATTTAAGAGTGTAAAGTATTCTGTAGTGCAATGTTGAATTCTAATAATTCATACATTTTAATTTTGTATATTTAAAAAGTTATCTTTCACATTTCAATAGTCTAACATATTTTCATCAATATAATAGTAGTAGTATTGTATTCAAACCTATAATTATAAATATTAAAGTAATAAGAAACCTACTTCTCTCTAGAACCTTATTAAACAATTTTTAAACCTCAATAAAAAAAAATACCTCAATTATTATTCATATAACTACCAAACTAAACCCTTAAACTTACTATTTATTCAACTACTACTACTACTCTGAAACTCTAACTTTCTATAAACATAATACTATAACTATTACAATTATTAACATATTACAATTATATTAAACTATTACAATGAAAGAATTTAAAAGTAATTTTATTCAACAAATTTATGATGAAGTTGAATGGGTTATTCAAGATGAAAGAAAAGAAAATTTAAATAATATATTACCAAATATATATTTAAAATCATCATTTCATATTATTAATTCTTTATTTAAATTATTATTTTCTATAAAAAGAAGTGAAATTTTAAATATTATTGATTATCATGTTAAAGATGATGTATTAAATACATTAAATGATATTATTAATGAATATAATAGTGAAGAATGTAATATTGAATTTATTGAATTAATTGACTTGACTAAAAATGTAATGAATTTATTTAAAAAATATATTTTACAATTAAATTTTAAAATTGAATTAAATTATATTGAAAATTATATTAATAATAATAACGATATAAATCCATTTATATTAAAATATTTATTATTAATTTTAAGTTATTTACAAAATACTTCTAAAGTATTAAAATATATTAAACAAATATTTAATATTGAATATTTACAATCTATTGATTTAATTTATATTTGTTTAATATTATTTAATTATGGTAAAATTAATAATAATTTAAAATATTTAAAAGATTCATTTTTATTAATTTTATATTCACGTGTAACATTACCTATATTTAGTGAAAATATTTTAATTAAAATTGGTAATTATATTTTAAATAATTATAATATTGACGAAGAATTTGAATTTATAATTAAATGTTCATTTACATTTAGTAATAAATTATTATTTAAAGATGCAAATTCTTTTAATTTCCTTTTAGAGAAATCAAAAGAATTATATAAAAATATTTTTGATTATAAAAATGAAAATGAAAAATTAATTTGTCTAATTTCATGTTTACATAATTTTAATTTAGTTATTGATTTAATTTCTAAAAATAAAATAATATTAAATATTGAATTGTATGATAAATTAAATTTATTATTTACAAATATATTATATTTAGTAAAATTAAATTTAGAAATTGAAAATGATTTTATTAATAAAATTTATAATCCACTATTAAATAGATTAATAGAAGAGAATAGAATGGTAATGAATGTATTAAATTATAGAAATCATCAACAAGCACTTGTTGAGAATCTTTTGTAAATTGATTCTCTTTTACTATTCATTTAGTTCCATTTATATTTAAACACTCTATATTTAATATTCTGAAATTGTCTTGTCAGTTATTTATTGTATATTGTTAGTTTGTTAATTAACATACTGTAATAAAAACTTGTATTTATACCAACACAATCACTTGTTAAATACCTACCAATACATGTAATGAATGTTATTGATTGTGATAGAGAGATTTTCAAAAAAAAACATCACTAGACATTACCAATTGCCTTATATGTTGTTTGTGGACCTTTCAATTCACTCAAAATAACTACTTGTCACCTCCAACAACATAACCGTTGCAAATTTTCAAACCAACAATTTTCCTCAATTAAAAAAAAACAACACAAGTATTGAGGTCTTGTTACTTGTTACTTGCTCGTCTCCCTGAAGGATCAAAGTCAGAACTATTGATTCGAACTCTAGGCTATTCAAAAAAAGAGTTATATACTACCTTCATCTGCTCTGCTCATCATATATTGATCTAAGGCTTTTTATTGAAGCCTTGATATCATCATTGTACAAAATCTCTTCCTTAATAATATTATTAATATTAAACTATTATAATAATATCAATTTAATAACAACTCACTTGGTATTGTCATTCCGTAGTACAATATTGCTACACCTATCTATAAAATTATTGATATAATTCATTAAAAACATCATCATTACTAAAATGAGCGTACATAGTTATCATAGTAATAATAGTCAGCCTCATCAACAACAACAACAAAATGAAAATATAAATACAGACTATTATAATATAAATACATCATCTTGTAATAATAGTATTTCAAATAATAATAATAATAATAAATATTTTGATGAAGTAAATTATGATTCAACACTTGGAGCCTATTCAAATGAAGATTTATATAAAGATTGCGAGAGAATGATACAACAACAATATGGATTAAAACCATCATCACCATTTAGAGATTTAAAATTCCATTTAATACAAGAAATATTTTCATCTATTACTAAATATATTCATCAACAAGTTGAAAATTTCAAATCAGTTAGTATAAATAATATTGGAAGATTTTCATTTATTACAAGTCATTTAAATACAGGTAATAATGGAATTATTGAAAGTAAAAAATTAGTATTTGTAATGAGTGAATCTTTTATTAGAGATTTTAATTTAAAAATTTGTAAAAGTTATAGAAAATTTGTAGATAATTCAATTCCAACTATGGAAGTTAATTATTTTTTAATAGCACAACAATGTTGTACAAGAAAGGAAATTGTAATGTTAGCTATTAGAATGTTTAGAAATAGATTAGGTGAAATTATGTCAACTGGTAAAAAAGTTTTAATTGAATTTACTTCAATTGGTCAATTAAAATGTGATAAGAGAATTGTTTCTGATTTTGATTTTATTGATAAATTTAGAAAACCTTTAAATTCAAAACAACAGAACAAACATGAAACAATGAAAAAGAAATTTAATAGAATCATGTCAAGAGAAGATTTAAAATTATTAAACAAGATGAGAATTGAACATCAGCAACAAGAATATACTGCACAACCACCTCAAACAAGTCGATCCATGATTTATTCAACGAGGAGTAGTGTGAGTGGTGGTTCAATTCGTAATCCATTCACAATTATTCACGATATGAAAACAACAAATAATAGACCATTAAGCTCATCTGCATCTTCAATACGATCCTATCATTCTACTAGTAGAATATCAAATCAACAACTCCAGCAACAACAACAACAATTTGCAAGAGGTAATGGAGTGAATGCAGTTAGAAATTTACAAAATCATCAACCAAATACTTTGAATTATGAACCACATCCACCTTCAATACCAAGACCACCACCAACATCTTCATTATCTTCACAAAGATTAACACGTGAAACATTGGATACATTTAATAGGCAACAACCACCACAACAACAGAATCAAACAGTACTTCCATCAGATTTTGTAGAATCACAATTTTCACCATCAACAAATTATGGACCCTATGATAATGGATTTAGACAACCCAATCCAACAGCAGCTAAGAATGTAATGAATATGGCAGTTAAAAGATTTGAAAAAGAATTGGAATCATCTAGAAGAAATCAACAAAAAGAATTAGATGATTTTTATAGACAATTAATTCATAATGTATGTGCTAGTGAAGAATTGAGAAGAAAACAGAGAGAAGAAGCCTCCAATATACAAAATACATTACTCAATCAAATGCAACATACAGGTGCAAAGAGACAAATAGAAGATCATGAATATTGTAATTTCTTTTTAGATGAAAGAGATGAAAATTTAAATGCTAATAAGAATGCTTTATTAATGGGTTTTAAAAAATCAAAGAATAATGAAAGAAATGCAGTTTCAAAAAGTTTACCTTCAATACCTTCATTACAAGCAATGAAACCAATTCAAAAAATAATGCTTAATGAAAATAATCCAATTGAGAAGGGTTTAAGAATACCAGATAAGCATGAATTATTTGATTATTATAATGAATTTAATTAAATTTGAGTAAATTGTTGATAATATTGATAATATTGTTGATAGTATTGTTTGTATTGATCCAATGTCCATCGTTGATCTATTGTTGATGATGAATTAGATAATGATGCATTAGTGTCAAGTTTAGTTTTCTTTGCATCAATTGTGGAGGTGGTACCATCAAGTCTTCTCTTCTTTTGATTGTCATGATTCTCTTCTTCCAATTTTGTAATTGCACTTTTAATTTCTTGAATCTTTTCCAATGAATTAAAATATTGACTAGTATAATGTTTTAATAATTTTAATATTTCAATCTTGAATGCAACTTTATCAAATGATGATTCATTATTATTACTATTGGTATTATTAGTAGTAGTATTGGTATTATTAGGTAATAAACCCCACATACTCATATAATGTTTAACAGTTTTATCAACCATTGTATTATTAGAATTCTGATCTTCATCAACCATCATTTCATTATTTTGATGAGAATCAAAATTAGATAAATCTAATTGTAAAATAAAATTAATTGCCTTTTCAAAATAGGAAATATCATTTGGATGATCAATTAAATATTGACTTTCAAATTCTAAATAAGCTTGATATGGTTTTTTTAAATTTGAAAATTGTAATAAACATTGATTAAATAAATTTCTAGTTTTTTCCAAATCCTTTTTTACTTTCCAATTAAATTTAATAAATTCCAATAAAAAATAACATTTTGAATTTTTACCTTTAATTAAATTTAAATTTTGTTCAAATAAAAATTCAACTTTTTGATAATTTAATTTTCTTTGATAATAATTAATACAATTTAAAATTGATTCTAAATGACCAATTGATTTAACATTAATTAAATTATTATATAATTCATCAATTTTATCATTTTGATTTTCTAATTGTAAATATTCAATATATTGTAATGTAACATAATATTTATCTTTTAAAACACTATAATTAATTAAACGATCATATAATTCATTTAAATTTAAATTTTCAGATTTTAAAAAATTAAAATATAAATTCCAAAATTCAATATAATAAGAACAATAAACAATAAATCTTTCAAATGTTTGAATTAAATGTTCTTGATCACACCACTTGTTTTGTTTTTGATAATATTCATTCTTTTCATTTTCAATATATTTTCTAAAATGTTCCAATTCATAATCTTGAAATGGTTGTGGATGAAAATATGGTCTACGTATTAAATCTTCAAATGAACGAATTCTTTCCAATTCTTTTTTAGTTGGCATGTATAATTGTTCTCTCCAATAACTTGTTAAATCATTCAATTTTTGTGATTGTTGATAT